TCGAGCTGAACTGACTTTTTTTTGGAACACCCTGTAGATTCGAGTTTTTTTGACGAAGCTATTAACAGCTAAACAGCTAAACAATCTAGCTAAGCAATCTAGCTAAACGATGCTAAACAAGTCGATCACTTAAGCAAGAATAGCTTAATTCATTATCTTCTCTCACCATCAACCCATCGTTGCACTCGAATTGAGACCGCGTATTCTGCCAATGATGCAGCCGTTTCATTCGTGAATCTAGGAAAAGAAAAGCCATTGGGCGCTTTAACTTCATAAGACCAGCCATAGAAAATCCCTTTTTCGTTCGTCATAATATTGTTATAGTTTCTAAACAATTTTTTATTTCAATAATTAGAATTTGTGATTGTAGGTTAAACAAAAGGTTAAACAAGAAACTCAATTTCATTTAAATACCTTTTCTTTTGCACTGACTCCTTCAAACAAGGTGTGACTACAAATGGAAGCTCGTCGTCACACTAAATAGATTTAAATGCTTTAGTTTCGGGATACTTTTTTTTAAATGACAATGTCCGGGTCATCTCCTCTAATATTCGTGCATCCATTTTGCCAGAAGTCAACGAGGTAATCGATTTGATCAGTGCTATGGATGGTGAGAGCCTAAAAATTTCTTTGGATCAAATTTTTCACCTCTAATCCAAAAGATTTCTTACAAGGGAAGGCTGAGGTGGCCAAATGATGATACTTTATTCAGATGATAAAGTGAAACTCATTAAATCATGCACCGCGGGTCATAAATGTAGAGAAAAAAGGATTAGGCTTAGGCTTAGGCTTAGGCTCAGGCTTAGGCTTAGGCTTAGGCTTAGGTTCAGGCTTAGGCTTAGGCTCAGACTCAGGCTTAGGTTCAGACTCAGACCCAGGCTTAGGCTCAGGCTTAGGCTTAGGATTAGGCTTAGGATTAGGCTTAGGCTTAGGCTCAGGCTTAGGCTTAGGATTAGGCTTAGGCTTAGGCTCGGGCTTAGATTTAGGCTTAGGTTTAGGCTCAGTCTTAGGCTCAGGCTTAGGCTTAGGCACGAAAGAACAAAGGTACGAAGATACAAGATAGAGTGAAAATGCAAATAATCAGTTTACCTACGAGGGAGAGCCGTTAGATCTAGTACTTGAAAGGATCCGAACCCCTCGCGGTTCAAAAGGGTATACAGGGAATTCTGCACTCAGTTTTTGCCAAACGCTTCTCTATCACGAGATATTTGGGATACAAGCTATACAAGCTCATAAAATGAGCGAAAAAGAGTAAAAGAAAGGTTGCTTTATATAGAAATAAAACTCGAATCCTCAGGGTCCAAAAGAGCACACACCCGGCGGACACGCGGACTAACCACTACACCACCCAGGCCGTTGACTGAAGACGGTGCGTCTCCCTCATAAAGAGACCCCAAAAACTTGTATGCCAAATATCTCGCGATAGAAAAGCTTTTAGGAAAAACTGATTGCAGATTCGGAATCAGCGTGAAAAACTGCATCAGATAGGCTAAGCGATAGGCTTCAAAAGCCACGATAAGTTAACAACATTCTCTAATTAGTTTTTAGGTCGACAAAATTCACCTTGTAAACGCAGTTCGGATCTAATAAACGCGATCCGTGAAAGGCAAAAGACGGATTTTCTTTCGTTAGCAAAAAACCAAGATAACATAATTCTGTTAATGAAAACAATGCAAAGAACCAAATCATTTCGTCAAAACAGGAAATCAAATGTCTTAATGTTTCTCGTTGATTTTTCATGATTTAAGGTAAAGGAAAGGAAGACTTTATCGTTATCTCTTCACATCTAACACTAAAATAAGAGGCTTTTTGTGGAAAGGAGCAGAACTGTAATCTTTTTGCTTTTTTGAAAGTTTTTGCTTTGTAAAATTGATTCTTTAACGCATGTTTAAATTAAATTAAAATTAAAATCTGTTAAATTTAATTTAACCAAATAAATTCAAATTAAACGAAATAAATTCAAAACAAATTAATTATTTTAGCTCGATATATTTAAATTAAGTTGTTTGATTGATGCACAATAAAAAAATTGATGGTCAAGTGTTGCTAGAGGGAAGGGGTTTTTTGTGTTTTATATTTTTTTTGTCTGACCTGATGTCTGATTGGTAACCCTCTAACTCCGGACCAACGAATGTCTCTAAAAAGAGCTCCCTTTTATTGACCCCCTCATGGCCAATGTGCCAGAAAGGGGGCGTTTCTGCAAACGCACAAAGCACGCAGGCCGTATGCTAGGTTCGACTTTTGTCTTGGGCAAAAGGTGGAAATCTGATTGATGTTTTAATGATTGATGTTAAAAATTGATGTTTTAACAAAAAACAATGGGTATTTAGCCAAATAGATTTTCAGAAAATTTTTTTCAAGCTTTTTATCCAGGGTGACCAAGAATTACCGCAACAACTTTTTGGAAAAGTCGCTGGGAAATGTCTAATTTATTTCAAAAGTGACAAGTGTTTTATAGAGAATTGTAGCCCTTAATCTTGGCTACATTTCTCTATCAAAAACATCCCGATTCGACTTATACAACTCATTTAACAAGCGCTTGAATGAACGCTAGTCGAGATCTCTCCGGCGAATCTGTCATTTGGTCACTCATTCAAGCGCTTGTTAAATGAGTTGTATAAGTCCAATCGGGATGTTTTTGGTAGATAAATGTAGCCAAGAGTCAGGGCTACAATTCTCTACATAACCCTTGATACTTCTAAAATAAGCTAGACATTTCCCAGCGACTTTTCCAAAAAGTTTTTGCTGTCACTTTGTACTGTAGTCACCCTGTACAAAACTGGCGCGACAGACTTTGCACTTTGTATATTTTTAAATAATTTTTAAACTAAAGATAATAACAAATGTTTTTCAAATTAAAACAATAAAATTTGTTTTTAACGATTGGTACTTTTTAGGAAAACCATTCGAGGCGATGACAGCATCACATCTGCGAGGAACTCATCAATGATCAGACGATCAGTTCATTGATCGTCTGATCATTGATGAGTTCATTTTCGAATCTCCAACCACTTCTTGGCTAAGAGATCAAATTTATCCTGAGCATTTTGAGTTTTAATCCCTTTGCACATTCTTCCCAGCGTTTCCCACAAATGCTCAAATTTAAAATATTTCCTTATCATAAGTCAATCCAGATGATGGAAATGTTTGAGATGATCATCCAGATGATTGAGCACATTCATCCGTTTAAAAAAATTCTACCGTCTGCTGTTTTAAAAACAATTTGCTAATCTTTAAACTGCTCAAAAACCTTTAGTATAATTAGTTCAATCTGTACCACCCATTCTTTTATCAAATAAAAAAATTGATGGTCAAGTGTTGCTAGCGGATGGTTTTTTCGATGATTGATAACCCTCTAACTCCGGACCAATAAACCTCTCCCAAAAGATGTCCATTTTATTGATCCCCTCAGGGCTAATGTGCCAGAAAGTGAGCGTTTCTGGAAACGCACAAAGTACAGCTTAAAAATAAGAAGAAATAAAAACCAAAAACCATTACCCCGACCTTACCACCGAGAGGCCATCCCACTATTCACTAGGCTACTAGTTCAAATAGGCTACTAGTTCAAATAGGCTACTAGTTCAAATAGGCTACTAGTTCAAATAGGCTACTAGTTCAAATAGGCTACTAGTTCAAATAGGCTACTAGTTCAAATAGGCTACTAGTGCCCTAGTGCACTATTTGATCAAAAAATGGCTAGTGCACTAGCCTAGTGAATAGTGGGACGGCGTCTCGGTGGTAAGGATAGTGAATCACCCATATTTGGCCGATCACCTATGCATTGAAAAGCGTGCTTTAAAGCCTCAATTCAATTTTCTTCAATTCTTTAAAGTCCTTTAAAGCTTCGAAATATCAATTCTATTTTTACGCGTTTGCAAGCTTATTTGGCAGATTTAAAATACAGATTATGAATCTCCATATTCGATTTATTAAGATGTATGTGGTCTGGAAATGAAAGCTCGTGGGAAGTTCGTGTCTTTTCCTAGGGAGACTCGTACTTGAAATTTTGTGGTTTAAATGATTTCTTTAGACATCATTTATAGTTTTTCTTTGTTTTGTTAATTTTAGTTACCGGCAGAAGTTGCCCCAATTTGATATCCAGAGCTTGCCTCGTTTTCTCTCGTAAATGTAACATATGAGGCATGCTATAGTTTTTCTGTCTTTCTTACGTCAGACAAAAGCCAGACAAAAGCCAGACAAAAGCCAGATAAAAGCCAGACAAAAGCCAGACAAAAGCCAGATAAAAGCCAGACAAAAGCCAGACAAAAGCCAGACAAAAGCCAGACAAAAGCCAGATAAAAGCCAGATAAAAGCCAGATAAAAGCCAGACAAAAGCCAGACAAAAGCCAGACAAAAGCCAGACAAAAGCCAGACAAAAGCCAGACAAAAGCCAGACAAAAGCCAGACAAAAGCCAGACAAAAGCCAGACAAAAGCCAGACAAAAGCCAGACAAAAGCCAGACAAAAGCCAGACAAAAGCCAGATAAGAAACCATCGACCAAAAACTCCAATTTCCAGACCGATCGCATCAAACCGAATGTGAAAACAAATCGAATACCAGCAATAAAAGATTTCAATCGAAAATTGAATGGGAAACTGATGAAACACTTGATGAAAACAAGTTGTGGGTGGAACAGCGACCCACTGTCCACTCATGTAAATCACATGGAAAATATCTCGGAAATATTGGAGTCAAGAAAATCTCATATACAATGTAACAATACAATGTGAACACCGAAATGCAAAAAAAAAATATTAAAATATTACGTGTAAGTGAGCAGAATTTTGATCCATTTCGTTTCTCTTCTCGTTCTCGTTTCGATAATCAAAAATTGAATGGATTTTTGCGAGGCGATCACCATATAAAGCTGTTGAATTCAATCGAAAATTGAGAGAAAATCAGTTTGAAATCTTTTTTTTTAGTTTTAATTTCAATCTTTTCAACCTTTTCAATCTTTTTAAGGAGTTTCATCTTTGACTCGAGTTTTTATTCGAAGAAAAATGCTTCTCTTTCGTTGGGTTTTTCTCGTTTTATTGTTTGGAATCTTTACTGCAGCAACTGGTGAGTAGAATTATTTAGATCGAAAAGAATTTAGCCGTATTGCTTGAGAGATTCTTGAGACATTCTTGAGACTTCTTGAGACTTCTTGAGACATTGTTGAGATAAAAATAAGGGCTTGAGATAAGTATATACCGTAAATATTGTAATAGTACCCCACCCCCCTCGTACAGTCGCGTAGTCGCAAAAGTTTTTTTAGTATTTCATTTTTTTCAAAGCGCCCGTACTTCCAAAAATGTGTCTTTGATATCAAAAAATAGCCCTGAATTTCAGCTATTTTTTGATACTTAACCCCGCATTGTAGCATAAACCAGTGTCGAGAAAAACTCGTTCAAAGTTAGACTACGCAACGCTCCAGCTGTCATTATAAACTGCTGACGAGAAAAATGCGTTTAAAGTTAGACTACGCGATGCTCCGTCTTTTGATATCAAAAAATAGCCCTGAATTTCAGCTATTTTTTGATACCTAACCCCGCATTGTAGCATAAACCAGTGTCGAGAAAAACTCGTTCAAAGTTAGACTACGCAACGCTCCGCACCGTCATTATGGGGGTGGGGTAGTATTACAGTATTTACGGTAAGTACTTTATTTAGAAAGAAATAAAGTGCGAAAACGAAATGAAAAATTTACCAGATAAACGATGAAAAAGTCACTTAAAATGCAACGAAGTAGCCCTTTTAAAATCAGACACGGTGGAGATCAAGCGCAACTTTTCGGGAAGGACATTCAGGCATTTTCGGGAAGGGCATTCAGGCATAAGGGCTTATTCTAAATCTTACTGTAAAATGACTGTAAATCCAGTGAATCTTGTCCAAGAATAGGCCAAGAATAGGCCAAAAATCTTCTCATTTGCGGCTTTTTTTTTTACTCATTTTCTCAAAAAGGCCTACACTTTTGAGTACCAGCGGAAAAAAATATGCTTTCTTTAGGCGCAATTGAATTCTTGAGATCGCCAGTTAACGCGTTATAGAGTTAAAAAGTTTGCAAATCGCAAATCAAATGCAAATTTCAAAGATCCTAGAATTTTTTTCAAATTTTTCTTTTCAAAAAAGAATTCTTTACCACTAAATATTAAATAAAAGCTACTAGGTTGGTGCAAATGAAATTTCGTTTTTTTACAAACATTAAAGTCATCCAAAATTTTTTTAGATAACAATTTATTTAAAACAATAAGCACCATTATTATCTATGACATCCCTCCAACGTTGCTACAGATTGCGGATCCCCTTCTCAAAGAACGCTTGATTCTGTGATGCAAAGTAGTCGGTCACCCAATTTTCGACTTCTTTTGCATTCTTAAACTGGCAATTCTCAAGGGAATGTTGCATCGATCTGAAAAGGTGAAAATCGGAGGGTGCTAAGTCTAGACTATACGGCGCATGTGGTAAGACCTTCCATCCTAGCTTCTCTAGTTCCTTACAAGAGGTTTTTGCCGTGTGAGCTGGAGCATTATCACGGAGAAAGTTGATAGTTGAGGGATTTAGGCCTTTTTCACGCAAAATTTCGTCAACCTTCTTGAGTTGTTGAATAAAATAAGATGAATCGACTGTTTTTCCGGGCTCTAATAATTCAAAATGAACAAGTCCATTGATATTCCACCAGCAAGACAACACCACTTTGCACCCATGATAATCCGGCTTTGGAGTTGGAATTGGCGCTTGACCTTTGCTCAGCCATTGTCTTTTTCGAGAAGTATTATCAAAGTGAATCCACTTCTCATCCATCGTCAAGATATTCTCAAAAAAATGGCTTCTTTTCGACTTATGGAGCAAGATATGGCTGATCGAAACGCGTGCTCCCAGATTCTCAACACTCAATTGATGTGGAACCCATTGTCCATTACGATTTGTCTTTCCAATTATTTCCAAATGGCGTACAATTGTTGAATGATCACATTGGAGATGTTTGGCAAGTTCTCGTGTTGTTTGCATTGAATCAGCTTCAATTAATTGTTCCAATTCATTGTTGTCGATGGCTGTGGCACGATGTCCATGCGATTCGTCTTCAAGGGATTCATTACCATCTCGGAATTGGGCAAACCAGAGCTGGCATGATCTTTCGGTGATAACCTGTTCTCCAAAGGTGGAACAGAGATCACGATGTGAATCAGCAGCGTTTTTGCCCATTTTGAAGTCATAGAGAAGACACGTGCGCAGAACATACTTTTGATCCACCATGATCTAAAGCAAAAATCAATTAAAAAGTGAAAGCTCTGACTTTGAAAAAATGCGAAAATAAAGTAAATATCCAAGAGTACAAATGCACAAAAGAACATCAAATAAGCTCTTCAGATTAAAAAAATAAGAACATTTTATATCGACCGAAATTTCTTTTGCACGAACCTAATATTAAATATAAAATTTATTCGAAATTATTAAAAAAATCTATAATTTCTCTATAAAATAGCTTTTGAAAGAAACCTCAAAGATTGCCTCAAGATAAAAATTTTTAAAAAGTTTAATAGTTTAAATCAAAAATTTTGTTTGGTGGCGGTCAGGGATGTCCGTTTCTAGCTCCGGATCCGGATCTGGCTCCGAATCTGGATCCGGATCTGGATCTGGATCTGGATCTGGATCCGGATCTGGATCTGGCTCCGAATCTGGATCCGGATCTGGATCTGGATCCGGATCTGGCTCCGAATCCGGATCCGGATCTGGCTCCGAATCCGGATCCGGATCTGGATCTGGATCTGGATCTGGATCTGGATCCGTTTCTGGATCTGGATCTGGATCTGGATCTGGATCCGTTTCTGGATCTGGATCCGGATCTGGCTCCGAATCCGGATCCGGATCTGGATCTGGATCTGGATCTGGATCTGGATCCGTTTCTGGATCTGGATCCGGAACTCCAACAAGTTAAGGTGTACAAAAAATCTTTTTTTTTGATAATCCTTATCTTTTAGCGACATGTTCTTGCACTCCGACGACAAACTACACTGCCAAGGCGTGTTCTCAAGTTTGGGGTTAGTGGAATCAGATGAATTTTGGATTCGATTCGTTAGCAGATTATTTGATCATGATCAGATGAGCAGATTGTTATTAGATTATCAGATTGTTAGCAGATTATTTGATTATGATCAGATTATCAGATCATTAACCGCTTAGCAGATTGTTATTAGATTATTTGATCATTAACAACTTAGCAGATTGTTATCAGATTACCAGTACATTACCAGATCATCAGATTGTTATCAGATTATTTGATCATTAAGGTTATCAGATTATCAGATTACCAGCTCATTATCAGATTCTAACGAGATTTTAGTGGCAAAAACGAAAATTTTGACGGCTAATTTGATCTTGATGAATGTATCTGGAACAGCAACAGGATCGTACTTCTGGCAGTACACTGTTCAGCATTTGGCCGTTTTTCGCGTAAGAACTATTTGAATACGAAAGGGAAACAAGGTTTTTTAGGGTGGGCCCACCCTACCCACGACTCTTCTCGTGCCCAACAACTGTGCGATGACGCTCGCTGTCGGATATACTTATTTGCTAAGTGGTAACTGAATATGAAACTATTGAAAGAAAGTACTGACTATGGTATTGTATCTTTTCATGGTTTTTAGGCATGGGTTTTAGATATACTTTTTCACCTGCTTCCTAGAACACCGCTTTTTTTGCGGATTTTTGGGAAAAGTACAGGGTTGGGCAAAATGCACCAAAAAAACTTGAAATTCTTGAAATGAAAACCGGGAACTCATTCCAAAAATTGGAACATAATTTATGCAAAGAAACTATAAGAATTTAACATAATTAAATCTCAAATATTCTAACTTTGGCTTTCACACAGTCGAGTCGATTCATTAAAGCATCGCTATTGGTTCGCAGTTACACTACTGGACAATGAAATATCATATTTGAAAGATCATCATTCAAAAAAAAGATCATTACTTTCGCGCCCGTCTCTAACTCCCTCTTTAACTCCCTCGAACTAGATTTCAACTTTTGACACCAAAACGTATACTGTAGCTTTGGGCAGTGCAGAGAATGAGACGTTCAAAGCAACGCGGAGAACAGAATATTCAAAGTTCAACTACGCGACTGTACGCCCATTAAGGGTGTGTTCTATTAGAGTATTTACGGTAGTTATTAGTTATTTTTCGAGGACTTGTAAAGCCTGTCTTTTTGTTGGAAAACCAGCAGCCAAAGCCTTGAATCTAGCTTTGACTTGACTTAAATCCAAAGAGATACACTACTGGGCAATGAAATATCATATTTGAAAAAACATTTTCGCATTTTCGCGCGTCTCTAGCTCCCTTGCCTTTACCGTCTTTCTAAATATTAATATTACCATTGTGTAGCCATTGAAAAGAGCTTTCAGAAAATGTAGAACACTAATAGTTTAAACTCAAAGACAAGGGAGCTACAGACGCGCGAAAGTGACGATCGTTTTTCAATGATAATATTTCATTGTCTAGTACTGGAATTGTTGCTTTTAAAGAGTTTGAACTTGATCAATCTACTATTGTCCAGGACTGTATGTGAAATCTAATTCAACCTAAGCTTTTTTTGAGAGCAGCAAGTAGTCTAAACTTTTCTTTTGCACAAGCATTCTTCTCGAGAACCGACAATACGGAAAAGTCAAGTGGAATTTGGGAATTTGCGAATAATCAAGTGAATTTAGCGATCAACTCGAGACATTCGCGCTTTAGCCAATCTTAGACCAACTTTGGACCAACTTTGCTGGGTGCTGAGTCCTATTGGAAACACTAATGCTTGTTTCTAAAGTGAGAAATGCTTGAAGGCTTTAAAAGATCTTTGTTGATTTTGATTCCCGAATCGCCAAAAGAAAGCCTTTCTGTTCGAAGTGATCGCTCTCCATTGATGCCTCATTTTCTCCCGCATGACTGATGCCGGATGAGCATTCCTTGTGATCATTCCTTGTGATCATTCCTTGTGATCATTCCTTGTGATCATTCCTTGTGATCATTCATCCGTTGGCATTAACATTTTGAATTGATTTTACAATTATTCCATCATTTTGCTGATTTGAAACCGCCTCAATGGTTCATCGGAAAACACAATGTCAAAGCGGCAATTCTACAAAGAAAAACATAGCGGCCCTTCGCAAAAATGATTAAGAAGTCGTAGCAGTTGTAGCCCTTGCAAAATCGTAGACGCTTGTCCACCATATTCTTAGTCAATCCATAGCTTTTTTTGTCTTTTGTATTGGTACATATTCAACTTCTTTTTTTACAATTCTTCTCACTGAACGTCTGATTCCACATCCAACTGATTTCAAGCTTCGTGATCATTTTGTTCATCTGGGATTTCTCTTGATTCGCTTTCTCACCGTTTCCACCATCCGTTTCAAAGTTGCCGTGCTTTCTCTACGTCGACCAATACAATCCTTGTTACTTCCGAGTTTTTTCGATTGTTTGACCGTCTTTTAGACAGTTTACTGAGAAATTGCGAGCACTTTCACAATGTCCTTTATCGCCTTTCCATCTTGATGTAACTTGATGATGACGATTTTTGATCGACTTAAAAAAAACCCCAAACTCCTCAAAGAATTCTGTTGGTATTGGGAAAAGCTGATTTACCGATAGCATTTCTAAAATCAAGATATAATACATAAAAAATCAGAAACGAGCAGAAAAATCTAGCAAAAATCGGTCACTAGCAGCGGCTTTTCTTGGTGCACCAGTAAATTTGCCCAACCGGAGTGTTCAATAATTACCCGGACTCAATATTTTAAGTGTAACTCAGCACTCAGATGTCCAATCATTTCGCGCTTTGTTTTAATAGAAAATTTAGATATTTTTCTACAGTGGATTCTTTGGTTTAATGAGAAAACGTTTTCTGCCTTTTTTTTATAGAACCTTAAAGTTAGCAGTCAAAAATTGCTTGACGAGGCACTTCTTTTTGACGACTTTTTTTGACGGCTTCATTTTCAGAAAACGTCTTTGGGATTTTTCAGAAAACGCCAAAGATTAATCATTTATTTAAATGCTTTTGTTTTTGCAATACGTTTTAAACATTATCAAAACAAATCGGAAGGTAATGTGAGACTCAATTAGGGAAAATTTTGTTATTTTCGGAATCTTGATTTCACATGGGTTTCACATTGGCGCGGCATTAGTTTTTAGAGGATTTAATAAACTTTTGGTGATCATGAACGTTTCAGCGCTAAATTTTGTTTTATTTGGTTACATTTACCTAAAAATTAACGATTTAAATTTAACAGAAGCTGAAAAATGAAATGAAAAACTTTCAGTTCGCAGGGTCATCTTTTGACAACGCTTAAGCCCTTGTGAAACCAAGATTCGCAAAAATAGCATAAATTTTACCGAATTGAGTGTTAAATTACCTTCGGATTTGGTTTGATAATGTTTAAAACGTATTACAGAAACAAAAGCGTTTAAAGAAATGCCTTAATCTTTGGGGTTTTTTGAAAATGAAGCCGCCAACAAAGCTGTCAACAAAGCCGTCAACAAAGCTGTCAACAAAGCTGCCAACAAAGCCGTCAACAAAGCTGTCAACAAAGCTGCCAACAAAGCTGCCAACAAAGCTGTCAACAAAGCTGTCAACAAAGTTGTCAACAAAGTTGTCAACAAAGCTGCCAACAAAGCCGTCAGAAAAGCCATCAACAAAGCTGCCAACAAAGCCATCAACAAAGTGTCAAAAAGAAGTGCTTCGTCAAGCAATTCCTGACTGTCAACTTTAAGGTTCTATAAAAAAAGACAGAAAACGTTTTTTTGTCAAAACTAATGAATCCAACATAGAAAAATATCTAAATTTTCTATTAAAACAAAGCGTGAACTGATCGGACATCTGTGTGCTGAGTTACACTTTAGATATCGAGTCCGGGTAATTATTGAGCACCCTATACTTTTAGAGATTCTTGTTATTACTCCCCACCCATCTAAAAAACAACTGCAATAGAAATTCCCACCTTTTTAGATGAGAATTTAAATATACACTATGATTTATCCATAATTAAAAAAAACTATTAGGTGATCTCACCGGAACAGGAAAGCTTCACTCAACCAAATGTTTATCGGTCTACGGAGTGAATCCTCTTTGGAGCTCGGTAGATGATTTCTATAACGAGTAGATGAAGTTGAAGTTAACGTAGATATCATTAGTTAAAGTTAGAAGTTAAAATAGATATTAAAGAAGAAAGTTGATATCAATTTAGATAAGAAAAAAGTTTTAATGAAAAAAGGTTTGGCTTTTTAACAAATTTTATTGATAAGTTTGAAAGTGTGTGGCTTGATTTAATACTTTTAAAGTTGGCCAATGCTTTGTGCCATCTAACTATAGACTTTCTTGATGCCAGAAAGTTAACTGTTATTGATCGTAGATGTTATTGATCGTAGCTGTTATTGATCGTAGCTGTTATCGTAAGACTTTTTTTTACAGAATTTACTCTTAGATTAGGTTCGTTTGTCTATGACTGTAAAATAGGTTTTATTTCAGAAAAAAGTATAAAATATCTAGGTTCCTGCGAGTGTACAACAAGAAATGGAGAATTTGAAGTGCTCAAGTCCAACAACAACCACAAAGGCCACAACTACAAAAGCGACTACAACCACGACTACAACCACGACTACAACAACCACCACAACCACCACAACCACTACTACGACAACAACCTCAACGACAACAACCTCAACGACAACAACCTCAACGACAACAACCTCAACGACAACAACTTCAACAACTACCTCAACAACAACTACCGCTGGTGGTACTACTACTATTCCAGGTAAATTTTCTTTATTACCTGCAAAAAACTGAGGAGGCCCATGTTTTCCACGCTAAGCCCCATCCCTTTTGCCAATGGCAATGCCGACAGACAGACGGACAGACGGATAGACGGATAGATGGATAGACGGCCAGATAGACAGACGGACAGACGGACAGACGGCCAGATGGACAGACGGCCAGATGGACAGACGGACAGATGGACAGACGGACAGACGGACAGACGGACAGACGGACAGACGGACAGACGGACAGACGGACAGACGGACAGACGGACAGACGGACAGACGGACAGACGGACAGACGGACAGACGGACAGACGGACAGACGGACAGACGGATAGACGTCTCTTCTGCTTTATTTATAGTATTGGGTTGGGGAGAATGAGTCGGCGCCGAACTTTAAAGGGACTTTTTGCACACATAAAGCCTTCTTTAAACATACGTTTGGTTTCATCAAAAGGATCCACTATTTCTCTACAAAATCACTTTTGAGAGATTCCACAAAGCATTTCTTTCGTGGAGTTTATGAACTTCCAAACGCAGCTGGTTAAAATGGCAAAGAGTCCGACTCATCATTTGAACAGTTTCTTTCACATAAACCTTCTTTGGTGTTTATATAAAAAAGATAGAGCACATTCAATTACTTAAGTTGCCAAATTTGCAGGAAGATCTCACCAATGGTTTTTTCTAGATCACAGTTTGTAGTTTTTGTGAAAAAATGGCTTTTTCTTGAGCGGAGGCGCTGTTTGAATTTTCTTTTAAATGTGATTTTGTAGAGAATTAGTTAACCATTCTACTCATATCAAACGCATATTATTTCACGAAGTCAAATAGAAGTTTTAGACATTTTTTTTGATTTTCGGCGCCGACTCATTCTCCCTAACCCAATAGATAGAAGAGTTTTGAAGAAATTCTTTACAAACTAGATGTTTTCAAACATTTCAAACAGATCAAACAGTCTCAGATCTTTTCCAGTCTACTTTAGTAGCTTCTCACCTTAATTTAAGTACCTTAAAACCAATCAATCCTAAAATTTAAATAAGATTTAGATAGCTTGAACAAAGCTCTATCAGTTTTTATTTGTAAAAAGCGTTACCGTAAGTTGAAGTTTATCAAAAACAGTACCACTCTGAAGATTCCATTTCTCTATGGCTTTTAGGTTGTCAGAAATGTACGCAAGATTTCACCTCTCATTACCAACAAAGACCAACACGCAGTCTTACAATGGATATCACTGTCTCGTGAGTTGATATGAAAACAATTATTCGACATTTAGAATACATAGAAATCGATATTTAGATAAGCTTTAGATCGATATAATCAAATCCACCAACTTGTTTTCAAAGTGGTTTTGTGTACAGACAAGTTTATAGACTCGCAGCCAATAATTGCTTGCAAGCGGTTTGGGTCTGTGCGAAATCAAATCCACCAACTTCCACTGATTCGGTTCGTGATTTCCATTCCGAATTCAAGTCGATATTGATTGAAAGACATTGCATATAAGAAATGAGCGCTATAAACTACAAGATCCGGGCTATAAACGCTTGTAGAAAAGCGTAGAATGGCTATTTTTACAAACTGTTTTTACCAAAAAAATCGAGCCATCTTTGGGCTTTCGAATGGGAGCAAGATTAGTTCAATCCACCATCTCTTCACTGAAATATAACCTTTTTTAGTTTAGTCTTATTTAGTCAGGTTTTTAGTCTTATTCAAGACTAAAAACTGTTATAAATAGCATATTATCAAAGCAGAGATTATGATTTCATCTAATCTTTGTCTCATTCAAAAGCCTAAAGTTTGCTTTTGGCAAAAAGGTCTATAACTGGCAGTTTTTAATGATAAAAATTTAAAAATGATTATTCTATGCTTTCTACAAGCGTTTATAATCGTTTATAGAGACAATATTTATTGCATAGGCTTTAAATGAATACTTTAAACAAATGTTGATTGAATTGCTTGATTCTCTTACAAATCTACTACAAAATCTACTACAAATCTCTTAAACTAATCAGTTAGATGACTTAAAATCAACCATAAGTTGATTCAGCTTCTGTACCTCGAGTTATAGATCATCTAAGTTGATCAACTTTTCCAGGTAGGTAGCTCGACTTTGACACTAATTTTCTCTATGTTCTTACACTAGAGTGTACCAAGAAAATTGTACTTTTCTATAACCAAATTTCATAAGAATCATTTTAAAATTAACCCCAAGTCGATCTGACAATTGGAAGTCGAGTTATAGAATAAAATAGAAAAGTCCCCAAACTCCGAGACCTCTATCTAGAAGGTCAACTTTGACTCAAATTTTCTCTATGTTTTTATCAGTAAGTCTACAAAACAAATTCTACTTTTCTGTGGTCAAATTTAATGAAGATTCCAATAAAACTAACCATAAGTTGATTAAGCGTCCATACCTCAAGTTATAAACCATCTAAGTTGATCAACTTTTCCAGGTAGGTAGTTCAACTTTAACACTCATTTTCTCTATGTTCTTACACTTGAGTATGCAAAATAAATTGTACTTTTCTATCACCAAATTTCATATTTAGTCAACTCCTAGTATTGTAGAGAAAATAAAGTATTTTTTTTGTAGTATAAGCTGTAGAAGTTCTAGTATAAGATGGAAAAATCATTAATTTCTTTTTTAGATGAATTTCTGGGTGGAGAATATTTCCAATACAGCCACGTTGGCCAATTTGACGGAATGTGGTGAAGTGAGTGAAAAATTGACGAATAGATTCTTGTTTTTCAATGGCCAAAGCAACAAAAAAGATTTCTTAACCAATCCACTTTTTTCAGTCAAACCCAGTCAACCTGTGGATTGATTTATTGGTTTTTATTTCTTTTTTCCAATCCAGTTCAGTCCAACACAAGTCCAACAGTCCAACACGAGTCGGGAATACAATAGCTGAGAATCAAGGACTTGACTAGAGCTGAGAATCAAGGACTTGACTAGAGCTGGGACTTGACTGAACCGGATCGGATTGGACCGGACTGACTCTTTTCAGTCCAATCCAGTTAATCATTGATAGAGATTTTGATTTTTTTTTTCGTTCAATTTAGTCAATCCACTGAACTAATTGGTTGAATAAATCAAATGCCTAGTTTTTTGCATCAAAACTAAATCAAATACAGGGTGCGTCATAATTATTGCAACAAGAGTTCAAAGACCGTTTTCCAAACAGGAAAACGGGCGTGTCATGGGCGTGTAAAGCCAATAACAATCAAAATTGGACCTCTAAGATGGAGCTCCCGCTCACACGAAGAAGACGGTTCAGGACTGGTGTGTGGCCAACTTTCCCTCAGTGATCACCAAGGATGAATGGCCTCCAAACTCACCGGATCTCAATGTGATGGACTTTCCCATTTGAGCAATCTTAGAGGCTAATGTCTGCTCTCGAAAACACACAAGTTTGGATTCTTTGAAGAAGTCTTTGACCAAAGGATGGAAGGCGATTCCTCAAGATGACATTCGGGCCGCAGTGGAGGCATATCCGAACCGATTAAGGGCTGTTATCAAGGCAAAAGGCGGTCATATCGAATGATCTCTTGTTTCCTTATTTGTTACTGTTAAATAAAGCTATTTCTGTTTAAAAATCCTTCTTCCAGTGAAACTTCTTGGTGTGCAATGCCTTGAGTATCTTGTTGCAATAATTATGACGCACCCTGTAGAAAAACTAAACAGCTAGCACGAATTTCTTGATTAATATAATGTAAACTAATGTAAACTAATATAAACTAACTAGTGACTAATTTAAATCATACTTTTTTTGAAAAGCTAGTTGCTAGTTGCAATTTTGCAATGCAATTTTCGCTAGTTTCTGCTGATTTTAGAAAATAATTGAATTGATTGAGCTATGTTTCGAAAAAGATTTCATGATTTGCTAAGAAATAGTCAAAGCAAAAAAAGGAAGCCTAACTGTTAAAAGGTTTATGAGTTGAGTTTTCAAAAGAAAAGCCTCAAATTTGAGTATTAGAGCCAGATTCAATTACGAGGTAATCATATTTTTCAGATCAACTCTTCAGCTCCTCATGAGCTCCTCTTGAGCTCCTCTTGAGCTTCTCTTGAGCTACTCTTGAGCTCCTCTTGAGCTCCTCTTGAGCTCCTCTTGAGCTCCTCTTGAGCTTCTCTTGAGCTACTCTTGAGCTCCTCTTGAGCTCCTCTTGAGCTCCTCTTGAGCTCCTCTTGAGCTCCTCTTGAGCTCCTCTTGAGCTCCTCTTGAGCTCCTCTTGAGCTTCTCTTGAGCTACTCTTGAGCTCCTCTTGAGCTCCTCTTGAGCTCCTCTTGAGCTCCTCTTGAGCTTCTCTTGAGCTACTCTTGAGCTCCTCTTGAGCTTCTCTTGAGAAATCAAATTCTTTGTTGTTTCTCAAGATATACAGTTTTATCGTAATCCGTTTTCTATTTCACATTATTATTCAAGAGCTCAAGTGTCAGAGTAGGTCTTTTTTGTCGTTTTATTTAAGGTTTTAAGTGTTTTTTTCAGCACCAACCCTCGATTTTGACTACCATCCAATGCAGAATAAAATTACGCGTCGAATGATACCAAAATCAACTCAAAATATAACATCCATGCAAAATTATGAGGCAAAAGGTTAAGTCCCACCCATCATGAGCGGAGTGTAGGTTTTTAGCCAACAACTTTGCATGGATATTATATTTAGAGTTGATTTTGGTATCATTCGACGCGCAATTTTATTCTGCATCAAATGATAGTCAACATAGTCAAAATCTAAGGGTTGGTGCTGAGAAAAACAGGAAAAACCGTAAATTGCCAACGGCAAAAAAAAAGGACCGACAGATTTCTCGTCTAGTCAATAGTATTATTCTGTAATGACAAAGTTTGCTAGATATTTGAACAGAAAAACAAACGAAATGTAGATTGATTGTCGAATAGTGGCTTGCGTAATTTTTGATATTAATCTTTCAAAGTAATATTCTAAATGAAATCAATTTCTGTACTTTCAGCAAACATTCGGTATGTGGGGCTGCTACCAGACGGGTACTTCGTGCTCAGGATAGATCGACGAAAGGGACTGATTCACTCATTTTTGAATTAGCTCTCTTCTTTCGAGCTGTTAATAAAAATGAGTACTGTTTGATGTGGTTTGAAATTGCAAAAGACTCGTGTTTAAAAGTCAACGCTTTATAAAATAGGTAAATCTTTTTATGATTTCGCTCTATAAAAGTAATATTGTTTAAAAGTAACAATGAATGAACAAAGCAATAAAAAAAAGGAAAGTAAATAGCAACAACATAATTGAATGCTTCCATTCGTAGAGTGGTACGTTTCCGTTTTCAGCAATTGTATTGCTTGTTGTTGTTGCTATTTACTTTCCTAATTCTTTCAGCAAAAGGCGCTTTTCCTCGTCAGTTTTGAGCACCTTTTAGGAATGAGATGAATGAAAAAAATGAAAATTTAGATTAAATGCAAAATTGCTAGCATTTCCCGCGCATCATCACTTTCCGGTGGGTAAAATTCTCGCGTACCATCACATTTCTCGCAGGAAACGTTTGCAAAAAAGATACTCAACCAACTTTTCGATTTTACTAATAGAAATATTTCTATTATTCTTTTCTTTTCTATTTTTCTTTTCATTTTGATATTTTATGAAATTTACATAAATTTTTAAAGTCTACAAATCTCAAAGAAAAAAAAGCTAAAGACATTCAGCTAATCGAAAATTGGGATTCTGCTCAAACGCAAAAACGCATATTTTTAGCAACAAATTTTAGCAAAAACAAACAATTTTAAAGCAAAATTTCAGGAATTCAAAATTTCGGGAAACTATTTGAAAAATTTGGTTTATTTCTTCAAATTCTAGTTTCCAAAAATGCTCATCTAGGAACCAATAAAGAACCAAATAGGAACGAAATAGGAACCAAGGAGGAACCAAATGGGAACCAAACAGGACGATAAAGAACCAAACAGGAACCAAACAGGAACCAAGGAGGAAGCAAATGGGAACCAAATAGGACGATAAAGAATCAAACAGGAGCCAAATAGGAACCAAACAGGAACCAAAGAGGAACCAAGGAGGAACCAAATGGGAACCAAACAGAACGATAAAGAACCAAACAGGAACCAAGGAGGAACCAAGGAGGAACCAAATGGGAACCATAACCAACCAAAAAGGAACCAAATGGGAACCAAATAGGAACCAAGGAGGAATCAAATGGGAACCAAACAGGACGATAAAGAACCAAATAGGTACGAAATAGGAACCAAGGAGGAACCAAATGGGAACCAAATGGGAACCAAATAGGACGATAAAGAATCAAACAGGAGCCAAATAGGAACCAAATAGGAACCAAACAGGGACCAAAGAGGAACCAAGGAGGAACCAAGGAGGAATCAAATGGGAACCAAATAGGAACCAAATAGGAACCATAACCAATCAAATAGAAACCAACTTTTGAGATCTGTAATCTGTTTTCTAAAACGTGTCCCCTTTTCTTCAAACTACGATAATCTTATCTCCAAAAATAATTTATTGAGGTACGATGACAAAAAGAGAGCTCCGATTTTCAAGCTGAACTCTTATTCATTCTCCCATCGAAATCGATCGGGTGAATTATCCTTTCCAAAGTTTCTTCAATCGGCATAAACGGCAGTTCAGATATGAATAAATTCTTCTAAATTTAATCATTTATTATCAATAATTTAAAGTGCTCACCGCTTCTATTTGAGTCAGCTTTGCGAGAATAACACTGGCCACCTCTCGTTCGTTGTAATCAAAAAGTGTACAGCTAAAATTTTGTACTCTGATCTACTACAGATGCTCTTTATCTTCATTTACTTTCCCCAAAGAAACTTTGATCTAATAATTTCAACTTTTTGGTAAATATCAATGGAGATTAATGTCGGATAGCCATGGAAATTGTTGTTAATCAATAAATATACCTTGCAATTGCATCTTGTAGCTCTTGTTGACAGTGCGGTGCCTCCAACTTTTTGGTGTTGCCAATTGTTAGCCTAACCACGAATTCATCTCGATCAAAGTCTTCATCTTGATCGAATTCAACGAAAACCGTTCTGAAAGAAAGCAATAGTCAGTTTGCTCAAAGAGCTTTCTCCAACAAACCTCCGTTCGACTATTTCCCACAAAACGAGTCCAAGCGCGTACACGTCGTTTTTATGAGAATCAACTTTTTTGGCTGGCTGTCGGATGCCGTTAATTTCCTCAAATTGTGGTGGATTCATGTAGCGTCGAGTTCCCCCAGCGCACGACTTCGTGCACGTTCCTTTGATAACTTTGGCCATTCCAAAGTCTCCAAGTTTTGCTGTGAAATCCTTGGTGACAAAAATGCTGTAATCTGGGCAAGTCGAAACAAGTTGTATTTGATTACAAAAGGTTAAGAAACGTACTTTGTCGGCTTTATATCTCGATGAATAATACTTTTTTGGTACATGTAGTTGAGTGCGTCAAAAAGACATATTGCCCACGTTACCACCGTATTCATTGCGTAGATGAGGTTCTGATTAAGCAAAGCTAAATTTACATTTAATTAGTCAGGAGTTTAAAACATTTGTTCTCTTTTAATCGGAATTGCATCAGCATTTATAATCTACTATACAGTGTGTTGCAAAATGATAGGACTACCCTTGATTTTTGATTTTAAATCTAAGAAATGCAAAACGATGCCATAGATTCGAATTTTATACACAAAAGTACGCACAAATACCGTTTACGAAACCATTTACTTTAAAAGCCACAATTTTTTAACTATTTCTTTATTTTGTACCTGTAGCAAAATGATAGGACCACCACGTTTCTTTTTAATTCTCTGCCTATATTAACCATGTTTTTTTGCTAATTTTTATTTTTTAGGAAAATGGGACGTGGAAAATTGCTTTCGCGGATCGAACTGATGAAAATTGCGATTTTGAAAGGAAGAAAGTTGTCGAATCGGAAAATCGCAAAGAAAATGAAGCGCTCGCACCAAGTTGTCGCAAATTTCTTGAAGGATCCTTTCAAGTATGGTAAGAAAAAGTTTCCGGAACGTCATCGAAAGCTCACGGTCCGCGCTGAACGGCATATGGGACGTCTGTTGTCGAATTCGGTGATGTCGCTACAGGACGTCAAGGTACAAATTGGAGCTCCTGTCCACAAAAGCACTCTTATTTCATCTTCAGGCACGAGAAAATTCTCTTTGCATTAAGCGTTCCAAACTCGAGCATCCTTTTCGAATTGATAGTGTTCTTGCTTTGTACGAAATTCGAAATTGTTTGTCGAAATCGCCGTCGAGTTCCATTTCTAAAAAATCAAACTTTGGAAAGAATAAGAAAGTGCTTGTAAATCAATAAAAGAAGGGTACTTATGGGTTATAGCCACCACATATTTTTCCATCATGTGCGGTGGGCGATTTTTGATTTTAAATAACTAAAAAATGATATGGGACGTCTGTTGTCGAATTCGGTGCTGTCGCTACAGGACGTCAAGGTACAAATTGGAGCTCCTGTCCACAAAAGCACTCTTTCAATGTGGATAACGTTCTTGGTTTAGAATTTGTGACTTGTCGCACGAACTCGAACGATTACCAGGACATCCTTGCGGATTAAATACTTCCTTTCCGAATATTTATGCTAATTGAAAGACTTACGACACGATTTTGCAATTCAAGAAAGCAATTTTGCAAGCTTGGACCTGAATTCCACCACAAGCGCTTTAAAACTTGGTGAACTCGATGAAAAGTCGATTTCTCGACGTCATCGAGAAAAAGGGAGCCTCTATTGATTATCAAAGAATTTTTCATTCATGTTTTCCTTTTGTTTATTCTCAAATTTATTGTTATTTTTTATGTGGTTCTATCATTTTGCAACAGGTGTTAAATAAAGAAATTGTGATAATTTTGTTGCAATTTATTCAAATAACGTTAGAAACGGTATTTATGCCTATTTTTGTATATTTCTAGGATTTAAAAGCTATTTTGCGTTATTAAGTTCCACAGCCAAAAATTGTAAAATTTAGGGGTGGTCTTATCATTTTGCAACGCACCTTATATAAAAGAGAAGTGTCCGTCTGTCTGTTCGCCACACTCTGGATTGCTTTAGATTTTTTCAAGCATGGAGTTGAAGTATGCAAATTTGGGTTGCCTCAGGTGAAGGCATTGTTACAGGGGTCTTAGAAGGGAAGGGGGAGGCGCGTTGTGACGTTAGTCGCGCCGAGCGCATCCAGTATAGATGTGGTTATTGCTGCGGAGGGTATCAGGGTTGGTCCCGATATTGCTTTAAAGAATTAAGAGATAGATCCCAGTATTGTTGCAGGGCGCGAGGCGTGACGTTAGTCGCGCGGAGCGCTCTTTAACTTGAGAGATCAAACTACACGTCAGTCTCAAAACATCCAGCCAGTATTTGGTTGATATTTGAATAAACTGACCCTCTTTCAACGTATTCCGTTCGCAGTATTCCATAATGATTGAGAACTCGTTTTCAAGTTGCGTTTCGATAAGCCGAACGACATTTGGATGATCAACTTTCTTTTGCATTTTCAATTCCTTTTGTAACTCTGCTCGGTAATCAGTGAAAGAGCCCCGTTTAATGAAGAGCTCTTTGACAACAACCGGACTGAATTTAAGTTTCTAAGTGTTGTTTTTTTTGCTTACGGGTCATGTCCGACCAGTTCGTAAACTTTTCCGTAAGCTCCCTCTCCAACATAGCGTTTTTCCCAGTGCCTCCCGACGAAAAACAAATGCGTTTGGTTTTGCATTAATGCCTAAATATCAACAATACAAAGTGTAAAAGCAACTAAAATACTTACTATTCTTTTCTCTTGCACATTTTCAGGATTTGGTAACGTATCAATATAGACAGAGGAAGCAGAGAGATTGTCCGAACTTTGAGAAACGCTGGACCCACCAACAGGGGTTTTATTGTCGGTCCCGTCGAAGCCAATTGGTCGAAGAATTTCTGTTTGTTCTTCCTCTTTGTATGGTGAAACTAGAGATAAATAGGTTGCACTCTAAATTGTACATTTTATTCATAGAGAAGCGCTTCAAACCTCTTCAAACTGAAAATTCATGAATTCTTCCATAGTTTCTTTTGCGGTTCCGCGTCGATTGTGTGTGAAATCAGTGCACCTAAAATTTTAGAAAACAAAAGAGATATCGAAAAGGAACTTGGATTCCACATGATTTAACGGATACCCAGAAATGGTAACGTGTCAGAAATCAATGCCGCTCATCTTTCTCGATACGAGCGCAAGTCTTTTTTTACCCCGTATTGTGACGGGGGATGAAAATGGATCCTAACTATCAACTTTTGGAGAAGGCGCCAATTGGTTGCTGAGGAGGAAAAGTCCGAACCTGACGTCAAGCCAAATGTGCATGAGAAAAAATGCTCGCGGTGCTCTGGGATTTGGAAGAACCTATCTACTGGGAACTTTTGGATAGCAAGAAAACACTGAACTTAGAAAATACTCGGAGCCATTTGACAAGTCAGCCAAATCTTTGCTAGAGAAAAGACCCCAAAGAGAAAAATCATTTTTCAACATGATAATGCTAGGCCGCATGTTTCGAAGATGATTCGTTCTACATTAAACTCAATTAGATGGGAGGTGATGGCCCATCTGGCATACAGCCTCTTGCACCTTCTGATTACTATTATATTTATTCCGGGTGATAAGCAATGACTTGGCGAACAAATATTTTGATTCCGAAGAAGAGGCCAAAAAATGACTAGCAGATTGGTTTGCGTCAAAACCGAAGATTTTCTATGAGAGAGGCATTCAACTTCTACCAGTAAAATGGGAACAAATCATACAAAAGAATCTCACATGATTTGAAGTTGTTAACTAAAGAAAAATTTCATTTCAAAAAAACGTGCCAAGTCATACCCACCAACCCACCAACCCAATAATTAATACTAACAAAGAAAAGACATGAAATTTGCACCGCTTTGCATTCTCTAGTCATCTCTCTCTAATTCATGAATTCAGTAAGATACCTTGCTATGATCTGTTGCAGTCTTTTTTCGCAGTTTGCTGGCCTCAGTAGCTTTGTGGGCATTGCTGTGAATGCTTGAATAAATCCATCACGATTGAAAGCGCCGTTTCTCTCAAATTTAGCAAACACACGGCTAAAAATTGTTGCTTATCTATTGCTTATGAAAACAAAAGAAAAAACATACAATATTATGTAACTACCGTGAATGCTGTATTAGAATGACACCCTCCTGATCCCTCGAAAACTTGACTTTAGACCCACCTTGTGGGGGTTCTATGGATAGATCTAGACCTAAAACCTACTAATATTTTATCAGCAATAAAATTTAAAACGTTACTTTTGAAAAGAAGAAAAATTAGACTTTAGACCCACCTTGTGGGGTCCCTTCATGGATTTTTTTTTTAGGAGATTCAAAGGGGGTCGCGGGTAAGAAAATAATTTAACTTTTAAACGTGTTTTTGTACGTTTTGGACAAAGGGCTATCTTTTAAAATAGTTTTTAAGAAATTCTAACTTTTTGATTGATTGATTAATGTGGTCGCCCCTTACCTACTTTTTGGATCGGTCGATTTTGAGGGGTTGAGGAGTTGAGTGACATGTCATTCTATGACAGCATTTACGCATTCACGCATTTACGGTATTCTATTTTGTTTTACTTTTTCAATTCTAGGCATGTACTTACACTCTTTCGACGATTTCCCACATGACAAGTCCCAAACTGTACACATCATTTTTGTGAAGTTCCGGAAATCAATTTTTGATATTTCTGATAACCAGCTTACTTCAATAGGTTGCCTTAGTGTACCCCTCTTTTTATTTGGATCAGATTTTGGTGGACTCGCATATCTTTGGGTTCCATTCAAAGTCTCCGTGTTATTCTGTGTATATACTTTGATGAAACCAAAATCGCCAATTTTTAGCAAGTAGTTTTCAGTAACAAAAATGCTGAAATTTAAATCATATCAAATGCTGAATAGACGCTTACTTTTCCGGTTTAATGTCCTGGTGGATGATTTGTTGTTGACGAAACAGATATTCTAGTGCACTAAAATGCTGTTGTCCCCATAAAAGCACGGTCTTCATCGTGTAAATTATGGTCGGATCAAACAGAACTAAATTATTTCCGGTAAACTTTTAGCTCTTTCAACTCACATTGCCTCAAAGTTCCCCTCAAGCAGTATTCTATGAGAATTCCGTCTTGACCATGCAAAAAGTTTGGTTGTAGAAGTTTGACAATATTTAGATGATCGAGTTTATGCCATTTTCTTAAATCGAGAAGAAAAGCATCTCGATTTCTTTGAATGCGTAGATATTTGACAACAGCACGCCTGAATGTAGAATTAAATAAAAACTCGATGACGTATCTAGTCGAGTTAAGGCATTTAGAATCAATTTCACAAAAACGATCCAACTCAACACTTACGGGTTGTGCCCGATCCATTCATAAACATCTCCATGTGATCCGACTCGAGGCATTGTCTCGTTTTGCCTGAAATCGATATATTAGGTTGGAAAGAAAGTTCTCAGAAAAAGTTTGAATGGAAGTTCTTAAAAACGAATCCACCATTCCAAGAACATTTTGTTCTATTATTTACAAGTCGACTCCAAGAAATTACTTGTAAAAAAAATGAGTGCAGCTTTCCCTTAAAATTTTAGAGATTTTTGAAAAATGATTATTTTCCAGCATAAATTCAGCTCACTTTTTGCACGAGAAAAACGATTCCATACGAGATAAAGCTAGCATAAATGAGCAATACGCTCTATAATCTCTATTTTTGACCAAACATTTCTTATAGAGAAGCTGTATTTCAAAAAATAATTTTTTTCGTGTCATCTTCTTGGCACTGAGTGTTTGCTAAAATAGGTGATTTTGAAAAGTTAAAAACATTACTTTAAATTTGCCTTAATCAAAAATTTTATTCCTTATTTTAAATAACTCATCTTAGGTTTTGAATGGGATTGCCTATTCATTAACCCATTAAAAACTTGTCTAAAGGTTGATCACTCAAAAAAGTGACCAAGTCACTTCAGCTGAAGCTGAAGCTGAAGCTGAAGCTGAAGAAATCTCTTATTTTTTTAACTGAAGCTCACTCTGATTTTTTTTGTCAAAAACTTTTTGAAATATAGTCAAGTTTATCAAAAAACCTGGAAAGAATTCATGGCTTGGTTTTTGAGAAAACATCGTGCAAACTTTTTCTACGAACTTTCTTTCCAACCTAATAAGTTTTAAGATTTGTTCTTTTTTAAATTCTTAACATGCATCAACAATACAATTCATTAAATTTAAAACAGTTAATTGTAAGCTTTAGCTTGAAGAACGGGATAAAACTTTAGCGTACCTTTCCAATCTGTGGACCAATCTTCTACTGTTTTTGGCATCTAATCCAGGTTCAAGTAAACGCTTTCGCTAAAAGCTTGTTTTTTTTTTGTTTTAAGCAGTAAGAAATTTGGAACAAAAGGAAGCTGAAAATTTCGATTTTGAAGTTCACAAAAACTTTCTCTGTTCCTCTGGATAGGAAAATTAAGTCTTTTAATGAAAATTATAAATTTTTTCATTGTTCACCAGCTTCGCTGGCCTCGATACACGGAGGCATAAATTAATTTTCAATAAAAAAATCTAATTCAACATTATTTATTATAGAATTATAGGTGCAGATAAAATCCTTCTGAAAAAGGTCAAAAAACAAAAAAATGACTGCAAAAACAGCTGTAAACAATTTATTGGATTCAAACAATTTTTACTGATCATACTCGAACCGTCCACCGTTTGCATCGACAAAAGCCTTCAGACGCTTTGGGAACGTGCCGACCGTGGCGACCAAGTAGGCTGGATCGAGGTTATCCCATGCTTTCAAGAGTGCCTTCTTCAGGCTATCGAGAGTTTTATGAGGCTTGCCGTAGGCCTCAGCTTCGAGAACAAACCAGACAGAATAATTCATCGGTTTGAAATCCGGGAGCTTGGTGGCCACTCAGAAAACGAGATGAAGTCAGGGAATGTGGCTTTGCAGAAGTCCTGAACAGCTTTGTGTGCAGAAGCTCTATCCTGTTAATAGGCCCAAATTATGAAAGTGCCTTTGCGTCCATGAAACAAGTTCTTTTTGCAGATGATCCAAATATGCCTTTGCGTTCACTTTGACTTCCTCGGGAACGAAGATAAGTGGAGTCTTTCCCGTCGACGTCTCACCTCCAAAAACCATGATCGAAGCGGGTCTCTGCTGCGCTTAACCTTTACGTTTGGTTGGGTTTTAGACCAAACTCAATCATTCTTCTTGTTTAATGTCCCTTCCACTGTAAAGATCTTCTCGTCGGTGAACAAAGTGTTTCTATGATCAATCCTTTTAAAACGAAGGTGCAGCTGCTCATATCGAACTTTTTTCTTCAGTTTGGCGGCAGCAGGGAGCATAACTGACTTGTTTTTCTTGTAGGGCTTCAATTTGAGCTTGTCCTTGATGACTCGGCAAATGGATCGATCAGATACGCCCGTGTTTTTGGCGATCTTTCGAGCGGATTGGTTAGCCTTCTTGCAGAGTCGATCGCCTACTTTCTTGATGTTGCTCTTGATCATCACGCTCGATCGCCTGCCTCTTACAAGCTGATCAGACATTGCTCCAGTATCGTTGTAGCGTTGAATAGCACAAGACACGACTTTCCTATTTACCCGCAGTTTTCTTGCAATCACGGTCACCGACTCGCCCTTCCGATGAAGCTCCATGATCGATTGTCGATGAAGTGAAGATCGAACCATATCCTAAGAAGCAATCATCGTTGATGAAAAAAATCCAGAAAAACAAATTCAAAAAGAAAATAACAAAGAAATAAGAATTTTAGCGTTAAAATTTTATTATATGGTCACTTTTCTGTCGCTACGCATTACACCCATAATTCTGCCGTAACCTGTACGCCTTTAAAATTTAAGAAATAACTCTTTGCTATATTTCTGAAAATTCGTAGAGAAATTTGCATTTAGCTTTAAATGTAAATCGGTCGAGTAGTTTCCGAAAAATCGATGAACAGACTGACAGACAAATCGCAAATGAAGACTTTTAATGAAGAGTATGATGATACCTGATTCCTGTCATCCGTGGCATTCAGTCTACTTTGTCCATTTCTTCTTTTCCATGACTTTTTGCAAGCGATGAAACAGATCAATAGAAAAAGGATAGACAATAAAAGCCCAAGAACAATAATTAATATTGTTGATATCCATTCCTTTTCATCGCTATCCTAAATTGATTGTGGTTTTGATTTTAAAAAAGTTTCATACAAAAAAAACCTTTTATTTTCACTTTACCAGATTCGTCATTGTGTCTAAAGTATGTATCTTCTTGTCATTTGTTGAAAGTGAACGGACACGAATTGATAAACTGGCTAAAAAAATTTTCTCTGGCTACTGGATAAACTGGCTAAAAAAAAAAATAAAAAATAAATGCTATTCTGTAAATAAGTAACAAGATAAATAACTTGCGCTAGTCAAAAAATCAAAATTCCCAGAGAAAGTCTTTTTACAGTTAAATCAATAGCAGAATGATTGATCCTTTGTCTGCACTCGCCGTTTTTCGCTCGCTGATTAAATGATAAATCTTCGCGCTGTGGTTTCTGTTGAAGAGCACTAACTTTTATGTTGTAAATACAGTCGACTCTCTCTATAACAAAACTCTATATAGAGAAAAGCTCTATATAACGGAATGGAATTTTGATCCCAGTCGACGCTAAGCTATTTTAAATATTAAAAAAACTATATAGCGAAATTTTATATAACGGAAACTCTCTATAACGGCGGAAAAATTTGGAATCGCTTATATAACGAAATAGTTAAGAAATTCAGTCATTAAATTGACTAATTTACTGCTAAGCTCTTCAATATTAAGTAATATTTTATATTTACATACTAGGTTGGTGCAAATGAAATTTCGTTTTTTTACAAACATTAAAGTCATCCAAAATTTTTTTTGATAACAATTTATTTAAAACAATAAGCACCATTATTATCTATGACATCCCTCCAACGTTGCTACAGATTGCGGATCCCCGTCTCAAAGAACGCTTGATTCTGTGATGCAAAGTAGTTGGTCACCCAATTTTCGACTTCTTTTGCATTCTTAAACTGGCAATTCTCAAGGGAATGTTGCATCGATCTGAAAAGGTGAAAATCGGAGGGTGCTAAGTCTGGACTATACGGCGCATGTGGTAAGACCTTCCATCCTAGCTTCTCTAGTTCCTTACAAGAGGTTTTTGCCGTGTGAGCTGGAGCATTATCACGGAGAAAGTTGATAGTTGAGGGATTTAGGCCTTTTTCACGCAAAATTTCGTCAACCTTCTTGAGTTGTTGAATAAAATAAGATGAATCGACTGTTTTTCCGGGCTCTAATAATTCAAAATGAACAAGTCCATTGATATTCCACCAGCAAGACAACATCACTTTGCGCCCATGATAATCCGGCTTTGGAGTTGGAATTGGCGCTTGACCTTTGCTCAGCCATTGTCTTTTTCGAGAAGTATTATCAAAGTGAATCCACTTCTCATCCATCGTCAAGATATTCTCAAAAAAAATGGCTTCTTTTCGACTTCTGGAGCAAGATATGGCTGATCGGAACGCGTGCTCCCAGATTCTCAACACTCAATTGATGTGGAACCCATTGTCCATTACGATTTGTCTTTCCAATTATTTACAAATGGCGTACAATTGTTGAATTGGAGATGTTTGGCAAGTTCTCGTGTTGTTTGCATTGGATCAGCTTCAATTAATTGTTCCAATTCATTGTTGTCGATGGCTGTGGCACGATGTCCATGCGATTCGTCTTCAAGGGATTCATTACCATCTCGGAATTGGGCAAACCAGAGCTGGCATGATCTTTCGGTGATAACCTGTTCTCCAAAGGCGGAACAGAGATCACGATGTGAATCAGCAGCGTTTTTGCCCATTTTGAAGTCATAGAGAAGACACGTGCGCAGAACATACTTTTGATCCACCATGATCTAAAGCAAAAATCAATTAAGAAGTGAAAGCTCTGACTTTGAAAAAACGCGAAAATAAAGTAAATATCCAAGAGTACAAATGCACAAAAGAACATCAAATAAGCTCTTCAGATTAAAAAAATAAGAACATTTTATATCGACCGAAATTTCTTTTGCACCAACCTAATAGTGGTTAAGTATACATTTGTATTTAAAAGTTTACTTTTGCTTACTCTTGATCTTTCTTACTTATTTTTCTTTCAATACTTTTGTTTGCTTTAATACTGTCTTATTTTAGAGATAGCGATGAACAAATGAATACAATGAATACAACAAATGTAATTCCCTCTCTCTCTCTCTCGCGCACAAGACTCAACCTATCGAGGATAAACGAGGAGAAAAATACACGAATGATGTAATTCGAGCCAAGTACGGATTGAAGAAGATAGCTTTTTATGCGATTTTGGCACAAAGCGAGTCAATATTAGAAGAAGCTTCGATTTCATCGCCAACAATCAAAAGAGCACATAGCGAAGGACGAAACTTTAGAAGAGGCAATTATATCATGGTTCAAATGAGCAGCGCAGCCAAAATGCTCTGATTAATTTATCAAAACGAAAAGCTAGTTTTATCAAAAATTTATCGAAACAAAAAAAACACTCAATCACTCATTTTATAAAAAAAAAACTTTCTAAACAACGTCAATATCACATACATAGCTGACTCGTGGATGAAAATGCGAGAGGAAGTTTTTTCATATTTAGAAAATTTCGTGAAGTAAATTGATGTTTACAAAAAACATGATTTTCATTCAATCAAGCTCGAGATTCACTTCGGTCAAACACCGTTATTTCTTCTTCAGGTTCCAACGATTCCAACTTTTCGAAACTTCTCACTGATTTTCCCGTGGCTGTCGAGGAAAGCGACATACATCGCATGGGAGGAGAGAGGTCAAAAAAAGCATCCTAAATTCAGTTATCGTGCTTTTTCCAATACGCTTTTTTTAAACTTTTTTGCTCCAAAACAGGTATCCTGTTTTTAGTTCCATCAAATCCAATTGGTCGAAGAATTTTCGTTTGCGATTCATTCACAATTGGTAAAAATTTTAACCTAGCAATAAAGGGATCTTTCTAAATTTTATAAAATTTTATTTTTGTACTCGTTTTTAACTTGATCGATTAGTTTCAATTCGTTGAGCATTTCTAACGCCATTGGTCTCATGTTTCGATTAAAATTGGTACATCTAAAAATTGTAGCTATGAAAAGATGAACGTCTGTTCGAAGTTTGCCAACCTTTGAATAACCTGCTGTAAACATTTCTGACAGTCTGGAGGCTGCACGTGTGTTATTATTCCGTACATGATATCATGTATAAAGGAATCTCTGTTGAAATAGCCGTGGGAAGAGTACTCTTCAAAAACATTTCTAGAAAATAGTGTGTTAGTTTAAAAATCAAGCAAAAAAACCTTCTTTCGATCATTTGCCATATGTTAAGTCCCAATGCGTATACATCGTTTCGATGCGAAACCTCAATTCCAATTTGAAAATCTGACTGTTTAAGTCTATTATTACTTCTACTTTCCACAAATTTGAAGCTGTTTGAACATCAGGAGGAATATAGCGTTGTGTTCCGACATAAGTTCCTGTACCTGTCTTTTCACTATGTTTCACGAGACCAAAGTCTCCAATTTTTAATGAGAATTCTTGCGTGACGAAGATGCTAAAAATAAATTATTTGGTTGAAACAAGAATATGTCGACTTTTCCGGTTTTATGTCCCGATGTATTACTCGATGTGTTTCGAACATGTATTCCAAAGCATCAAAAAGTTGCTTTCCCCATACAACTACTGTGTTGATTGTGTAGATAATGCTTGGATTAAACAAAACTAAAGTGCTTTCGAATTTGAATTTGAAATTTTTACCTACCTTGTCTAAGATCTCCTCTTTGACAATACTCCATGATAATTCCGACACGCTCATTCTCGTCAAGAATTTCCAAGCTTACTAGCTGCACAACATTTGGATGCTTGAGTTTTTTTAGAATTTCAAATTCACGTTGAAAATCGTCACGTTTTTGTATGTCAGAATATAGGAATTTGATCACAGTTGGTCTGAAAAATCATTGATAACGCTATTTTTTTTCAGGAACATATTGAAATTAAGAAGTACCAGCAGAACAGCCAGCAGAACAGCCCGCCTAACAGCAGGCTGCTTCAGAAATCGTAAAAATGATTGCCAGAAACGAATTCCCTGTGTTGGAAAACCCCACTATGCAAATTCCAGTGTAAAATGCAAATTGCATCCATGGCACAGTAGCGCGCTCACCTCAAGTTCGACCCGGGTTCGACCACCTACTTTGACTTTTTGCAAATTTTTTTAAAAGGCACAACTACATGAAATTTCCTTAGACCCGTGTTTCAGCGTTTTTTAAAATACTCAGAGGGGACGCCCGTAGTGCCGCGCGCACTACGGGCGTCCCCTCTGAGTATTACGGGCGTCTTATTTTTTATTATTATTATTTTTTTTTTTTTGATTTCTCACACATTATTTTTATATACGGTATAGTAGAGATATTAACCTTTATGATAAACTGATTGATAAATTAGCTTCTAAAAACTCACGGTTGATGCCCAACGAGTTCGAACACTTCACCATAGGCTCCTTTTGCAATTAGACGGAGCGCTGAGGGGTCAGGCACTTGAAGGCTAATAAGGTCCTTCAAGCTCATGCATTTTTATCATGCAAATCAAAGCTTACTTCTTCGTTTGATATCATAATCATTTCAAGCACTGACTTTTTTGTTCTTTTTTTTATGTTATTAAAAAGAAAAACATAGCACACGCATATCAACAACAAGAGGACGAGTAGAACGAAGACGAGAATTATGATGACATGAAACTAAATCAATTTTTGGCCAATTTACAATTTGTTCCAAAAAAATTTACGGAAAATTCTTGTTGTTGGCTGTTTTTGGCAAGGAGAATATCATCATTGATGTTCTGAATCCTGAATTTTCAATTCCTTAGTGGAAAATAGAAATTTGAACAATGAATCGAGTTGTTTTCAAAATGTAAATACGAGTCATAATATAGTCGAAATTTGATTAGCCCACCATTGACAGAATTCAACTTTTCGGGTAATTGCTGCTTTCCAAAAGTCTTCCATCATAGCCAAAGTTTTTCTCTTATGTAGTCGTTCAATTATTTGATCAACAGCAAGCTATTTTATCTTGTTGCAGCACATAAAATAACTTTACCGCGTCAATCGTCGTATTGCAATTTAAACAACTGAGCGTTAAACTCAAAGGTGACGCGTGAAAAGTCAAATTCTTTTCCGAAACAGAACAGTTCACTTGACGGCTTTGTTCTGAAATAACAAATTTTATCCTGGTTAGAAGGTTTTATTTCAAACCTTTGTACTTGTCTGATCCAATAACAGCAACAGCCTAAATTAGGTAGATTAAGCACGAAAAGAGTTGTTGCTTTCACTTGCGTCAAAACTTCAAAAGACTCATTTTGATGCTCACAACGGAAACGCTTTTTGTTGAATTGGCTCCATAAAAGTTTCGTTGATGGAAAGAATTGTCTTTCCAACGGAAACACAAAACCAAAGCTAAAATTTGGATAAAGTTGCATTTGTCAAACAATCACCGTGCATCGTAACAGGTTGAAATTGGAATGCATGTAACATTTGCATCCGAAAATTCCTCTTTCGATCCAACGATTATAAATTCCTTGGAAACATTTAAAAACTGTCACATTTAATAAATGATAAACATTAAAAAAAACCTGCCAACAAAAGTTTGCCCATTCGTTATCAGCCACAAAAAGTCTCATTGTTCCTTCTAAAAAAATTTTGCTATAGAAACATTATTTAGCTCAGATTCATATATAACTTCATTTTTAAATGTTAAGCAAAAATTTTTCGAACCCGATAAGTATTTTATTTTAAAGATAAGCTTAAAAATTATGTACAAAATAATGGAAAAACTATACAGGGTGCCCCAAAGTTACCCGAACCAACCTCTTTTTGTCGCGCTTTACTCTTATGAGCCTTTGGCTTGACTATCTTTGCTATTTTTTTGTTTATTATGCAAATTTTGACTTTCAAAAATGTTATTTACTCATTAGAATTCATTTTTTTAGGTATGGTGAGCAAATCTATTCATCGAGATTCGATTATCGAGCTTTTTCGGACCGGAGTCCGGCCAATCGAGATTTCTCAAAGGCTGATGGTGGCAAAATCATTCGTTTCCGAAACAATTCAATATAATGATCTTGGAACAACTTCTGATTGATCAATCTTCTGAACAATTGATCTTCTGATCGAAAAGTTACTGTGACAACAAAGAAGAATGGCAAGAAGGTTCGCGAAAAGCTCCGATACAACCCGATGCAATCTCAATGGCAAATGGTCAAGAAATCAAAGATTTCCAAAGAATCAGTGAGTCGAATCGTGAAAACAACATTTAAATATAAAAGCCTACAAGTTTACGAAAGTCTAATTTCTCACAATCGATGTCAAAAAGTCAAAAAAAAGAAGCGTGAAGATCGATCAAAGGATTTGTGCAAAAAAACCAAGTAGTTCGACGTTCAACGATCATCAGCTTTAAGCAGTGGCCACCATCAAGCCGCGATTTAAATCCGATGGATTACTCAGTCTGAAGTGTTCTCAAAAGCACATTTAAGCATTGATTCAATGAAAAAATCACTCCAGAAAGCTTGGGCTGAACTCGATCCTGCGTATCTTTTCGCCACCATCTTTTGGCCGCTTGTGCAGCCGCGCATGAAGACATTTTCCAGAAGAAATAAACCAAATTGTTGAAAGCAATCTAGAGAATGAATTTGTTAATGTTAATTTTTGTTTTTTTTGATGAAAAGGTTTTTAAACCATGAGTCTTATTGGTTCGGGGAATTTTGGGGCGTTCTGTCGAATTGGCAATGAAACTATTTTATTCTATGCGCTCTTATCAATTTAAAGTTTCAAACAAGTAACTTTAAGTTTACATTTGAAATCAAAAATACGTTTTGTCTTCGCAGTTGTTCGACAGGGAATGACAATATTGGAGCACGGTTCAGATAAAGTTATCGGCAGCACTTCATCTTTGCGCTTCAGGAAACGTTGCTTTGCTAAATACTCAAAGTTTTTTCGGAAATTTAATGCATTCATTTCAGTTGACTACAATCATAAATCTTTAGATTAGGACGTTCCAGACTGAGCTCATGTAGTTAAATCAAACTTGATCCTAATCGTAAGCAAAAACAGATTGGCCTAACTTGGTTTTTCAAGCCCTTTAGCCGAATCTGTCTAGAACATCCCGACCATATCCTTTCAGTATTCACACATTTACAAAATTTTAGCTTACACTTGACAAAAATATAAATCTGCTTTGTTTCCAATCCACTTTCACAAGCATATTCACCGGTATCAGTGCTTTTAAGATTCCGAATGTGCAACGTCGAGCCCTGAATGAATTTTTTTCCACTACCAATCAACTGACCCAGGAAGGTAAACTGGCTGAGCCGACCAAATGACATGCAAGCTGTACCATTCTACGCAGAATTTTACGCTGATTCCGAATCTGCTTTCCGTTTTTGCTGAACGTTATTCTGGCAAGAGTCATAAGCGTCTAAAGTTTAGGACTCTGAAAATGTGAGTTTTTGGGTCTTAGCCGCCTTCTGCGCGGCATCGATTCTAGTAGGCCGTGGTCGAGCGGTAGAGCGTCTGTGTTCGAGGCCAAAGATCTCTGGTTCGACTCCCCATACGGAGCTTTTTTGCTTTTTTCTGATTCCGCTTCGCTGGACGAAAGTAGTAAACATTTATCGGTTGAATCATAATCAATCATGTGGTATCCCAGCAGGTATATTTTCCATCATTAAATTGTCCAGGAGGTACTGACTGTTTGATTAAACTGTGATCCTGGGAGCTGGTTTATGTCCGAGCACACAAAGAACGCAAGTTTTCACATCTTGAAGATAAAAGCAAAAAAGAATCAGATACGGGGAATCGAACCAGAGATCTTTGATCTCGCTTGACCACGGCCTACTAGAATCGAGACCGCGCATAAGGCGCATAAGACCCAAAAACTCACATTTTCAGAGTCCTAAACTTTAGACGCTTATGACTCCTGCCAGAATAACGTTCAGCAAAAACGGAAAGCAGATTCGGAATCAGCGTAAAATTCTGCGTAGAATGGTACAGCTTGCATGTCATTTGGTCGGCTCAGCCAGTTTACCTTCCCTTGTGAGTATTACCAGTTCATCTAATCGAATTTCGGTTCTTTTACGAAAATCGGGTAAGCTGTAGCCATCAAGTGGAGAATTGGCTTTAACTGGGAATTCCCAGCTAAAAATTTTCGTTTTTTTTGTTCAGATTGAAAATTTTTATGATTGACAAACCTGTTTACCAAAACTCCAACACATCGGAGACTGACATTTTGTCCGATTTCTTTTTGAATATAACTAGAAGAATTCCTTTAAATATTCAGTGAAAAATACTAACGTGTAATTGTTCAAAGTAGCCATTTCTACAAAAATATCAGCATCGACCTCGAGACGTAAAGCAAAAAATTCCGAGAAGAAAGCGAGAAAGAAATTAAGAAATAAGTTCATTCGTTGAATGCCCATTCATTTTGATGAGCCTTAAATATGCTCTTTAAAAAGAGGTATTATCTGAGTAGATATGATAGCGAATTCCGAAGAAAATCAACGTATAAAAAAGAAAGGAGTCGATGTAAAATTACTTCAGCCGTACTTTCTTTTCTCGCAAAATCAAATGATCCTGCATAATTTGTATTTTGTAGCAAGTAGGAAAAGGGAGAAAGTTTTCCATCGATTTTCTCAAGACAAACCTGGGGAAGATTTCTCTTGGTGCACGATTATTTACGATCATTTCAACCACTCTCTCTCTCGCTCTCTCCCACAGTCGAAATTCTTTTGCAATTTATCGGAAAGTAATTTACACAAAGGAAAAAAACTTTTGCACATAAACATATAAAGTGGCTACAAAATGCAAAATTTTTAAAAATATGATAAACATAAAGAAAAATTTTTCTTTCTAACTAACAATAAAGATGAGAGCAGCTTCAAACTGTCTTTTTTTCTATTCGATTGATCAATATTCATTTGGAAAAATTCACTGCGAACGGATGTTGTACCACTAGGATCTAGTCAAAACAGCGCCCACACAAAAACAGCGCCTAGCATAAATATTCCTCACAAGGATGTCCAACAAGTTTTCCATTGGGTTTAAGTCCGATGAGCAGGCAGGCAATTTAAGAATATCGATGCTATGACGTCCCAGGAAAGCTTTAGTGGATTGGCTGACATGAATTAAAGCATTATCCTGTTGAAGAATATAGTGTTTCCCTCGATTTTGTGCTAGGAAAGGAAGTATTTAATCCGCAAGGACGTCCTGGTTATCGTTCGAGTTCGTGCGACAAGTCACAAATTCTAAACCAAGAACGTTATCCACATTGAAAGAGTGCTTTTGTGGACAGGAGCTCTAATTTGTACCTTGACGTCCTGTAGCGACAGCACCGAATTCGACAACAGACGTCCAATATGCTGTTCAGCGCGGACCGTGAGCTTTCAATGACGTCCCAGAGACTTCTTCTTGCCATACTTCAAAGGATCCTGCAAGAAATTTGTGACAACTTGGTGCGAGCGCTTCATTTTCTTTGCGATTTTCCGATTCGACAATTTTCTTCCTTTCAAAATCGCAATTTTCATCAGTTCGATCCGCGAAAGCAATTTTCCACGTCCCATTTTCCTAAAAAATAAAAATTAGCAAAAAGCAAGCAAAAAACATGGTTATTACAGGTAGAGAATTAAAAAGAAACGTGGTGGTCCTATCATTTTGCAACAAGTGTAAAATAAAGAAATGGTTAAAAAATTGTGGCTTTAAAGTAAATGATTTCGTAAACGGTATTCATGCGTACTTTTATATATAAAATTCGAATGTAAGCATCGTTTTGCATTTTTTAGTTATTTAAAATCAAAATCAAAAATCAAGGGTGGTCCTATCATTTTGCAACGCACTATATAGTAGATTATAAATGCTGACGCAATTCCTATTAAAAGAGAACAATTGTTTTAAACTCCGGACTAATTTAAATAAAATAAATAAATTTAGCTTTGCTTAATCAGAACCTACACAATGAAAACGGTGATAACGTGGGCAATATGTCTTTTTGACGCACTCAACTACGTGTACCAAAAAAATGTCATTCATCGAGAGATAAAGCCGACAAAGCACTTTTCTTAACCTTTTGTAATCAAATACAACTTATTTCGACTTGCCCAGATTACAGAATTTTTGTCACCAAGGATTTCACAGCAAAACTTGGAGACTTTGGAATGGCCAAAGTTATCAAAGGAACGTGCACGAAGCACGTGCCGTGTACCTGCCGTTTATGCCGTTTGAGGAAACTTTAGAAACGATAATTCACCCGATCGATTTCGATGGGAGAATGAATAAGAGTTCAGCTTGAAAATCGGAGCTCTCTTTTTGTCATCGTACCTCAATAAATTATTTTTGGAGATAAGATTATCGTAGTTTGAAGAAAAGGGGACACGTTTTAGAAAACAGATTACAGATCTCAAAAGTTGGTTTCTATTTGATTGGTTATGGTTCCTATTTGGTTCCTATTTGGTTCCCATTTGATTCCTCCTTGGTTCCTCCTTGGTTCCTCTTTGGTCCCTGTTTGGTTCCTATTTGGTTCCTATTTGGCTCCTGTTTGATTCTTTATCGTCCTATTTGGTTCCCATTTGGTTCCTCCTTGGTTCCTATTTCGTACCTATTTGGTTCTTTATCGTCCTGTTTGGTTCCCATTTGATTCCTCCTTGGTTCCTATTTGGTTCCCATTTGGTTCCTTTTTGGTTGGTTATGGTTCCCATTTGGTTCCTCCTTGGTTCCTCCTTGGTTCCTGTTTGGTTCTTTATCGTTCTGTTTGGTTCCCATTTGGTTCCTCCTTGGTTCCTCTTTGGTTCCTGTTTGGTTCCTATTTGGCTCCTGTTTGATTCTTTATCGTCCTATTTGGTTCCCATTTGCTTCCTCCTTGGTTCCTGTTTGGTTCCTGTTTGGTTCTTTATCGTCCTGTTTGGTTCCCATTTGGTTCCTCCTTGGTTCCTATTTCGTTCCTATTTGGTTCTTTATTGGTTCCTAGATGAGCATTTTTGGAAACTAGAATTTGAAGAAATAAACCAAATTTTTCAAATAGTTTCCCGAAATTTTGCTTTAAAATTGTTTGTTTTTGCTAAAATTTGTTGCTAAAAATATGCGTTTTTGCGTTTGAGCAGAATCCCAATTTTCGATTAGCTGAATGTCTTTAGCTTTTTTTCTTTGAGATTTGTAGACTTTACAACTTTATGTAAATTTCATAAAATATCAAAATGAAAAGAAAAATAGAAAAGAAAAGAATAATAGAAAAATTTCTATTAGTAAAATCGAAAAATTGGTTGAGTATCTTTTCTGCAAAAAGGGAATACCCGTAAAAGAGGAAAATGAGGAAAAATATGCAAATTTTGCGAGAAAATAGACGTGCTAATGAGGAGTACTCTAAATTACGTTAGCTTTTCTAAATGGTGCTCTTTTTTACGTTAGAAAATGTTGGATAATATTTAAATCACATTTGAGAACTTGAAAAATCAAAAAATTCTAAAAAGCACCAAGTTTTGAGGTGTTGGAGGAGTTGAAAATCGTCACCAGAGCATCAAAATGAACAGGGAAAGAGCTAAAATTAAGAATTAGTTTCTAAAAATTGTATTAGATTCTAGAATTATTTCATTCATAGCTTTTAATCTACCAGTCTTTAGATAACTGAAGAGTATGAATTCAAGTATAAGACTTACCCGCAAGTTGAAATACACTTCTTGAGACTGATGGGAGTGCTTGTTTCAACTCTGGAAAGATTTCGATACGTAAATTTTTGATTAATCTTGTTTTTGTGAAGTTTTATCACAACAAACATTCAAATGTGAAGTGCAAAAGAAAATTTTGGCTAAAACCCTTCCAATCCGCTTAACAGCGGGTTTTTCTGGCCGGACCTGTAGGGTCGTCATGGCGCAGTCGGGAGGACGCTTGTCGACGAGTTCGAACGACAGCAGATACTGGGTCGGGTTCGGCCCCCCGTAGTGCAATTTCGTTTTGACTTTTTTAATTTTTAAATGCAAATGCATAACTACAATATATTCTCAGTTTTTCTAAAGAAGTTTTAGCTTTACTGGTTAAAGACGGTTGAGAAAAGGCGTACAGACCTAGACGGTCGCCTAGACGGTCTAGACCGTCAGACAGACAGACAGACAGGCAGATAGACAAGCAGACAGACACTGCTCTTTTATAAATAATAGATGATAGGTTACTGTAGGAATAGTGTAGCTGGTTTTCTAGACTACTTTGGCTATTTCTAGGTCTATTTTTAAGAAGATTAGACTCTTCGAGGATTACTGTAGCTTTAAAGAGTTAAGGTACCATAACCTAGGCTTAAATTCTTTTTTTAATCTCTTTGGCTTTGGTAGTGTACCAAATCGTTTACGTTTGCTTTGCAGTACTTTGTGCTCTCTTAAACGCACCCTTTCTGGTGCACTGAATTCTTCATTTGTGAAGAAATGAAGAATTCTAGTGTAGCAACGCCTCAGGGTCATGAGAAGAAGCAAGAATTCAGTACACTAGAAGTACACTAGAAGGGATGCGTTTACAAGCTGAAAGTACAACTGCCCGGATCCCCTGCCTGTTGCTTTGATCTCTTGATCCCTTTTCTCCTCATTTTCTCCTCCATTCCTCACATTTCGATCTCTTGTCGAATCTCCGTAACTCTCAACTCGATTATCCTCATCATCAGCTCCACCTTGAAATTTTCAAAGCTATTGTCTAAGATCTAATTGTTCTAATTGATCTAATTGATCTAATTGATCTAATTGATCTAATTGATCTAATTGATCTAATTGATCTAATTGATCTAATTGATCAAAACAGCAAATATTCAGCCATGCTCAGCCAGTAGTAATGAAAGAAAAAGTTAGAGAAGCGCAGAGTTTTCAGCAAAATATTTTTTGATACCGGCTGAGTCGTCACTATCGATATCTATAGGATTTCCGGAACCTGAAAAGAAAAAAAAATGGCGACAGATTTGGGTTAATGACATGCTGAAATAGCTTTTGAATGAATGATCTACAGAAAAGTTATTCCAAAATTATCTCGAGGGTGCGTCATAATTATTGCAACGAGAGTTCAAAGATCGTTTTCCAAACAGGAAAACGGGCGTGTCATGTAAAGCCAATAACAATCAAAATTGGACCTTGATGCAAGATGGAGCTCCCGCTCACACGAAGAAGACGGTTCAGGACTGGTGTGTGGCCAACTTTCCCTCAGTGATCACCAAGGATGAATGGCCTCCAAACTCACCGGATCTCAATGTGATGGACTTTTCCATTTGAGCAATCTTAGAGGCTAATGTCTGCTCTCGAAAACACACAAGTTTGGATTCTTTGAAGAAGTCTTTGACTAAAGGACGGAAGGCGATTCCTCAAGATGACATTCGGGCCGCAGTGGAGGCATATCCGAACCGATTAAGGGCTGTTATCAAGGCAAAAGGCGGTCATATCGAATGATCTCTTGTTTCCTTATTTGTTACTGTTAAATAAAGCTATTTCTGTTTAAAAATCCTTCTTCCAGTGAAACTTCTTGGTGTACAATGCCTTGAGTATCTTGTTGCAATAATTATGACGCACCCTGTATATATCTCTTTAGTTAACCGTAATTTTGCCGTTTTTTAACGTCTAAAACTCCTTTCATTACCGTAATCTTGTCTATTTTCTGTTTTTATAAGATTCACAAAGGGTAGAAAAGATATTGGATTGGGTATAAATAGAGAAGGTTACGGTAATGAAATAGGTTTTAGAAAAGCGAGAAGATTACGATTAAAGAGAAATGTAGAGGCAATTAAAGTCGTATAATAACTTTTCTTTTTAAATAACTTTTCTGAAATAGATGAAATAGAGTTATTTCAACTTTTCAATTCTTCATGCACATGCATTTTATCTTTTCAGCAATCTCTTACCCTCCATTGTGCCCGTGTTCACGTGATTTCCATCGTAGTCGGGATCGGCTGAAAATTGAAAAGTTTAAGACTGTTCTTACGAGTTTTTATAGATTTTATTTATAGATTTATTTATAGATTTATTTATAAATCGAGTAATTTAAAAGAGAAATTGAAAAAAGAAGCATATTGTGGAAAATGAGAGAACTTTTTTGATAGAACCCTTGATACGGCCTGATACGGCCCTGATAGAACCCTGATACGGCTCTGATAGAACCCTGATACGGCCTTGATACGGTCCTGATACGGCTCTGATAGAACCCTGATACGGCCCTGATACGGCCTTGGGGCAGCCCTGATACGGCCCTAATACAGCCTTGATACGGCCCTCATTCGGCCCTGATATAACCATGATACAGCCCTGGTACGGCCTTGATACAGCCTTGATACGGCCCTGATACCGCCTTTGATCTCATTTCAAAACTGTTTAAACTTCATGCACGGGATTCTTTTCAAGAAATGCACTAAGAAACTAGAAAATCAAGATTCTAGTTACAGATTTATTTATATTTACAGATATTTATAGAGAAATCAAAGTTAACGCTTTCCATTCACATTCACAAAACCTACTTTGCAAATGAATATCCGCATGGTGGTGACCGTTCTCATTCTTGGCGATACACCTGAATTATTTTCATTAGTTTTTCAATAGCTCAATTGAATTGAAATTTAAGATCTTTAGATATTTAGATCTTTAGCTCTTTAGATATATAGGTATTTAGATGTTTAGATATTTAGATGTTTAGATATTTAGATATTTAGATCTTTAGATATTTGGATATTTAGATATTTAGATATTTAGATATTTAGATATTTAGATCTTTAGATCTTTAGATATTTGGATATTTAGATCTTTAGATATTTAGATCTTTAGATATTTAGATCTTTAGATATCTAGATCTTTAGATATATAGATATATAAAGATTTAGATATTTAGCCAATTTCAGACAAGTTCTACCTGTAATTTCCATAATGATCGATATCAACTTTTCGAATCTCGAGAATATGGGAAGTATGATAAGGCTGTGAGACGATTTGACTCTGGAAAAGGAAAGTTTAGTCTTTAGGAATTAGGAATTGCATAAAAATTCTTTCTATTTTCACCAACTGTAAAGAAATTTTGATACTTTCAAAGCTCCTTAAAATTTGCAATAAAATTTGCATTTTAAAAAGCTTCGACAAAACAAAAGATTGACAATCTAACTTTGAGCTCAAATTTCTTGATGTTGGGCTGTCCAATTGAAATGTTCTTAGTATCATTAAATGCGTCAAGTCTTTCTCTATCGATTGGTATAAAAACTATTGAAATTGGACAGCTGAGCACCAAGGAATTTGAGCTCAAAGTTAGAATGCCATTGGCAACTTTGCTCAAATATCTCGGTGTTGAGCTGTCCAATTGAAATGTTCTTAATATCATTAGATGCGTCAAGTCTTTCTCTATCGATTGGTATAAAAATTATTGAAATTGGACAGGCCAATGCCAAGAAATCTAAGCTCAAAGTTAGCCAATGAGAAAAGAATGGGAAAAGATCCTACAATCGTCTAAAAGCGTCTAAAAGATCCAACAATCGCATAACGGGAATAATAATGAGGAGATATAAACGGAAAGTATCGAAATTTTTAGATCTTTAAAGTCTTTCCAAATTTTCTTACTGTTGCATAGTGATCGGAGTCAAATATGAAATTTCCATTTCTCTCCCATGTCACCTCAGGTCGAGGCCAGCTTTCCACATCGCAAACCAAACGAGCGACTAGAAAAAAATCGTTAAAAGATATTTTTGGATATAAATTAAAGTTTATTTTGTAAAAATCTTAATTATAAATGATAATTTTTAGGAAAAGATTTGTTTTTTTTTGTTTTTTTTATGTCTTTCCTTTTTTGTACTTTTGTTTAAAACCAACAAATGCAACAATTGAAAAACGATTTCTTTCATTAGAAAGGTCTATTATTTTTCTACAAAACAAGATAAAACGGATTTAAAATGTCTTATTTTTGGATTTTTTCGGGAGCGTAAAGTCGGGTAGGCAAAAAGGGCGACGGCTCGATGTGCTTTAGACAATTTAGCTAAGGAAACCTATCTTCGTGTCAATAGATAAAAATAGAACACGGAAACTTTGGCATATAGCCAAATTTTGAGAGAAATTGGTCTGGCAGACATTGGAGCATTATTTTGAAAGCATAAAGCCGGGTAGTTAAGAAAGGACGAAAAAGGGTAGTCGATGATACGGTTTAGATACTTTAGCTTAAGAAAACCTATCTTCGTGTCAATAGACAAAAGATAGAGCACAAAGCGTTTCGTATATAGCCAAATTTTCAGAGAAATTCATTCAACCAATTTCTTCCTAGAGATTTTTATCGTTTTTAACGAAAAACCCGTGTTTTCACCCTTGAATTTGCTCAAAAGTGAACCGAAATTGACTTTAAAAGATGGAAATTTTAATAATAAACACTTTTTATTTAGAGAAAATTAGTGATTAATTAGTGGATTTTTGAATTTTTTTAAACAAAAATATGCAACGAAAAGACTTATTCGAAAAAAGAGATTTGATAAAAGAGAAAAGATGTTCACCTGATCCGCGCTTTGCTGAGACGGTGTCGTGCTTGGCGAGCACATGCGGCACAACTGAAATAAAGAAAATTTTGAGTCATATTTTTATCGTAATCTATTAAAATACAAAATTTTAGGTTTTAAACCCAAGATAACCCCCAGAATTGATCCCCATTGAATAGGGATTCGCAACTTTCTTCCCTATCCTTTTCCCTTTCACAAAAATAATTGAATTCTCCCTTTTTTTCTTCAAGATCTACGAGAAAAGTGAAATTTTGAGGGAAAGAAACGAAGAAAATTTGCATATTATTGGTTCACACAAGGATTTTTCTCGTAGATCAAGCCGTTAGTGATTTTTAATGAGCTGGATTAAAAAGAAAAACGTAGTAAGGGAAGATTTGAGAATGTAGAACTCAAAATGGGAAAGTATTTGCAGTACTTATTTTTAAGCATCCTTAATCATCTAGTTAGCACTACTAATTTAGATATTTGAATTTAAAAATGATAAATTTACTTCAAGTGTCATGATTTGTTGAAGGAAATGACTTGAAACACGCGAATTTCTGAGCATGAATTGAACATTTGCTACTTGCGACATTTTTCCGAGAAAATCCTGGGTTGGCGCTTTTAAAGCGTGGTAAAACTACCGTATCCCTCCGAATTTGCGCGAAATTTCATTTTTTTTCATTTTTCTTCATTTCATTTTATTCTTTTTGCATTTTTCTGATGTGGACGCGTTTGTTTTTGCATGAAACAAAGAGGATAAAGCTAAGTTACATTTTTAACAGCATTTTCTGTGGCGGAAGCTTTGTTTGTAGAGTTTTTTAGATCCACTCGCTTTCCGACGATCTGCTCCACGCATTTGATGCCAACTAATGTTAAGTTAAGTGGTTGTTATCATTTTCTATGACGGAAGCTTTGTTTTTGTGGCTTTTTAGTTGAAAAAAACATTGAAACATTGAAAAGAACGCAAAAAGAATAGAATGAGTGCAAAATAATGCTAAATTAAGTGGTTTTTATCATTTTCTATGGCAGAAGCTTTGTTTTTGTGACTTTTTAGTTGAAAAAACGCAAAAAGAATAGGATGAATGCCAACTAATGCTAAATTAAGTGGTTTTTATCATTTTCTATGGCAGAAGCTTTGTTTTTGTGACTTTTTGATTGAAAAAACGCAAAAAGAATAAAATGAAATGAAGAAAAATGAAATTTCGCGCAAAAACGCAAATAACGCAAAGCTTTCGTCATAGAAAATGATAAAAACCACTTAATTTAACATTAGTTGGCATTCATTTTATTCTTTTTGCGTTCTTTTCAATGTTTCAATGTTTTTTCAACTAAAAAGTCACAAAAACAAAGCTTCTGCCAAAGAAAATCATAAAAACCACTTAACTTAAGATTAGTCGGCATCAAATGCGTGGAGCAGATCGTCGGAAAGCGAGTGGATCTAAAAAACTCTACAAACAAAGCTTCCGCCACAGAAAATGCTGTTAAAAATGTAACTTAGCTTTATCCTCTTTGTTTCCCGCAAAAACAAACGCGACCACATCAGAAAAATGCAAAAAGAATAAAATGAAATGAAGAAAAATGAAAAAATGAAATTTCGCGCAAATTAGGAGTGGTACGGTAGTTTTACCACGCTTTAAAGCGCCAAGCCAGGATTTTCTCGGAAAAAGGTCGCAAGTAGCAAATGTTCAATTCATGCTCGGAAATTCGCGTGTTTGAAGTCTAATAGCTACAATTGTTGTACTTTGTAAGAAGAATGTTAAGTGAATATATGAAAATTAGTTGATATTCTAAAACCTACAAGTGACCATGAGTCTGACCGTCCAACTCTCATCCGGCGGGATTCCATTTGACGCGACGCAAACATATTCGGCCATGTGTTTCCGCGAGACGCGAATCAAATCCAATTGTGCTCCTTTGTGAATTGTTGCTGAACAAATATTGAAATAAAAATCTAGTTTTAATGAAAATCATTTTAAGCAAAGCAATCATTTTAAAATCCAAATGTTCCAAATCCAATCCAAATGTTTTTCCCGATTCCCTAAATCCCAATCCTTAGAAACGATTGGAAACGAACGGCTTTTTGTGCTCACAGAAACGCAGATCTTCTAGCACACAATTTTTCTTCCTTTTAACTTCGAATGGATCCCGATTTTCGAAATTTCTTCAAGTACATGTTATTTTTGTGAAAACAAAGGATTTTGAAGGGAAAACCTGGATTGAATGAAACCGAAAACTCGTGGGAAAAAGAAATCCCCCGAAAAATTCTCTCAATGTTTACGCAAAAAATCCTTAGGGTGAGAAAATGAAATAGAAAACAATGCAAAAAAAAATCAGATAGTAGGTGAAAATTTATTAGTTTCGTGTACTCTGTAGTCTTTCGTGTACTTTGTACATGTACTCTGTACTCTTTCGTGTACTCTGTAAACGCAGTGCATTAAATCATCACTTTTCTCAAGCTTTAAGCTGATCTTTGTGCTCTAAATGTCTTTTCTGAGTCTACTACTCACTTTTATCACCAGTTATAATTATCTAAAAGCTTTGTGGTCAGAAAAAAGTCATGTAAATACCCTTAGAATCCTTCTTGTTTACTCATCTCGAATTCAGACACACAAACAATACAGAGTCATTGCTGGGCGGGGGATAATTGGTGGGTCCCAGGGTTCAGGATACCAAACAACTTTTCAAGGGGTACCCCTTCACCATATGGAGCTCATTCTTAGACACCCTTGCCCAGTTTATAAGGATCCCTAGGCGAAATAGAGAAAAGAAAAGAAACAATCACAAATGCACATAGCCCATCATCCGCCCTTTCTAAGGTCAATTACTATAAGTGGCTGCGTTGTTTTATGGCTATTGCTTTCTCATAGAGATTTTATGTAAAATTTATGGAAAGATAGGTACTTGGTTATCTTCCTCCCAAAATCCAAAGCCAATTTGGATTCTCTTGGGACTTTTCTTGAGACAAACGGTTAAAATAAATTTCACCAATGGATTCTACGACCCTGAAAAGCACAAATTTTAAACTCTAAATCTTATTTAAGAATCATTCAGCGAGCAAGAGAAATCCCTGGCTGGCCAGGACTTTGTGCGGTCGCGTAATCGCTCTTCATCTGGCAAACGGCCCTGGTATGGGGTCAGCGAAGCCTCGTTCGTTCATCTCGTCCGTCGCTCCACCTCGTTCACTTCGTCCAAAGCCAAGCACCCCATACCAGGACCGTTTGCCAGATGGAAAGCGATTACTTGGCCGCAGAAAGAACACCTCGCCATTTACACAGGGATTTCTCGTTCTGTAAATCATTATCAAATAAGATTTAATATTAAAAATTTGCCCCCGGGCTTTTCAGGGTCGTAGAATCCATTGGCGGAGTTTCTTTTAACTCTTTGTCCCAAGAAAAGTCAAGAAAATCGAATTAGCTTTGAGTTTTGAATATAAAAGCTTTTCACAATGAGAAGACCCATCAAAAGAGCCGGATTTCCGAGAAGAACCTATACCTTTATAAGCCTAAATCATTAGGACTTTAAATATCAAATCCTTATTCACCGGGTCTCTAATTTCGTCGGGATGCCGGTAATTTGTAGTTGCATTGCCCAGGATTTCCATTCAGCAAAACACTCTGTCCTGTTGCCTAAAGGCTATAATTGACCTGAATTCATCCCACCTAGGTAATAGGGGTTAACGGACTGGGAAAAGGTAAACAAACCGGATCAACACGACACAGAAAAAGTCGGTATTGATTAATAGCTTTTAAGATTTTCCTACATTAATCTCGAAAGACTACAGTAGACTACAGATCTACAGACTACAGACTACAGACTACAGATCTACAGTAATCTCTGAGATGGATTAGCTGAGAAAAGCGCAATCTAGTCTATCCACCTCCATATCCAGTGGCTCCATTGAAACGAATGATTTGTCGATCGGCTCTCCGCCAGATTACAGACGGTTCCGGGGTGCCTTCAGCCTAGAAGCTTGATATAGACTTTAGGATTTAGTTTTGGCTTTGAGCTTTGGCTTTTAGCTTTGGCTTTGAGCTTTGGCTTTGAGCTTTGGCTTTTAGCTTTGGCTTTGTGCTTTGGCTTTGAGCGTTGGCTTTGTGCTTTGGCTTTGAGTTTTGGCTTTTAGCTTTGGCTTTGAGTTTTGACCTAGTTTTCAGCTCTGGAGCTCTAGAGCTAGAGCTCTGTTGAAACAACTCTAGCTGTCAGCAGGAAAGCCAATCCTGATCCTGATCCTGTCAGCAGGAAAGCCAATCCTTTCATCTCTGTCCAAATCTCTTCCAACTCACCTTGCAATTGAGTGTCACATTGTGTCCCTCGCGTACCTCAACAGCCGACGGAGTGTTTCGCGAGACGGATGGAGGAACTGAACGTGTTATTAGTTGCTTCAATGTGCTAGATTATTTTGAGATCCTGCTGTTTTACAAGACAATGTAAATCTAGCTCTAGCCATAGCAATTATCTCAATTCTTTCAGCTTTCAATTTCAGCTAAACAATTCCTCTTTTCTCTCATTCATTGCTGGATCTCCCGCTGATCTTTTCTTCTAATTTCTTCTTTCTTTCTTCTTCTTCCAGGTGATAGACTTGTTTAGAGTAATTAGGTGAATTCGGCTGCTTTTCCCGCAAAATTTAAGTCAAAATCTCATATGGACATTTAGAAAATCGCTAAATTAAATTGATTCAAGAGTACTGTAGTAAATTTAGGCTGGCTAGGCGTAACTAGACCCGTTTAAAGGCTTGCCGTAACTAGACCCAAGTTTAACTTGTCTACTTTTATCTAACTTTATCTCCAGAGAGTCCATTTTCCGAGAACTTTCTCTATTCACCTTTCAAAAGCCAGAAGATATCTCTTTTTGAAAAGAACCCCGAAAGCCAAGAACCAAATTGAATTCGCATGCAAATGAATGGGGAGTCTTGAAGATTGGGAACCTAGGAAAAGCTCAAAGGGGATCAGCTTTAGCCTCAGCCTTTACCCCTTGCCTTATAACCGCATTTCCCAGCTCCTCCCTTTTCCCCCTTCTTCTTTTTGAGCTCTCTGAAGACTTACCCGTAATTATGAATGAGTCGAATATTGAAAGAAACTATATAGAAACATGTGGACTTTGTGAAGTCAAGTGTTTAGAAAAGTTCGATGCATATAATCTTCCAAATTGATCTAGAAGTTTAGAGCAATTAAATCCAGCTCTAATTGATCGAATGAATAAAATGAATAGCTTCAATCGATTCCTTGACCCCGAAAATCCCCGGGTACAAATTTACAGCTAAATATCTTCTTTTTAGGCCATCCAAAAAGCAAAAGAAAAATTCCAGAAAAGACTAGTGGGAAGTTCTTTGTGCGGTCGCGTAATCACTCGCGAGCTGGCAATTGGGGGCTCTTTTAGCGTCAGATGGTTTAAAACGCTTTTAAACTTAAGAGGGAAGATGTGCATCGGTGGGCTAGTGGAGAACGCATTAGGCTTCCACCCACAGGATCAGGGTTCGGTCCCGCTTCCTGTTTTTCTTTTTCTTTTTTCACTATGCTCAAACTGTTGAGATTAATCTATGCCTCAAATTGGCTGAATTCTTGATACAAATTCTTGATCCTGTTAAAACCATTGTACTTAAACAACAATCAAACTATTAGAGTCTGGGATCTGGTTCTGAGACAAAAGTCTGGTATTATCTCTAGAGCTAGAGGTGGAATCGAATTCTAAGAACCCAGTTGGAGTAGTGGGGTAGTAAAGAAGAATGCAATGTTGAATTGTAGAAATTGTTCTAGTAAACCTCTCTAAGATTATTATATTATTATTTATTATTATAGTATCCTCTCTAAGCACTCACTTTTCAACTCAACCACCGCCATTTTCGAGATCACGGGATCGGTGTTGACTTGACAGGTGTAATTGCCTCGATCTTCTTCCTGAAAAGTTCCGTTTAAGTTCCATTTAAGATCATTGCCAAATTTTCGCAATGCAAATTTGGTGGGGTCTAGCATAGTATTTGGCCAATATTATCAGCTTTAAATCGGTTCTGAAGTTCTAAAGTCTGAAGTCGGGTATTTCCTTCTATTTCTCCCTTGTGTTTCCTATTTCTTCTTGTGGGAAGATGATGCCAATAGCTGGCTAGTAGAGCGGCTGGCTGCTAAGCGGAAGATCGGGATTTTTTGTGAGTTCTTTTGTCGGGTTCGATTCCCCTTGGTTCAAAATTGTTTGCCATTCATTTCTTTACTTTTTCTTTCTTAATTACTTGCCCTTTTTCCTCTTTCTCTTCATTTCTTGTCTTCATTTCCTTCATTTATTTCCATTTCATTCTTACCTTCGCATTTCTGATCACTAGAGTCCATTCGTCAGCTTGCGGTCCACCACGAGATCGTAACTCATACTTTTGAACGTTTCGAAAGATCTATATTTTCGAATTTTCTACAGATTTGAGTAAAATAGACAATTTAGCTTTATTTATTTGATAGCTTATTTTATTTGAAAGTTTATTAACCACAACTTTTTCATCAAACGAGATCAAACGGGGCGGTTGACCGGCTCGTGCAAAAGCTACCTAGGAAAAAGGAGTTTGAATAAATATATGGTAGAGTAAATAGCAGTTAGCAGATAGCAGTTAGCAGTTAGCAGCTAGCAGATAGCAAATGTTTAGCAGATTAAATTCTTTATATAGAGCAGCTTTTTTTTCAATTATACTCACTTTATGCCTTCCTAAATCCGTCACTTTACACAACAATTCAGCGTCTTCACCAACGAGCACAACGGTGCTTTTCATCGATGAATCGGAAATGATCGGCAATGGATGACGGGTGCAGACTAGAAAATCAATTTGTTATTATAATTTTAAATATTTTTTATAAATTTTAAAGAAAAAAGCTAATAAAGCTTTTTCACGAATTTCCCGTATTTCAATACAGAAACTGGCTGCTTTGAGCTATGAGAAATATGCGTAACGACAGCTTGTCCACTCTCCTGTCCACGCTGCATTCAAAATTCTGAGCCCATTGCTTTTCCAAAAAAATACCCTAAGAAACCGTTTGTTCTTTGAATGAAGGAAACGTTCAAAAATCCGAAATAGATGTATTGGATTGGTGAATTGAAAACTGCCGGCTATTGTCATATGTGACACTTTGAGCACTTTATTCAAAAGAAACCCTTTTTGGTGTCAATGGAGAAGTTGTAGAGAATCAAAAATCAAGCTTATATCCAAATTTACAGAACCATTCAAAAACTGGTTCTCAAGAAATGCCAAATTGACGAATTTTCACAAATGAAATGGCGGAAAAGGAGGGAGGGGGGGTTACGGTATCTGTCTGTCTTTCTGTCTGTCTTTCTGTCTGCCTTTCTGTCTGTCTTTCTGTCTGCCTTACTGTACGGGCATTTTTTCAGCCGTATTTTAACCAATATTTCATTTTGCATGAATATTATATTTTAAGTTGTTTTTGGTGTCATTCGATGCGTAATTTCATTCTGCATCAAATGATCGTTAAAATAGTCAATATATTGGGTTGGTGAATTGAAAACTGCCGGCTATTGTCATATGTGACAGTTTGAGCACTTTCTTCAAAAGAAAGTGTTTTGGTGTCAATGGAAAAGTTGTAGAGAATCAAAAATGAAGCTTATATCCAAATTTTCAGAACGATTCAAAAAACTGGTTTTCAAGAAATGCCAAATTTACGAATTTTCACAAAACTTGCATTTTAAGCGAAACTACTAAGTGTATCTTTTTGGAAATTTGGCTATAAGCCTAATTTTTGATTCTCTACAGCTTTTCTATTGACACCAAAATGGGTTTCTTTTGAAGAAAGTGCTCAAACTGGGACATCGGACTTCTCCAGTCCTCCATTTTTGAGTCTCACACTTGTCTCACACACAAACCAAAATCCTATCACGAAAGAGGAATCCGCAAATTGCCTGTAAAATGGGCAGAAGTCGTCGATAATAATGGAAATTATTTGGAATGAATTGATGGTTTTATGTTGAATAAATTTTAGTTCAAAGTCCCGCATTTTTCAATTCACCAACCCAATACTTTATGCTCACTCGTAAAGGCTGAATTGCAGTGCATTGCAGTGAATTCCTTCTCGTGCACTTCTCGTGCACTGAATTCTTCATTTCCTCACAGCAATGCATTATTTTACAAGAAAAACGAAGAATCCAGTGCGCTAGGAAGGGTGTGTTTATAAATTTAAGCTCAAAGTAGGCACATTTTCGCTGATTTTTTGCCCAATCAAGGAAATTCTCGTAATTTTTTGAATCGCCAATTAGTGGCCTTTCAAGTACCGTCTAAAATGGGTAAAATTCTTTCAAATTTAGAAAAAAAAGCAGATTTTATTGATTCTCAAAAAAAATTCCCAGGCAGAGAAAAAATCGCAACACTTATTTGTAGTCGACAAAATTTCGAAATTTTTGAGAAAAAAGGGCTGAAAATGGATAAATGAAGTGTTTTTGGAGCTTTTCAGCTATTCCCTTTGAAAAAACAATAAACAAGGATTTTCGGGGCGAAAAAAAATGGAGAAGTGCCTCATTTAGGCGCTAATTGAGAGAATTTTGATGTTCCTAAAAGTTTTGTGATCAAGAAAAGCACTTCTCTCATTCAAAAAAACGTGAATGCTAATGTAATTTCAAAATATTCAGTCAAGACATGGCTGAATTTTCTGAAAGACATCTATTTTCAAAAAATTTCATAATCTGACCGCCATTTTTCACCTAATTAGCCCAATTTTGCCTTGTCGAATGAAGGGAAAATTGGGCTGATCGAACTAGTGGGCAGTTCCAATACAGTTCCAATACGCTTCCTATTTTGATCTTATATGGTTCCAATACGGTTCCAATACGGTTCCAATACGGTTCCAATACGCTTCCTATTTTGATCTAATACGGTTCCCCAATACGCTTCCTATTTTGATCTAATATGGTTCCAATACGGTTCCTATTGTCTAAAATAAGTGCCTTTTAGAAAGCGTAATGTAATCGAGCTAATTACCATTGAAAATCTGGCACAAAAGCGTCGGAAACATGAGAATCGACGGCTCAGGCGCCTGGTTGATCGGCGCCAAGCGGAATTGCAGTGTTTGCGTGGAGAGATTCACGCTCATCTGCTTATTTAAAGGAAACTAGCTTTTACAGTAAGAATGTGGTTAAAGTTGGAAGATTGTGACATTCAGAGATATGCGGAATCCCGGGGGGATCGTTTTCGGACTTATCCTGCATAACGCGCAATCATGTCCATCCCAAATTCACTTACGCTGATCGCCTCTCTTGGGCTTTGCTTGGATTTGTAAGTGCTAAATTGGGCCGAGAAAGGGGAACTTTCAGGAATATCGATGTTGCGTGTGAGCATTGTCTTTTATATAAAAGAATTTTATGCAAATTTCAATTCAATATTTTACTGCAAGAATCGCACACCCACCTGCCACTTGAATCAAATATTGAAGCCAAATTGGCAACAAAAAGTTGCTCAGCATTGCAATCCGATGAAGACAAAGATCTTGGGCCAATTGGATAGTAGAAATATAAGTGACTCAATGAGGTGTGGAGAGGTCGAGTGGATGGAAGATAAAGCACCAGACGGGGATCTCTCCTGTCTTCCCTATTTCCTTTCTCTCGCGAAATGGGCGGGGCTGACCACCTGCCAAATGCTTCTCTCGGAATACAAAGAAGCCGCCCCTTTACTTTGGAAAAGATCCAGTGCTAGTTGTCTCGGATTTGACTGTAACCGCTTATCCGTTAGAGAGTAGCGATTGAGCTTCACCGTAACAACACTCCACTTCAAAACCAAAAAATCTAAAGCATGAACTACGGGATTTATCTGTAATCCGTTATATAAAAGATCCACAAGTGCTGTCAATAAATAAAGCTCTCGAAGATTTCGATTTGAAGGAAAAATAGGGCCAAGCTCTCCGAAATTGAATAGGGCCAAGCTCTCCGAAATTGAATAGGGCCAAGCTCTCCTAAAGCTCCTAAACTTTTTAATTCCAACAGATTTTACAGTCATGTGCAAAAGTCTTTTCACATTCAATTTTCTAGAAAGTTTCATCAATTTTCTTTGATAAAATTCATGGCTATCTTTAAGCTATTAATAGTTTTAGTTACATAAATATATGTACAATTTATTTACACAAACGTTATCGCTATACAACACTTAGAAAAAAATATAATTGCCAAAACACCCCTGAAATCTTATTGAAGTGCAAAAGTCTTTTCATATTTGCAAAAATTTTTTATGATTTTCGTTCGCTTCGTATTTACTGGAACTATTTTATTTTTTTTAGATGCCAGGAGCGTACTTGTCAACTCCGGATAAAGAAAGGATCGTCGAGGCAAAGAAGGAAGGAATGCCACGACATGACGTTGCTCGGCCTCTTAGGATGTACGCCCAGAACAGTTTCTCTTGTTATAGTAAAAATGAATGCGTCTGGAAATGTGCACAGATGTAGGAAAAAGGGACGGCCGAGGATTACAACAAAGAATGAAGACCGATTCCTTACGGGAGCTTTCAAGAAGGATCCGAATTTGACGTTGAACGATGGAGCCATTCTTTTCAAGCAAACTCCAAACAAGAATATTTCCCGCTGGACCTTGCATCGACGCTTGCTTCAGGCAGCATTGTATACTAGAAGACCTGCTTTCAAGCCTATGATGACAGCCAAACACAGAAGGCGACGCCTTCAATTTGCTCGACCCTATTCAAATTGGACAATCGATGATTGAGCCCGAGTGATTTTTGTTGATGAAACCAAAGTTGATTTTTTTCGTTCAAATCGAAATCATCTGATGCGACGTCCAATTGGAGAGCGATATCAACTCAATTACTTGCAACCCACGGTGAAAACATGCGGAGGATTAATTATGTGTTTCGGTAAGGATATTTTTCTTTTTATGCAGCTCAACATGATTTCTTTAGGTGCGCTGTGTAAAAGTTGAACCGGTCCACTTGTCCTCGTAACGTCAATAATGGATTCCCGCCAATATATTGAGATATTAGACAGATGTTGACTTCTATTTGCGACTGCTTCGATGAATCCAGGATGGTTTCTTTATCAAGATAATTTGCCAGTACACAAAAGCAAACTTTTGATGGGTCGCGTTGTGACTCTCTCGAATGGACACAAAGCACATTTACCGGGATGGTTTGGAATCAATCACGTTCCTTTGATCAAAGCTCCACCGTTCTCATCGGATTTAAATGTTATCGAAAATTCATGGGCCTATTTGAAATCAAAATTGTGAGCAAAACGATTCAATTCTAAAGTCGAGCTATGGTTTCACAGCAGAAAAATTTGGAGGATGATTGAACCTGGAATTCTTGATGAATTAATTGCATCGATGCCTACTCGTATTAAAGAAGTACTATTGGCAAAAGGATAAGCGACTAAGTATTGATTAAAGCTTAATTTCGTTTTGTGTGAAAAGATCGCACTACACGATTTTCAGGGGTGTTTTGACTATTATATTTTTTTCTCAATGAATAAGTGTTGTATAGCGATAACGTTTGTGTAAATAAATTGTACATATATTTATGTAACTAAAGCTATTAATAGCTTAAAGAGCGCCATGAACTTTATCAAAGAAAATTGATGAAACTTTCTAGACATTGAATGTGAAAAGACTTTTGCACATAACTGTAGCTTTGCAGGTTGACTAAAGGCTAAAGTTTCGTGTTTTTTACTGTTTGTTTGCTGTTTGTGTTTGCTAATTTTTACTAAACAGAATGACTTTATTCATTTAAGAGAATTGTTAACAAAAAGTGTGATGAAATACACGAAAAAATAGGAAATTTATAAATAGTAACCGGTAAGATGTGAGTATCGACGTCACGGGGGAATGAGTGCTCCTTAACATTTCCGATGTCCTCCCAATTGTTCGGCATAAACCTAAACCGTTTCAAATAACATAATGCAAAAATGGCGTAAAAACACTGGAATACTAATAAGTTAACAACTAGACCTCAATAACGTCGTCTTCTTCCATCTCAAGTGATTTTGGGGTGTCATCGTCGTTGATACGTCGGCCGTCAAATAGGAAACTAAAATAAAAGTCTAAGTAGAGCAATCTTACGTTTGCAATTATTCATTAACGAGACCGGCAACGGCCTGGTGCCGCATAAACTGTTAACGTAAAAGTATCTTTTTGACACGTTACCAACACTCGACGCACTCAAACTTAAATAATAAACACGAAAAAACCCCTCACCGTAACGAATTGACATTCACTCCTGTTCGATCCGCGTACGACTTTTTGAGCTTTCCCATAGATGTTCCATATTTAACACGGAAATGCACCTCATTTGCGTCTTGTCCGACGACTTTCAATTTAATGTATTCCTTGTCGCCTCCAGCACCTTCACCGTCAGCCATATTTGTCTAAAGAAAAGATGTTAATTCCGATAAAGTTGAGGAAGAAAGCGGGTAATCAAAACAGCAAAAAGCAAGCAATAGATTGAATGATTTCAAAGGAATGATGCGACTTCCAAAGACAATGGTCCGGTTTTGTCTAAACTGGTAACTTGGATGCATTTTGCTAGTCGTACTTACTGTTTTTGCTGTTCTAAAGCTATTAGTCAAGCTAATAATGTAGGGCTAGACCAAAAGGCCAGAGCTAGTGTCTTTTACTACGATTTCGCTCCACCTGTTGCGTTTTGCAGATGACAAAGCATCGAACTAGGGGTAACCGGAGGTAAGAAAGACGGGGAATTGATCAGATTTTTTAAATTCTTATGGTTATGATGTAAAGTTCTGAAAATGGATGAACCGACCGGTGTTTTGGCAAGAATGAGGGAAAAGGGGAGAGCCCAAAAATCGCAAATTGTTTCTGCACAAAGGGGCATTTCCGCAACTTTTTTCCGCAAAATTTTTCCCACAACTTGCCATAATTCGACATAACTCGATAACCTATGGTCAAATTTTTATGTTTTGGTATCAATTCGTCGCACTCGACGAGAGCAACAAAAAGATAGCAAAAACGGTTCTTTTCCAATATCGGGGGAGCGGAAGGATTATCGGGGGAGCAAATTTTGGCAGCGCTACATATGTCCTATATTATACAAACTACCGCCATAAAATCCGCGAATTACCCGTTATTCTCACAACCTTTATATTAGATTTATATTAGCGAAATAGATCTTTTCCCTTTGAGCGGACTTTCATCGATTCGCCACAATTGCAAATCCACGACTGGATGACTCCTTTGGTGACGAAATAGTCGATTGCCGTCGATTCCTTGAACGCACAAATATCAGAGAAGCGCATCGTTATTAAAGTTTGAAAAGAAAAACGTTGCAGTTATAATATAGTCCCGGAAATGCATTTTTCGAGGGGGCAAAATTTGCTCCCCCGATTTTCCTTTCGCTCCCCCGATAATCGGACCGCTCCCCCGATATTGGAAAAGTACCGCAAAAACATAGAAATCTAACCACGGGTTGTCAAGCTATCAAAAGTTGGGGAAAATTTTGTGGAAAATGTGGCGAAAATGCCCCTTTGCGGAAAAAAAATAGGCACTTTATTGTTTGGCTGAATAGCTTAACTGCGCAAAAAAATGTTAATATTATTAAATATAAATCGTAAAGGCGTATAAAAGTTTCTTTTTGATTTTTGCCGTAAGATAATGGTGTATAATTTCGCAAAGTAGCACTTTATTATCTTTTTTTAAAGTGCATATCTTTGTTAAAAGGTGGATGCGAGTGAAAGAATCGCTTCGAGACCTTAACCAAAGGTGATAGACGTGTGGCACATTTGAAGACAAAGCAGCTAGAAGACAAATTCTAAGGCATTTTTGGTGTTTGTTTGTTTAAAGATTATGATTTTTAACGAGAACTTTAAGATTTTTATTAGTAAAACTGTTATTGGCTCTAAATGCAATGCACCCGGCACTAAATCCCACGAAAGTCCCCGTTTTACGCTCTTCTTTTTAACTTGACTTTTTCTTTTTAACCCCTTGTGTTTTGAAACGTATTCATCTTGTTTTTCTTTCAGGAATGCTCGCCCGGCAAGCCGCCCGTCCGTTCGTTCAGGCCGTTCGAAGTGGTCATCACGCTCATGGCCCACCAGCGCCCGTTAAATTCACCGGACCCCAAACCCCGACAGGCTTCGTTCACGATGGTTGGGCAAACGCTGTAAGTTTGCTTCTGACTTTTAAAGTTGATCTGAGAGTTGCAGCAACGTTTCATAAAGAGTCATTGCTCAGTTACCAATATTAAATTCAATGCTTGCTCTATAAGTGCTAACGCTATTACGTTCTTACTTTTGAAACGTCTAAATGAAACGAATTTTGTTGACTTTGGCGATTGAGTTGGAATTGATTTTTAAACTAGCGATAAAGTGAAAGTTCTTTACTATTCTGCGAATCAAGTTCAAATCAAAAGTAGAGTTAATGAAATTGGTCTTACCTATTTGATTTGAGAATTGTGGTAAACAATTACAAGAAAACATGCCTATCAGCGTTGCTTTGATTCTTTGGCAGATTATACAACATTTTATATTTGAATAGACAGAACAAAAAAGGTTGACCTATAAATTTTGTACGATTTACCACTTTTATAATTGTTCTTTTTGTTCAGCGAATGCCTTTCAACGTGCGCAACAAATGGCTCTTCGCAACCAAGGCCACCATCTTTCTAGCACTCGGATTCTGGGCTCCGTTCGCTGTTAGTTTATTTTATTTTATTTTTTAAAGCTTTAAGGATAAATTTTGATAATTTACTTGAGTAATTCTTGAGTTTAATCATGTTCAAAAACTGTTACCTTAAAAATAGTTTAATTTTTTTACTTTGATTTAAATTAAATAGACATTTCAAGTCACAAATACTAAATTTGCGGCCAATCGTTAGATATAAACCATTTTTTCAGTAGTTTATACGATGCAATTATATTTGAATTTTTAGGTTGTGGAATGGCAGCTTCGCAAGGCCAACGCTCATTAGATTTATTTTTATCTCTATTGTATATTTCCTAGGTGTATAGAAAACGACAAAAAAATATCGATTGTGCTGACATTTTCTAGAAATTCTTTTGAAATAAAGTTTGTTTTGTAAGAAAAAACATTTCAGACTTAAAATTGCACTTCACGGGAAGCAAATTGGCTCTTTAAAGGGGATTTGCAAAGTTCGCTCACTTCACTCCCCTAGACTTCACTCATAGTCGCACATTTATCTGTTTGCACAGTGTAAGATGGGTGTTGCGACATTCACATTAGAAGAAGTCAAGCGCAGGCACAATGTTTTACCTTTCATTTTAGTTCATCGACTTGTTACTCGAAAAGAATATGATGCTCGATATTTTGTTTAGTTTCTTTTTTTAGTTTGGTAGAACTAGAACATCTAGCGAGTACCACGAGTCGCCTGTCCAAATCGCTTATTGTCGAGCTGAGAAGGGATTTGTGTCGCAAATCTGTTGTACTCCGGAAAAGGTTACCTGAGGGTCTCCCAACTCTTCTCATTCATTTGCATATGCTTATGTTTTCTTTTTGCACAGGCTAGCTTCCCGAGGCTCTCCTCACCCCGAGCGCTGTCTACACACCACAGGCTGGGTGCCCTGCACGCCGAATGTTTGCCCTCCATTCCACCCCAACCCATCCCCACCTATGTGTGTGCGGGGTGGGTTCTCCTTTTTCTTTTGCTGAGCTCCACCACTCTTCTAACATTCACTCTCATATTGACGACCTACACCAATACCTTTCTTGTTTTGTTTCTTTCGATTGGAGTGATGTTTGATCTATTGCTTATATGTCGATAATGAAAAATCGTTTTCATTTTAAGACTATTCCTATTAGGATCATTCATTTTTTTAAGAAACTTTTCAGATTTCCGGCCAGTTTTTCCCCGTTAGGGTCACATATTTTTATCAGCTGGGCGACGGGAAAATCAATTTGATTCGGGGTATTAGACGAGCCGTGGTGAGTCATTCTCTGACAAAAAAGGGGAAAAGGTGTGAATCTTCTTCTTCGGAATCCTCTTCTTCATTTTTAGTAAAAATTGTATGCTTTCTAATGTACAACACAAGGTATTCTCTTTTTGCAAAGCTTAAATCATATTTGAACCTTTGGAATTGAAACAGGATCGTAGAGTAACTTATCTTTGTGTGAACTTTGTGCTCAAATCTGTAAACGCATCCCTTCTGGTGCACTGAATTCTTGAGCTTTCTTTCGATCATTACTCTGAGAAAAGTGAAGAATCCAGTGCACCAGAAGGGATGCGTTTACAGATTTGAGCACAGAGATATTTAAGAATTTCAAATAGGAAATCGTGGCACCTGGTCTCTTCATGAAAAGGGAAAACTCTATGATGTCCCTGCACAAATCTCTTAATTACTAATGGCTGTTCGATTCTCGTTCTATTCTCCTTCCTTTCTTTCCTTTCTCCTCTTTTCCTTTCGTTCTGAAATCTCATTCATCCACATTATTCTCCGAATGTTTGTATCGATTTATTTTTCGATATCGATTTGATTGTCTGTCTATTTTGACTGTTTCCCGTTATTTTCCTAATTAAAATGTCTCATTTCTCTTAAACTACCGTAACCTTATCGATTTTTATTTAATCCATCTATTTTTATTTAATCTATCTATTTTTATTTAATCCATCGACTTTACGGGCTTAATTTTCAGATCAGATTTCAGAGAAGCCCGTTTGAATGCCGCTTAGATGATCCCTCATTCGTTCATCGTTTCTCCATTACGGCTATGGCTTTGCATAGTGATTGCTTTATGTTTTTCGAGCGTCAACGCGAATCTATGGGCCGAAACGGAGCGAATGCCCGACTTGCAACAGGTATTTTTTAAGGCTTAGGCTTGCTAGCAGGCTTGCTAGCAGAAAATTTGTATAGTACTGAAATAAACCGTTTACAGTACATAGAAAATCATTTTTTTATTGTAAAATGATGTAAGCTAAAGTCAAATTTGCAGTGGCGAAAACTTTGTGGACTTTACGAGGTGGCCACCGCTTATATGAAAGACGTTTACGCGAAAGTAACCATTTTTGCGCCAACTGATGACGTTTTCACGTACAATCCTGATATTCGAGCGTTGAGTCAACGAGAAGTCCTCAGTCATATGGGTCAGTGAAAAAGAAGTATGCTAGAAAGGTTTTGTTCACGAAATTCAGATTAGTCAGACTAAAATCAGTCAGATTTGGGTAATTAAACCGGTAGAAGCTCTCCGGGGGGATATCTCTCCAAGCAATGTGCCAGACGGCTGGCGTTTTTCCTTGCACACAAAGTACTTTCGGGAGATTTTTGACAAAGCCAATTTTTGACTGCTTCTTCCGAATCGAAGTGTTCTCCCGCAAGCTCATTACTCATGATCCGGAATAAATAGTAATCAAAAGGAGCTGGACTGTATGGGGAATGCGCCAAAAGTTCCCAACCAAGGCTGTTTATTTTAGAGCGAGTCAATTTTGAAACATGAGGCGCGCGTTGTCGTGGAGGAGAACGATCTTTGACTTGGAGAGCCTATTCTTCTCCAGGGATTCCATACACCTTTCCCAACTGTTCACTGTATTTGATTGCATTAAGGGTCGTCTTGCTATCCAGCAACTCCCAGTACACCACTCCCTCCATATCCCAGAAAACGCAGAGCATAAACTTCTTCTGGTGCAAATCGGGCTTAGGGTCACTTTCGGGTTTCTCGCCCACCCATTGCTTCCTCTGAAAGTTCACAGATAAAACCCATTTCTCATCTCCTATCACAATTCGAGAAAGAAAAGATTTCCTTTTGTATTGTGAGAGATGGACGGCACTGATCGAGGCGCGCTGCCACTTCTGGGGGTTATTGAGCAGATCGTAGCAATAGTTTTCAATAGACTTGAGTAATTAAACCGGAGGATATCTCTCCAAATTAAGCATTATCTTTATCTTTTCAACTTCTAGTGGACACCCAAGTTATCGAGATTGGTCAGGGAAAGAAATGGGAGAAGCAAACATTGATTCGATCGACGATCAACTCTGGATACATCTATATCACACAATTCGAGAATAATCCAGGAAACTTTGTGAGTTTTGCACAAAAGTATAATGTACAATGTACAATGTACAATGTTAAAGTACAATGTTTCTATAATGATTACCGTAAATACTCTAAAAGAGCGCCACGTAAAATCGCGTTTTTTTTTCGTTTTAGAAAATCATCTTTTTCTCAGTTTCTAGATTTTTCTTAACTATACTTTTGGCATCAAAAAATACTAGATTTCAAGGGCTATCTTTTGACACCAAAACGTATACTGTAGCTTAAAGCAGTGCGGAGAATGGGACGTTCAAAGCAACGCGGAGAACAGAATATTCAAAGTTCGGCTACGCGACTGTACGCTCATTAAGGGCGCGACTGTACGTTCATTAAGGGCGCGACTGTGCGCTCATTAAGGATGTGTTCTATTAGAGTATTTACGGTAAGCAGTGCGGAGGATGGAACCTTCAAAGCAACGCGGAGAACAGAATATTCAAAGTTCGGCTACGCGACTGTACGCTCATTAAGGGCGCGACTGTACGCCCATTAAGAGCGCGACTGTACACCCATTAAGAGCGCGACTGTACACCCAATAAGAGCGCGAATGTACGTCCATGAAGGACGCGACTGTACGCTCATTAAGGGCGCGACTGTACGTTCATTAAGGGCGCGACTGTACACCCGTTAAGGGCGCGACTGTACGCCCATTAAGGGCGTGTTCTATTAGAGTATTTACGGTAGTTATTAGTTATTTATTGAGGACTTGTAAAGCCTGTCTTTTTGTTGGAAAACCAGCAGCCAAAGCCTTGGAATCTGGCTTTGACTTGACTTAAATCCAAAGAGATACCATTGAAATCAATTTGTAAGCCTAAAACTTGTTCAAATTTTATTTTTAGTCCTACTACGCGAATGCGGGCATGATTTGCAATCACGTTTCAAATCAATGGGGTTTGTTATCTGTTTGAGACGTTGGCTTTAAAGCTTTTTAGCTTTAAAAGTCAAAAGGCAATAACTTTAATAACAAAATGCAAGTTTAAAGCTTAAGTTTAAGATGAATTTCTATCTAAAATACAGCTAAATTAAGGCAAAAATTTGAAAAAAAGAGGCGTTTCGCACAAAAAAACACCACTTTTAATAGTGATTTTTTTTTTCTTTTGCTTTGTATTGGGTTGTATTGGTGTCCAGTTTACTATTTTGTAAATTTCTCAAGATATCGAACAGATTTATATGAGTTTTATATATCATTCGAAAGCTGAAGATCTCCTCTACATTTTGGAATCAAAAAGTTTTTGAATTCATTCAACTTTTTGGGAAATTGACTGCACAAAGGGAGAGGTCGTTTTCAAAAAAAAAAACCCATCTCAGCTTAGCTATTCCTCAAGTTTTATGGTGTAAAATAACCGCCCAGAAAAGAAAAGAAAAGTAGAGATGCTCTGAAATTGTTATATTTTTTAAAAAAAGTTGTATTGATATATCTATTGGCCAAACATCAAACGGTTAACTCAATTTGAGCGGAGCCAAAACTTGATCCAAAGGCACCTCGGCTGGCTCTGAGTCCCGAGAGCTGGCTCTGAGTCCTGAGAGCTGGCTCTGAGTCCTGAGAGCTGGCTCTGAGTCCCGAGAGCTGGCTCTGAGTCCTGAGAGCTGGCTCTGAGTCCCGAGAGCTGGCTCTGAGTCCTGAGAGCTGGCTCTGAGTCCCGAGAGCTGGCTCTGAGTCCCGAGAGCTGGCTCTGAGTCCCGAGAGCTGGCTCTGAGTCCTGAGAGCTGGCTCTGAGTCCTGAGAGCTGGCTCTGAGTCCCGAGAGCTGGCTCTGAGTCCTGAGAGCTGGCTCTGAGTCCTGAGAGCTGGCTCTGAGTCCTGAGAGCCAAAACTTGATCCATTTTTTGGCCACCTCTTCTTCTGTGCATTAAATTTGCCCAAAAGCTGAACTATTCAAAAACTTTTTATATCAAAATGTAGAGGAGATCTTCAGCTTTCGAATAATACTCATATATATCTTTTTCTTGATTTCGGTATCTTGAGAAATTTACAAAATAGTAAAAAACGCGCCTTCATAACTGGACAACCCAATAGATAGCCAAAAAAAAGTAATTCAGCTGTAAATTTAAATCAATTTACGCTCTTCATTTTATCCTATTTCTCCAGGAATCATCTCCGGTGAGCAATATTTGTACAAGATTTGCACCCCGATTGGTCATCGACCCTATCCGGGCACGGCTCTTTCATTCATCCGGGACACTGATAAGACGGTGTTTATGGATCGACAGTATAACAATAATGAGTTGACGTGAGTGGATAATAGACTTTAATAGTGGATAATAGTATTCTCTCTAATAGTAGTGCACCCCGGTGAGCCGAGTTGGCGACGATTTTACGGCTTCCAAAGTTTTTCCCAGAAGCTAAACACTCTAATCATCGTCAAGATCTGATCGTCAGCTACATTTTCCGACCCAACATCGATAGGTTCTGATAAGCGGTTCTCGAGATTTCGAGGAAGTTAGGCGACGCTCTGGGTGCACTACTATTAGAGAAAATACGGTAAATAAAGTAGTTCAATTTTTTCAGGGAAATGAGAGAGATTCTAAACCGAGTGCCAGATATTGCGCTAGTGATTTTCGGCAGCAGTGCGTGGAATGGATTTCACACGTTTTTTCTCCCAACTGATGCCGCTTTTGCAAAGGTTTGTTGGAAAGGCTTTTAAAGAGGTGTTGGATTCGGTATTGATGTGATACGATCGTATTATTGTTGTACCCTGGCACTAGTCGTGATTTGACTAGTACTGGTCACAACTAGTCCTCCACAAGTCCTCCACAGTCCTCGATACGACCAGATTAACAAGCCAGAGTCATGCCTTGACCCTAGAACCTGCCTTGATACCCGATTTTTAATATTATCTTGGTATTGCCATGGTTGGGTTAAGTTTTTAGCCCAAGTCCAGTCGAACCAAGGTCCTGCTGTAGTCCCATACCGGTAAGGCCAAGCTAGCCAGGTCCTGACCTTGCCCTGGCTGGCTGGCTGGCTGGCTGGCTTCAATCCCCACAAAGTTCTTGAGCTTACCAGAAACTAGGCTTGATCTAGTTTACCTGATCTAACTCCTGGGTATGTCAGAAGCCAGGTCTAGGCTGATGGTGAGTCTAAGCCAAGCTCCTAGGTCAGGCTATAGGTCAGGCCTAGCCTGAGCCTGAGCTAGGTCAAGAGGCTGAGCCTGAGCTAGGTCAAGAGGTTGAGCCTGAGCTAGGTCAAGAGCCTGAGCCTGAGCTGGGTCTAGAGGCTGAGCCTGGGCTCTTGACCTGGCTATTCCAGATTAGGGAAGCCTGGAGACTAATTGTAGATCCCAGTACTGTTTCAGAACCTTAATTAATAACCTAATATGTTATTTGTGCTGTCCTAGTAAAACAATGACTAGAAAAATCCATTCTGTTATGCCTAATACTAACAGAAATTTGATCCACAGAAATCCCAGCGTCTACCAGAAGTCAGAGCCCTGTAGAGACGGAGATTGTAGTTTTTGATCGTAGTTTAGAACTAGTATTGACAAGACAATGATATTGATATCAGTACTGTAGCATTTGATAAATCTAATCCTATTCAAACGCCCAGGTGATCGACCGTAACCGAATCGATCGCGAGGTGATGTTGGCACATGTGACGGGAGTGAATCGAGTGCTTTTCACGTATCCCTGGCTGTATGACGGTGGATTGCACTATTATCCAAGTATACGGTAATTGAGGAATCTAGGAATCTAGAAATCTATCTAGTTCTATAAAATGTTTCTAGATTCTCATCGAATATTATCGAGGATAATTTCAAGTTGAAAATCTCGATGCGGAATATCACCGATCGACGGACGGGACGCTGGGATTGTGAGTGAAAGATTTGATTGATAGCAGTAGCATAAAGCTGTAGTATCAGTACTGTAGCATATCTGTTAGAAATTCCAGAAAGCGCTTTCGAAAATGTTATCCCATTAGGATCCCAACTAGTAAAAATCATACTTTATGTCTTTTTTCATGCTAAGAAAATTCATGCCATGCTCGGCGCGCCCCAGAAAACTCATGCCATGCTCGGCGCGCCCCAGAAAACTCATGCCCAGTTACCTTTAGCTTTTTCTAAAAAAAAACTACCGTAAATACTGTAATAAAAGCCCCCCACCGTACAGCCGCGTAGTTGTAATTTGTTTTACGTAGATTCAAAAAAACATGGTTTCAAGACGATTCCAGCACTCTATCATAGAGAAAAAGCGTTGAAAACTGAAAATTTTCTAACTCTGCGAGGTCTGAAATCTACTAGAAATTTTTGTATTTCAAAAATTCTTAGCCATCCTAGCCATCATAGCCATCATAGCCATCATAGCCATCATGGCCATCATAGCCATCATAGCCATCCTAGCCATCATAGCCATAGTGGAGCTCTTGATTAGAGCTTTTAGAAAATATATAACAGTTTAGATTGAGAAGACGGCAAAAATGGGTCTAATTTTCTAATGTCATTGTCGAATACTATAAATATTTGCTATTTTTAGTATACGTTGTTTCCGAGGTCTACGAGCGCTACGCGAATTTTCGTCGAGGCGCCGTTTGGGCAAAGGTTAAATTGTTTAGATCTAGAGAAAATTCAATTCATTTTGTTTCTTATTAGCTTTAGAAGCTTTTCAGCTATTCAACTCTTCAACAACAATTTCAGATCTTAGTGCCGAATATTCCCGTGCAAAACGGCGTCGTTCACATCATCGACAATGTGCTCGGAATCGTCAGTCAAACGATTGATCAGGTGACGGTTTCAGTTAGACATAGGCACTATAAACTAAACTGATAAACTAAACTGATAAACTAAAAAGATAAACTGTTAAAGTCAAAAGGAAAAGGCTATAAACCACTGTAACTTTCTTTAAGATTCATATTTTTTCTGAGTGCTTTAGTCCATTCAAATGCTTAGTCCATTCAAATGCTTAGTCCATTCAAAAGCTCTTTAGATTCTCTATCTTTTAAGCTATAGATCATTTCAATCCGGTAGATTTAAAGCAAGTTAAAAGCCGATTCAAAAGCCGATTCAAAAGCCGATTCAAAAGCTCTTGAGCTTCTCTATCTTTTAAGCTATAACTCGTGTCAATCTAACAGCTTTGAACAATGTTACAAACGTTTGTAGTTTACATTTGTAATTTCTAGTGCCAATGTCTAGTTGTAGTTGAGTATTTGAATATTCTTTTATCTAGATCGTGATGGAGAATCCGAAAAGTCGAGTACTGATGCGATATATGAATACGATTGGGCAAATTGTGAGGTGAGGCAATTGTGTTTTTGTTTTTGCAATTGAAAAGCTTTTCTAAGCTTTTTGAAGCTTTTTGCTTTTTTTGCAATTGCATTTTAAACAATTCAGCACGTTTTTAAAGAAAATTTTGAAACTTCAGAAATTATCTATCAGCAACTGGTGGTTTGGTGACATTTTTCGCTCCATACGATTACGCGTTTGAGATGATTCCAGAACAGATTGAGAGACGAATGTTAAGAGATCGCATTTGGCTTGAACAGGTGGGAGGGATACGATAGAAAAGTGGCAAATAGTTGTCCAGTAAATGGTTGTCCAGTTATAAATGCGCGTTTTTGAGGGCTTATTCCGAATATTTCTGCAAGTTCACGTGTAGTTTGTCGAGGATCCATTTCTATCGCCTGCTTCAGTACTGCATTATCGATCGCAGGAGGTCGTCGTTGGTGGTCTTCGTCTTCCAAAGATTCATTTCCTTCTCGAAATCGTTGAAACCATCGCCGACAATGGCTTTCCGAAATAGCATCTTCGCCAAATACTTTCCAAAGGCCTCTGTGCAGTGTGAGAGAGAATACCGATGGGGGCAATGATTATTAGATATTTATTCCGAATCTAGCACAATGATATTTATTCCGAATCTAGCACAATATTAATCTAGCAAGAAAATACAAAAGAATAGAATAGAATAGAATCAATCGTTGGTTCAATGTTTCATAGCAATACAAAAAGCAATACGAAAGGAAAGAGAAAAGAGTATGAAAGGACAATATAAAGTGGGACAATAAAAGGGACGGAGGGCCCTTTTATCATAAAAGCTATCTTTTAGAGGCGAGACAAGAGAATCAGATATTCAAATCAAAACATTTAAATAAGATTTCACAGAAAAGAGCCACTTTTCTGCACAACCAGTATATTTTGTCCAAAACCACCAACTTTTTCTAGTTCATCGCAGAGAATCGCTGTTTGGCAGCAATTTCTGGCTTGCAGGAATTTCTGGCTTTTGAATGTTTGCCTTTGCAAGCCAAATCTTTTATTTCTTTATCCGAAAGAACACTTTTAGTGGTTGAAACCATTTGAGACCATTTGTTGAACACACGTAATGCAGAAATGACCACTTCCTAGGAACGGGAGGAAGAAACGACTGCTAAATCAGAAATCATTGAGGATCGGCAGAGATTCTTTATATCGTTTCCGTTGAAACGAGCATAGATAATCCCATCACTCTTCCGATTCACATCCAACTTCCATTTTCGACAAAATCAAAACACACAAATGAAATCTAAACACAGAAGTTAAATCTAAACAAAGAAATTAAATCTAAACACAGAAATGAAATCTAACTAAATTTCCGAAATAGCATCTTCCAAAATACTTTCCAAAGGCCGAGGCCTGAGATTCAGCGATATTTTTTAAGTCCAATTTGAAGTCATACCAAAGATTGGCACGGAGACGAAATTCGCTGTCGCGTGTCGCTTACAGAAATTAAATCTAAACACATAAATTAAATCAAAAATTGATGTCAAAAACACGCAAAGTTGTAATAAAATAAGAAAAAGAAAAGAAAAGTTGTAATAAAATAAGAGATCCTGAATAGCATATATAAAATTGGGTTTGATAAAATTGTAAAGCTCTAAGGAGCTCTAAGGTAAAGCTCTGTTCAAGTTGTTCAAGAGCAGGCGTGCATTCATAACTGGACAACCTAATAGTTAAAAGATAAAAGTGAGTAGATAAAATTGAGAAGATCAAAGTGAGAAGATCAAAACAACAAGTTCAGGTTCTCAAGTTACATATTGTGCCGGCAAAAGAATTGGTGAGCGATGAGATCACGAATGAAACCATTGTGAATACAGTGGACAATATGAGGCAATTGTATTTTGTGAAAGGAGAATGGCCAAAGAATAACATTAGTGAGTGGGCTTTTTGTAAACGCAACCTTTCTGGCGCACTGTACTCTCCATTTTTAGCCTATTATGTGATTGGTGGCGGTATTCGCACGGCGATTATTCAGGACAATGTTGCGGCAACGAATGGTTTGTTAAAGCATTTTGAATGAGTGGTCTTTGACGCCCTATCACTTTACCCAGAAATAATACTATTGTTAACTTTTTATACCATTGAATAGAGGACACTTTAGGCTTTCGAATGATATTAAATAGAGCTTGATTGGATAATCCAGTCCAGAGAAAGCAGGCAATACAGCATCCGAGTTGGATCGCTTGCTCAGCGCTTGCTCCGAGTTGCTCAGCGTTTCCTTTCATTTTTCTGGACTGGATTATCCAATCAAGCTCTATTTGGTGTCATTCAAAAGCCTAAAGTGTCCTCTATTCAATGGTATAAAAAGTTAACAATAGTATTATCTCTGGGTAAAGTGATAGGGCGTCAAAGACCACTATCGATCATCAAAGCCATCAAAGAAATTTTGAATGAGTGACTAGACCTTAATGGTCGATAACTTTATCCAGAGATAATATTATTGTTAACTTTTTATACCATTGAATAGAGGACACTTTAGGCTTTCGAATGATATTAAATAGAGCTTGATTGGATAATCCAGTCCAGAAAAATTCAAGGAAATGCTGAGCAAACAAGGTCGATCCAACTCGGATGCTATATTGCCTGCTTTCTCTGGACTGGATTATCCAATCAAGCTCTATTTGATATCATTCGAAAGCCTGAAGTGTCCTCTATTCAATGATATAAAAAGTTAACAATAATATTATTTCTGGGTAAAGTTATAAACGATCAAAGCTTGGCCACCATTCAAAACGCCGACCAAAAGCCAAGTTTCGGTAAAAAGTCAAATTTCAAATAAAGTTTAATATTCTATATTATTATTTTATATTATTTTATTGCTATTTTTCATTGATAAACGATTTTTCTTGATTTTAGGTATTATTCATTATGTGGAACGAGTTTTGGGTGTTCCTTATCAATCACTCTGGGAGATTCTCAAAAATGAAAGTGATTGCCAGTGGGTTTTGTAAAAGAAAATTGGATTTTGTAAAAGAAAATTGGATTTTGTAAAAAAAATTGCATTACTGTAACAGCAAAAAGTATAAAGAAATTCGAAAATTTCAGAGTTTCTTTTAAAATGCTCGAGAATTTGCAACTTCGATACTCGTTAGATCCATGGCAAGTGTTGACTCCAGAGCAAAACTTTACTTTCTTTATCCCAACCGATCTCGCATGGCAAAAGGTATTCGAAAAAAAAATGATAATGATAACGATAAACAATTCAGGTATCTCCATACTTAAGAAATCGAATGAATGATGGACATCATTGGTTAGCGTTACAGTATGTCTACAAAAGGCATATTATACAAGTGAGTCAAGAGAAGAGTTTAGTCGATCTAAAGCGTGCCTTAGTTTCCGTAAACGTTACCGTAGCCGTTACCGTTACCGTAGCCATTACCGTAGCCGTAACCGTAATCGTTACCTTAATCGTTACCGTAATCGTTACCGTAGACGCTACCGTTACCGTAAACGTAGCCGTAGCCGTTACCGTAGCCGTAGCCGTTACCGTAGCCGTAACCGTAACCGTAGCCGTAACCGTTACCGTAGCCGAAGCCGTTACCGTAACCGTAACGGTTACCATAGCCGTAACCGTAACCGTAGCCGTAGCCGTTACCGTAGCCGTAGCCGTTACCGTTACCGTAGCCATTACCGTAACCGTTACCTTAACCGTTACCGTAGCCGTTACCGATCTGCTTTAGTTTGCCAGAAGGCAGGCGTTTACGTGTCTCCCGTTAGATGTTCTCTCTTGTTCTTGTTCTCTCTTTTAAACCCACTTTTGGCTCACTCAATTTTTCATTTTTTCTCGTGAGAATTGAGTGGACCAGAAGTGCGTTTACAGTAGCACAAAGAACATCGTAACTTTACAGGGTCAAGCTTTGATGTACACGGATCTCCGCGAGCGAACATATGTGATGATGAATGATGAAAAAGTGGTGATACGAAGGAGGGGAAGATGTAAGGAATTGGCTGAACTGGCTGAGCTGAACTGGCTGAGCTGAACTGGTTGAGCTGAACTGGCTGAGCTGAACTAGCTGAGCTGAACTAGCTGAGCTAAACTGGCTGAGCTGAACTGGCTGCTATGCGATCTATACCATTTGACGCTAAATTTGATGCTGATTCCGAATCTGTATTCCGTTTTTGCTAAATAACAATCTGTCAGGAGTTATAAGCGTCTAAATTTTTTTAGCGCTCTGAAAATGTGGTCATTTGGGTCTTAGTGGCCTTCTTGCGGACCCTTGCGGCCTTCTTGCGGAGTTCAGCCGTGACCGAGCGATACAACGTTCGTTTCCAGAGCGAGACTTCAAAAGTTCGATCCCACTTGGCCACTTGACCTAAGGTCTCGCTCTGGAAACGAACGCTGTACCACTCGGCCACGGTTAAACGGGATTCGGTCCGCAAGAAGGCCACTAAGACTCAAATAACCACATTTTCAGAGCCCTAAAAAACTTTAGACGCTTATAACTCCTGACAGATTGTTATTTAGCAAAAACGGAATACAGATTCGGAATCAGCATCAAATTCTGCGTCAAATGGTATAGATCGCATAGCAGCCAGCTCAGATCAACCAGTTCAGCTCAGCCAATTCAGCTCAGCCAGTTGATCTTGTTAGTAAATACATTTTTTAGATTTCGAGCTCTACTGGCCGAGGGGAAATGTGGTGGCGAGGGTGATTGAGGGCGGGGAAATAGCCGGCATAAATGGATTCATGCACAAAATCGACAATATTCTCATTTATGAGCCAGATTTGCATGCTGATGGTGGGTTTGGGGAAAAAGCTACAAGTTACAGTAAACCTCAGCTACCGTACTTCACAGTAGACTCGTGCTAGTGCTAGTCCATTTTCTAAAAGGCATTAAAAAACTACCGTAATCTGCCCGCCAATTTCCATTTGATCAGCCCAATTTTGACATTATTGATTGAGTCTTCTGATTCCTTATCAAATCCACAAAATTGAGCTAATAGAATGGAAACTGGGGACCAGATTACGGTAGTTTTTGGAAATAAAGGCTTCTAGATTAATCTAGCTGAAGACCTGAAGATTAATCTAGCTGAAGACCAATTTTCAGCTCCATCCGATGGTATTTCTTGGCTAACTCTTCTCTGCACCATCTCCGCTCCTTTCATTTTCCGTTGGCGTCTCGTTCGCCTTTTTCTCGTCATCGCTTTCGTTCACTCGCAATTCCCCGAGTTTCTCGAGCGCTTTCTTTCGCCGAAATATAGTTAAAGTCATTGTATTGTAAACATTTCCTTAAAATTACTGTAAGAATCCGTTTTTTGAAACATTTAAAGAAAAGGGAGACTTTTTAGAAAATGCATGCTTTTTCTGTCATACTGTACAGGGATATTGCACAGGGTGCGGCATAAGTGCTGGTTACAGACTCAGAACCGTGTTCTAAACGACGAAAAACAACTACAAACGAGCTAACCGTGTATCGTAATGAAATATCAACGGATTCATGTAAACTTTATTTAAAATTAACAACAGTAATCATATTCATTTAAAATTCGTTTCTTAATGATTCGGATTCGTTTCTTAACGATTTTCTTGAGTCTCGTGTGATCAATTTTTGGCGGACGTCCACTTTTCGGAAGCTCTTCGACTCTATTTTGTTGCAAAATCCGGTAGACTGTCATTCGATGCATTTTCAGCAGTTGGGCAATATCCGAAGTTGATCGTCCTTGTGCTCAAAGCTGAAGAATAGCGGCACGGTTGGGAGAAGCCTTCACCATTATGTCCAAACTTAAAAATTTGCTTAGAAACTGCTACATAATATAAAAAAGCATTCAAATTAAGAAAAAATAATCCTTTGGCAAGAAATGAAAATATATAAAATCAAATCAATCAGTTTCTTAAATCAATGTTACAACCTTGTAACCATACTTATGCCGCACCCTGTAGTGACTCGGGGTTCTACAATATCTCTAAAATATCTCCAAAATTTCTCCAATTTCCAAATTTCCTTTCTCAAATCAGGGACTTATAACGAATTTTGTGCTACGGTATTTTGTTTTCTTTTTATAGTATCCTTATCTCTTTTACCCCAAAAATCTCTCCTTATCCGTGTCGATGCGCGCTTCAAAAATACGAGTATCTTCGATATTTTGTACTATTTTTTGATTTTTATGAGTTTGATTCAATAAAATTTTGAAAACAATGAGAAACAGAAGCTCGATAAAAAAATCCTATGAAAATGCAAGCTTTTCAAAAGGCAACGTGTTCTAAACGACGAAAAACAACTACGAACGAGCCACAGTATGCCTTTAACGGCGGAATTTCTCGACCGTGACTATTGACGAGCAAAAAGCTACATAAATCTTGCTGTTTGGCTTCGTCCTTTCATTTTGGGGACTGGCTTTGAGTTAAATTTTTTGCCCAACTCGTCATAACTTTCTTCTAAGTGAACCAATCTTTATGTTTTTGGTTTCATTTTGTAGATCTCAATAAGTGTAACAAAATCAAGCTGAAATCATAAAGATTGGTCCACTTGGAAAAAAGTTATGGCTAGTTGCGCAAAGTAGGCTAATTTCCGCTAGATCGTTTGCGCAACTCGCCATAACTTTCTTCTAAGTAAGTCAATCTTTATGATTTTGGTTTAATTTTGTAGGTCTCAATAAGGGCAACAAAATGAAACCAAAATGATAAAGATTGACTCACTTAGAAGAAAGTTATGTCGAGTTGCGCAAAAAAATTTGGCGCAAAGTAGCCACCCCCAATATTTCATTTCAAAAAGTTTGCTTTAGAAGCTTTTGTTCTTTAGTAGATCTAACTTTTTCCTATAAAACATCACAAAACGTAAACGAATAACTTGTAAATGCGAAAATGATGTTGTAGATGTTGTAGAATCGCTTCGTAAGGCAATCGTAACAATTTTTAACGCTGTTAAAGGAAGCATTAGGTAGTGTTTTTGACGCTATTTGCACAAATTCAATTAGTACCCAACCAGCGGAACTTTTCTTCTCTCTTGTCAATGGCGCCATGGGCGAAATTCGAATTGTATGCTTTCAGGAGCCTTCATTCTACAAGAATTGCTACCACACTACGGCAAATTGTCAGGGAATGCCGCCGAAAAGACGAACATCGGTAATGTTTTGTGTTGTTTTTCTAATTGCTTTTCTCTGGTGTTTTAGATTTCGAAAGTTCCCCAATCGAAACTACAAGAGATTCGCTCACAAGATATTAAAAACGAGAATGTGGATAAACTCAAGCGTCGTGTCTCGTTCAGTCGAGAAAAAACTGTCCAGTGAGTTCTTAAACTTTTATAAAAAACTTTATTGATAACGGGGTAGGCATAAGGATTGTTGTGCTTTCATTATTTTTTTGGTTTCCATTTTGTAGCCTAAAACTACTGTTGTTTTCATTGAATATGCGCTAAGGACTTGCAAACTTTAAGAAACCTTTTCAAAATTATGACAAATATTGTTTAGACATTATGACAAGGTTGATCAACAGATGATTCACTCTCCGAAAATAGAATTGATCAGTGAAGTCTCGGGGAGCACCGAAGAATCGTAAGCTATTCAAAATAGATAAAGTTTATTGTTTTTTTAGAGAAATGTCGATCACAAATTTGTCAGCTGCGAACAGAAATACCCCGACTCCAGCTTTTGACACAACGTGCGAACTTTTTGGCTCAAATTTTGGAGGTAAGTGCTTGTAATTGTTTGTGCATAATGTTTTTTGTTTAGCTCTTCCATCATCGACCATACGCCAAGATGTGGACATGGAGTTCTCGACATTATCTGAACCAGAAGGAGCAGACAATCGATTTGGTATATTTTAATGAGGATTAACGTCTATAATTTTGTTTAGAAACAACAACTCGTCTCTTCAGCGGAGGCATGGGTGTAGACGAATCGCTTGATCAGCCGGAAATGCTTCAAAACTTTTTGGGGAATCCATCAACGACGTTTCTCAATGTGCAAGGTAAGAATTTAACACTTTGGAGAAATTATTTGCTTCAGCTCCCAACACTACTCCTCGCCTTGATCTTGATTTGGGTCGAGGAGGCGAAGTTGCAAATTTATTGGATCGCATGGCTAGACCGTATCTCGACTTGGGCATTTCGACATTCAGAGAATCTTCAGCAGATAGAACTGTTAGTTATATTTTAATTTGTTTAATTTTATATTTATTAGAGTTATTCAAAGCAAGAAAGTTTAATTTGACATTTAATTTTAATAAAATTTAGATGTATAAAAGTGATAATGAGAATCAAGTGGGCTCTTCGTCGTCTCACCAAGTTGCCGAAGATGGAACTTCCCGATCTCGTGAGAAAGAACACAGGAGACGCAGAAGAAGTTAGTTTGTTTTTTTGATGCTTTACGTCGGTTTGTTTCTAGGTCAAATTCCCGCTTCGGTTTCGCTGACCATCCAGCAAGAATGGTATTCGGAAGCACATCAGAAAATGCTAACCGACACAAAAACTGCTGAAGGACGCGCAAGGTAATTTTTAGCAATGTTTTATACTTGCATTGATCTATGTTTTTAGGCTTGATAAATCTGTTCAAGACATTTTGCTTAAAGCAAATCAATCGTTGGTGAAAATGAATCAGGAGAAAATCACCGAAAAACAGCTTCGAAGCCACATGTACTTCACTTCGAAAAAACGAAAAAATTCTCTTCAGAAATCTGACGATAATTGGTAGGTTTTGTTTATGGTTATTATATTATAGCTGTATTTTAGTGAGGGTTTGAATCAAGTCGAAAAAATCGTTCCTCATGCGTACAAGGACACCCCCGTTTTTGGAAAGTCCCCCGGTGGAGTCGATTCCTTGGTATAATTTTGTTGTTTTACACTGTAAATTATAGTTTGTATTTTCAATAGTGAAACTTGTATTTATAGGGCTTACAAGATGACGGGGAAATTCAAGTAGAAGAGGATCGACAATCGAGCGGACCCTCGACGAAATGCACAAAGAAAAGTGATGTTGATGTGCTTCATGAGTTTCGACGTCTTCTTTCTCCTTTGTGCGCACGAGTGCAACGCATCGACGAAAAGTGCGATTTTATCATCAGAGTTTGTTTTTTTGATTTTTGTTTTAGGAAGTTTTTTAGGAACTTGATAAAATGTACGTCATGACTTCAAAAGATGGTAAAGAAATGTCGTAAATTTCCGTTTTTTCTCGTTTCTCTGTAAAATGCATGCTTTTCCGGCAGTGACCCGGGTTTTTGCACAATCTCTAATATTTCTTCAAAATTTTGCTTAACTTACACTTACAAATTTTATGCTACAGTAGTTTGTTTTCTTTTTAAAAGTTATAGTATCCTCTTTTACCTAATCTATCCTGAAAGAGATAGCTCTTTTACCCGAAAATCTCTCCTTATCCGTGTCGATGCGCGCTTTACAAATAGGAGTGTTTTCGATATTTTGTACTATTTTTGATTTTTATGTATTGATTCAATAAAATTTTCAAAACAACACGAGAAACAGAAGGGGGAGAAAATTAATTAATTTACAATTTAACAGGAAATTTGCATAGGACGAAATTGCGCCAAATTGCTAACACTGTATAATTTGCGTCTAAAATCTTTCACGAGGTTGCTCGTGGTTTTTCAAACTCATTTTCTACCCTTTTTGTGCTGCCGATCGGAATGAAAAACGACGATGAGCTGGATCCATGTCTGCCGACGCCGAACACCGTCTACAAATCGCGGCTCTCCATGTATCGGGTGAGAGTTTTGTTGTTGAATCTTTATTTTTGAGGGAAAAGAGCTAGAGATGAGTTTTTGTTTGTCAAATGCTTCAAAATTTGAAAGTTACAACTGCTTCTTAAGTAATCCGTTTCCTAAAACGTGTCCCCTTTCTTCAAACTACCGTAATCTTCTCTCATTTTTATCCAATCTATTCACTTTTTGTATCTTTCGAAATCCTTTGTGCATCCTCCACAAAATCAGACAAAAAGTGAATAGATTGGATAAAAATGAGAGAAGATTATGGTAGTTTGAAGAAAAGGGACACGTTTTAGACAACGGATTAGTTTAAAGGATAGTTGCCAAATTTCCAAGAAAATCCCTCGAACTGTTTTCTCTGTAGATGACAGTTTATAGATTTTGTGAAAAAAAAAATGGCCTTTTGTCGAGCTGTGGCGCTGTTTGAGTTCTCTTTTAAATGTTATTTTGTAGAGAATTAGTTAATCTTTCTACTGACATCAAACGCGTATCATTTGACGAAATCTGTTAGAAGTTTTAGAAATTTCTCTGATTTTCGCCGCCATTTCATTCTCCCCAACCAAAAATATCTAAAAAGTCTAGCGCGTCTGTCTGTCACGCTTTTCAATCTCGGCCGCTTAGCGGCTAGTAGCAGCTAGTTTGACATTAAACTAAACTTTACGATTCAAAAATGAAGCAAGTAAAAAAGTAGGGAAGCGATGTCTGAGTTTTATCTTTTGGTTAGGAAAAAGGTTTGTTTTCAATTAATGCTAGAAGTTAACAACAAACTATACAACCCTCTATCATTTGCAAAGTACCTGCCGTAAATACTCTACTAGTACCCCACCCCCTCGTACAGTCGCGTAGTCGCAAAAGTCGCAAAGTTTTTTAGTATTTCATTTTTTTCAAAGCGCCCGTACTTTCAAAAAATGCTTCTTTGGTATCAAAAAATAGCCCTGCATTTCAGCTATTTTTTGATACCTAAACGAGCATTGTAGCATAAACCAGTGTCGAGAAAAACTCGTCCAAAGCTAGACTACGCGATGCTCCGGCCGTCATTATAAACTGATGACGAGAAAAATGCGTTTAAAGTTAGACTACGTGATGCTCCGTCAAAAAAAAAATAGCCCTGAATCAAAAAATAGCCCTGAATTTCAGCTATTTTTTGATACCTAAACGAGCATTGTAGCATAAACCAGTGTCGAGAAAAACGCGTTCAAAGCTAGACTAGGCGACGCTCCGGCCGTCATTATGGGGGGCGGGGTACTATTACAGTATTTACAGTCTCTATATCCGTCTTTTTAGATCAAAACACTTCTCGGCAAGGGCGGCTATGGCGCGGTCTTTGAAGCGGTGCGAATCAGCGACAACACGCGCGTGGCCATCAAATGTGAGCTAAACGCCGTCAGGAAAAAGGTGAGTATTTTAATTTCGAAGTTAAGCGAGACTTAATTTATGTATTTTCAGTTGCTCTACTTGGAGGTGAAAGTGCTGAAGGCGGCGCAAAAGCTGGGAATGACGCGTTTTTGTCGGATTTTTGATCACGGTATCATCAACGATCAGCTCTCATTTCTCGTCATGACGCTGGTAAGCTTGCATTTTTCTTAAAAGCAATAGATTAACTTAAAAAGATTAACTTTATAATGGTGCAATCAAGTTTTGTGGAGGAATTTTAATTTTAAAAGGTTTTCGGATGTTATTGTTGAGATTTTCGCTTTAAGTCGATAAAGAAACCTGTAACTACATGTTATTAAGCACTTGATGTTTAGCTTTTACTTTTTAGATTGGCACAAATCTCTGGGACAATCGAATGTCACGACCAAAACACCACTTTAGGTTAAAATCTTTGTAATATTTTAAAATCCATTTTCTTTAGCACCTCCACCGCATTGCAAATGGCCGAACAAACGCTTTTGTGCATCGAGCAGCTGCATCGGGTGCGCTTACTTGCGAATTTTCGTTTATAAAATGTGTTTAGCTTGGATTTCTGCATCGTATGTTTTTCACCCAAAAATAAAGAGCCACATGCACAACTTTGTACGATTTAAACATTCATTTGGAACAGAGAGAACAATTTTTAGGTGACGTAAAGCCGGGCAATTTTGGGCTAGGCCATGACGAGAAAACGAAGCACACGTTGTATGTGCTCGATTTTGGACTTTGCCGACGATACACTGATAGAGAGGTGAGTTTTCGATGTTTTTTTGGTGATAAAATCAATGCTTTTGTACGAGCTTCGTCGCCCAAGGCAACGCCCTAGCTATCGAGGAACCACAAGGTATATTTTCGTTAGCAAAATTTAAATTTATGAAATCAAAGATATGCTTTTACTTTTAGGTACGCTTCTGTGGCCGCGCTCAGTCTTGTCGAACAAAGCAGGAAAGACGATTTGGAGAGTTGGCTGTACATGGTTGGCGTTTTGTTACGAAATATCCTGAAACAAGCTTTTAGATCATCGAGTGGTCGAGTGGGAAATTACCGTGGCGCAACGATCGGGATAAGAAAGAAGTGATTCGACAAAAAATGGAGTTACGAAGCGAGGAATCGATCAGGAACAAGTGCGTCACTTCATTTGAAAAAATGTTTTCTTTTTAGAGTGCTGAATATTTGCCCTAGAGAGCAGTACACGACCATTATGAGGTACTTGGACGAGTTGACATATGTGGATGTGCCTGATTACGAGTATATCCAAGGAATTATCAAGGACTCATACACGGTAAGCTTGTTCAGTTGACAATGTTGATTTTCGTCTAGGTGTACGGTTTTTCGCCAAACACACCGCTTGATTGGGATACGGATCAAGAATTCAATCCGCCGCAAGACGTGATCGGAACTGGACGACCAATCTACTTTGATCAAGTAGGATCTTTTGTGATTTTAAACTGTTGCAAACATTTTCAGATGAAGAGCACCCATCCATCCGGGAAGAAGGAAAAGGGAAACACCAAGGACACCGTTATCGACAAGCTGAGAGAGGGCACATGCCCTTCTGGGACTAAATGATCCATTTAATACTGGCCTACTTTTTTGAATTTGAGGTATCCGTTAAATAGATTGTTTTGGTAGATAACTTCGTGCATTCTCGTTTTTTGATTGTCCGTGAAAGAAAATAAATTAAATTAATGAAAAAATAAGTATGATCATGAACAAATAAAGAACCAACAATTAGAATCTTTTTCCTCCAAACTTTGCTTTCCATTTTTGCTTTCTAACGAGTTTTCGTTTGGCTTCGGCGGAAATCTGAAATAAGGGCATAACTAACTGTTTCCCACTCTTCATCTATAATAGTAAGTGCTAAAATATTTTACTCAAAGTCTACTTACCTTTCCTCGAACAAAATTCTTCTTGCGCATATTTAGCCTCACAAAGTTTTCACCATTAGACTTCGCTCGTTCACGAGTTTTATTGGTGCTAAATGACAACAAAGTAACTTTTTGAAGTAAATATCATTTACTTGAAAAGATTCTTCCTCGTCTTTGGCTTCTCATTGATTGTTTCCTCGGGTAACTCGGAAGTTTCATCCTGAAATATGTAAAGGATCAAAAGCGACAAAATACTTACATCAAATGATGGACCCATTGCTTCGATAGGTCGCACCTTCTCACTTGATGCCAACAAAAGATTTTCCGTGTTTTGTAAAACAAGTCTCCTAAAAGAAAACGAATGCAAAACATATTTTGTTCTATTTCCTAAAGTTTCATTTTCTAAGGTCAAAACGCTTACCTAAAAGCCGGTTTACGTGGTGATCGAATCGGTGTTCGATTGACGGATGGCGGAGCGGCAAAAGTTGATGTCGAGGGGCGATCGGGAGTGAGAGTTGTCTTGTGATGTAGATGCTAAAGTGAATATTTTTATAAAAAAAACAGGCAACTAATCAACAACTACTATCTGAGTTTGTTTTTAAGCTCGTTACTTATAATGAAAATGGCTAAAAAGTCTTTTGGGAGTGAATCAAATACTTTATGTCCAAAATTCACTAACCGAAAGCGCTTTTAGTGGTGACAACATGCCCTTAGTTGGTGATTCGATTGTAGTCAGAAGAAATTTTTTCGAAAGGCCTTTAGAGAGAACCTAAAATGTGACTTTCTTTCCATAAAAGCAGATGAAACTACCTTAGCTGCTTCTGATGATTTTACCTCCTCCAAGATTTTTTGAGTTTTCAGTGATGAAGCGCTAGGCGTGCCAGTTGTTTGCTAAAAAAAATCTATAAATTGAAGCGTTATAGGGATAGCTTACCAATTCCTTCTTGCTTTTCTTCTTCATCGGACTCGTGTACTCGGGAGTTCGCAAAATCGACCGTGGTCGTTTTACTGCTTTTCCTTTCGATGTTTCTGGTTTCCTCGGCCCAAGCTCATCTAAAGCAAAATGTATTAAAAATACTAAAGTAAAGAAAGAAAAAGAAAACAGTAAAGAAAACAAAGTGCTAAAGTTTCATTTTAAAATTATATTGGGTACTAGATTGCGCAAAATTGACATTTTCTTTCAAGGTTTAAGAATTTAAAACACCTAGATGAATCATTTATAAGTAAGAATTAATAGAAAAAAATGCTACCTCGTACATGCTTTGGAGCCAATGAATAGTCGGCTTTGGTCGGGGTTTTCCCGTGGATCGTTTTGAAAGCAGTTTTCCATTTGTCGGCCATCGAATTGCACCTGAAAAATCAAGAATTAGCCGGATAAATTGAAGAAAAAAGAAAAGTAAAAGAAAAGCTGAAAGCAAAAAGCTAGAAGTAAAGCCCACAAAGACCAGAAGAAATTTTTGGTTATCCCTCATTTCTCCTAATGCTATTGGTTGCGGTACAGTTTACCTCCCTCCCCCCCCAATTGGGACCTCTCAAGTGGTTTTTCTAGGGCCTTTGCGTAGAATCCGAATTTTAACATCCCAGATGTGGACCAGGCGTTTTTCCCAAAATTGATAATATGAGACAAAACCATTTTTTGTCCTGGTCCCCCAAGGTAAAATTTTTTCAAAAAAATTAAATTTTCCGGGATGGCGCATCACGTGGTTTCCCAGAGCACCTGCGGTCGGCCAATAAAAAAACACGTTGTGACGCAGGTCACTTCTCGGTCGCGCATCACGGGCTAACACGGGCGTCGCAGTTATGCATCACACGGGTAACGTGTGATGTATAACTGAGCCGAAGCCTAGGTAAATAGCAAACCCGCGACAAGGGGAACCCCCCAGGGTCAAGGGTAGGGAAAACAATAAAATTTTTTGAACTTTATTTTCGAAAAAATTTTTGCCTTGGGGACCAAGCCAAAAAACAAAAAAGTTGAAAAATTTTGTGGAAAAAATGCCTGATCCACACCTTGGATGCTGAAATTCGGATTCTACGCACAAAATTACCCCAGAAAAACCACTTGAGAGGTCCGAATTGCGGGGGGGGTAAACTGTACTCCAGCCGTTTTTTATATCATTCTCCCCAACTATTCTTTTCACAATCTAATTTGTATTTTAGTCGAATTAAATTTAGTGTTGGAGTCGCGGGAGATTTACGATAGCAATTTCAGATGTTAAAAGCTATTGTCCTCATTCTAATTCAGAACCTGTATCCAACTTGGGGTTGCCTCGCGGACTGGTTAGAAAAACGATTCGAGTCTGTGATTCAATGGTTTAAACATCATTATATTCGAAAAAAGACGAAAATATTGGAAAGCGCCAACTTTTCCTCCGCAAAGTAGAAGTTTGAACAACGAACGAGAACAATTGCCTCCAGGGCATTTCCAACCATTCAAAGACGTCGAAATTTTTGAAAAACCTTTATTCTTATCAGGTTCACATTGACACTAAGATTTGTGAACACCGCGAACGATCACAGCAACTCAAAAAAGATCGAATGATCGAAAAATTTGCATTTAATAGTCTTTAGATGAAATGTCGCTAGACGAAAAGTTTTTTAGGCAAAATGGCGTTAGGTGAAATGTCCGCGGGTAGGCTAATTTCCGCCATTTTATTTGCGCAACTGGGTCATTTGCGCAGCTATAACTTCCTGTTAAGTGGGCCAATCTTTATGATTTTGGTTTCATTTTGTAGATCTCAACAAGTGCAACAAAATGAAGTGGAAATCATAAAGACTTTTTCACTTAGAAGAAAGTTATGGCGAGTTGCGCAAACGACCCAGTTGCACAAATGACCCAGTTGCGCAAATAAAATGGCGGAAATTAGCCTACCCCATGTCCGCGTCTAAAAATATTTTGAGATTAACTTTTATATGTTTACTTTAACTAAAGATATTTAGCTGACGAATGAAATATTTTGAGCGACGCGCCTCTAAAGGCGTATTTAGGAAAGACTCGAAGTATAAATCGCTTTTCCTCCCATTTCTTCTTTGCAGCTGTTCCGTCCACTTTTTTATCTCTTTTTACTTTTAATATGTTCTCTACGCAATTTTAAGCTTAAAATTTTAGTTTCGGTAATCAACAACTCGCCGGATCAACAACAACTTTGAGGATGAGCTTTGCTGATGGTGATTTTTTTGAAATTTGATTAAATTATAAACTATCGACTTTAATATAAAATTTGCAATATTTGGGTTAATACAAAGCAGATTAACATCATTTTAAGATGACCCGTCTCTGGGATCGGATTTCACGTCTGCACCACAACTCAAGTTGATTGAGACACAACAAGGCACTCAACCCGATACAATTGCAGCTGGTAAAAATTTTTGTTTTTAGAGTTTTTTTCGGCTTTAAGGCTAGTTGATTTAAAATAATTTGTGTCATTTAGATACGAGTGTGATAAATGATGGATCAAACGCCGAGCCTCTCGGAGAAACGAGACCCTGGTTGAATCCGGAGGCTGAAACGCAACAATGGAACTTGGCTGGTGAGTTGTTTAAATGATTTGTTGCATGTTAGTGTTTTGCCAAAAATGTATACATAAATTTCAGGGAAAAGGGTCGGTCGACGGAGTACAAGTGAGGATTTCGATTAATCTTCAGGATTACATTTTTTTGTTTTAGTGACAGCTGAAGAAAAGAAACGAGATAATAAACTTCGTAAGCAGCAAAGAAAAGCGGCGGTAAAGAAAGCTGTTGCGCATGCTAGTGTGACTTCAGATAGTGCAGGCGTAAATGCGAGTGGAGGTTTGTTTATAGCCCGTTTTATAGGTTCTAGTTTATTATATTTTCTATTTTCGTTTTATATTTTCATCTAGTGCCCGAAAATGTCAAACAAGCCCCGCGTCAAAAGGAAAAAGAGCGACGAAAACGAAAAAGAGCAGAAGCGAATGGCACGGAAGCTATGGCACCTCAGCACGCAAAACAAGGATATCGACAAGGGGTTTATGGAGGATCATTCGCTCGCTCGGGAGGACTTCAGGGACAATCGATAAAACAGTTTGTTTTGTAAAGCATTTGTTAATGAATTCCTTATAGAGCACGACAATCTCGCCCTGGTCCAAAGCGTGGCCCTGTTACTCCAGATAGAAGATATGGGAACACAAATTTTTTCCCACAAACATCGGTCAGTTTTCACTAGCTAGATATTGAACAAGAAATTATTCAGGGCCAATATGATAATGTTTATGCTGGATATGATCCTTCAAGTCACAAGCGTCAACCACGACCTGGTTATTATGATTCGTACGGTGAGGGATATTCCGGAGGATATTACAATGGTCAAGGCTATGGTCAAAACCAGGTTGGTATTTAGCACAAGTAAAATAAAGTACTTATCTAGGATCACGAGGGTTATGGGGGCTATTATGAAGGATATTCTAAAGGAAATCAAAAGGGTTATTCTGGGGAGTATTTTAAAAATGATCGTGTAAGTTTTCATTTCTAGATCGGATTTTAATATCCTTCACCGTAAGAATCATAATAACAAGGTGGTGGTTGACGCTTGTAACTTGAAGGACTATATCTAGCATAGATATTATCATATTGGCCCTGATCGGTAGCTAGATTTAAGTAAAAAGATGGCTATACGTTCATTGGTTTAGGCTTCTCACAACCAGTATGGTGAATATTACGGCAGTCAGTATGGCGATTACTATCGACAATATGGTGGGTATGGCCCAGTTGACCTTGGCGATGAGATGATTACGATGCGAAAATCTGAGCTGGCTGCTCTGATTGAGAAGGAACGAGCCAAGGAAAGAGAACGATTGCCACAAAGTTTAGCTTTTTTATTGAGTTTTAATTTTATGCTTTTAGCTTCCGCCGCATACGGTGATCAGGCTATGACACTTCAACGACGACAAGAGGCACGAGATGCTGCTACTGATTTGTAAGATCCATCGTTCTAGGGTTTTACGTTTATAATCTAGGCTTTATGAAATGTTGCAAGAAGCTGGAGTACAAGTACAAGAGCTCCGAAAGCGAGAACAAGAGAGAAAACGACTGCCACCCGGAGATGACCGTGGTGCAGCTGCTGTGTAAGGATATTGATCCCAAAAGCTATGTGAATAGATTAATAAAACAAAATTTACTGGTTAGCTAACATGATAAAAAGATGAAATTAACACAATTCTTTTCAGATTGCTGGAGCTTTTGCGATCTAGAAGAGATCAACAACATACTCCGCCACCGACCACATCTCAACAGAGCCGCGCCGAAAGAGGAGAAAAGGAAACGAATAATGCTGCTGCCGCGAGGTACTTTTGTTTCTTGCTGATTAAAATCAAGTTTTTTAGTGCAATTCTGTCTACGGATCGTCCGTTCTCGTATTCAGACTTTGCTAAGGGCGCTGCAAAGCCTGTACCATTTATGGGTTTGTTTCTTGATGGTCTATTTTTCTTGGAAAATATTGGTTGGAAAATATGGAAAATAAAATATTGGTGGATCGTAGAAAGTGGTGTTTAGAAAAGACTCCAGTTGGCGTTGACGGGGGTTTGTACTCACGTTATGCTACGCCTCCACGTCCGCCAGGTATTTAATCCCATAACTCAATGTACTTACTAAGTTGTTAGTTGTCAACTTATCGAATACATAGTTTTCCGTTTAGCAAGTACCTCGGCTGATGGTTTCTTCTATTCATCGGCTATCAATCAACAAATCACACCACAAAGAAGCCTTTCGGTGCCGCCAAATGCCTACTCAAATAGTCCTGAGATGAATCAGCAAATGAATAACAAGCCAGGTAGCGATTTTAGAGTTTTAAAAAAAATGAAAACTTGGAAAAGTTTAGGCAACGATTGACGTCCATCTCACTCGTAGTCTTCCTTGGTCAATCAACGCCAAAATGGATTTTGCTTATATTATTGACATTCCGTCTTTGTTTCTAATCAATGTTTTTGAAGAGTTAAATGTTAAAGAATAAATTGTCTATACGAATTGAAACCGTGATTAGTTAGCTCGATTCAAAAATCTCACAATCAGCACAAAATCTATGAAAATGCAAAAGTTTTTCGAAAGGCAACATTCTAAGCGACGAAAAACGACTACAAACGAGCTACCGTATGCCTTTAGCGGCGAAATTTCTCGACAATAACGGATAAAAAGCTATATAAATGTTGCTTTTATTTATTATTTATTTACTTATTTTAGAATTTTCTTCATTCTTTCTTCACGTTCATTTGTGAATTGTGTAGATTTTGCGTTCCTCGTTTTTCAGTTTTTTCCCCGGTTCTATAGTAGTTCGAGGTGAGCTACTATGTACTAGGCGTGGGGTTGGACTGCCCACTTTGCTGTTTTTATGCTGTTGAACTTAGATTTGACACTTTCGGAAACATTCAATACTTTGATCGACTATTTTTGGCCAACTTTAGCGCATTTTTAAAAAATCTGTTAGTACAAAGTGTCCCCCTCCCAACTACTGTAACATCTTTTTCCACTGAGATGTTTAGTCACCTCATCCCCGTGATGTCGAAGAAGGGAGAGAAAGGCAAGGAAAAGAAGAAAGAAGAGCCGCCAGCCCCACCACAAACACTTGTAAAGAAGCCGTCAAATTATGGAGGAGGTAAGTTATTTAGAAAACGATAGCTATAATGTTACTTTAGGGCCCCAAATTCCTCGACGAGACCGCCGAGTGTCAAGCAGCATCTTTGGGGTGTCCAAGAAACGAGAGCTGATTACTCTTCCAAAAATTGCTGGTGTGTATTAACATCAATGTTGGGCTAATACAGTTTTTCTTTTAGATACACCTCCAGCCGGGAAAGAGGCCCTCTTCATCCAGAAGCTTCAGCAATGTGACGTTATTTTCGACTTCAAGGAGGATCCTCTTTCGGATATAAAGTACAAAGAAGTGAGCGCTTGTATGCTATGTCACAATGCTCAATTTACTTTTGAGGTGAAGCGAGCCGCTCTGGCTGAAGTGACGGAATACGTAATATTTGATAGAGATGCAATTACGGAAGCTATCTATCCAGAGGCTATTCAAATGGTGAGCTTCTTTCTGTTTTTTTAGTAATTTACTTTAGTTTCGTCTAAATATCTTCCGAAGTCTGCCTCCATCAATTAATCCAAGCGATGTTGAATGTGATCCTGAAGAAGACGAGCCGAATCTCGAGGCGGCATGGCCTCATCTGCAACTCGTCTACGAGTTCTTCCTCCGTTTTCTTGAGTCGCCTGGCTTCCAACCAAGCATAGCTAAAAGCTACATTACGCCGGTTTTTATCGTCATGGTAAGGGATTGTTGGTACTTCTGCTGGTTGTCCCCCCGCCTAACGTCAGAAATTATGCTCTTTCCCTGTTAATTCCGTTCATTCCTAATAAATAAGATTTTAGAGTTTTCCATTTGAATATGCCGCTTTTTAAATTTTATTGTGTTGTTTTAAACATATACCAGTTCATGTTCCAGAGCACGTGCGGTGGGCCAATAAAAAAAGCACACTATGACACAGGTCACTTCCCGGCCGCGCATCACGGACTTGTTCTTAATAAATAAAACTTGGAGAACCGACCGATCGTCGCGGAATTTTTGAACGTTGCTGGTGGAAAAATGCCAATTTGCATTTGAAAAGCGAAAAATCTGTTAGGGGGACAAACAGCAGAAGTACCCTATTGTTAAATGACATTTATATTTCTGCTTTAGTTGATCGAAATGATGAACTCTGAAGATCCACGAGAACGCGATTTCTTAAAAACGACGCTTCATCGATTGTATGGCAAATTTCTGACTTACCGAGCGTTTATCCGTAAAACGGTAACCCGTTTCTATCTATCGCAAACCGAGTTTTTAGATCAACAACGTATTCTACTCATTCATCTATGAAACTGAGCGCCACAAGGGTATTGCCGAACTTTTGGAAATTCTTGGGTAAAGCTTTCTCAATCTATTTTCTTAAACGTTGTTTTATAGCTCAATCATCAATGGCTTTGCGATTCCGTTGAAAGAAGAACACAAAACGTTTTTGCTGAAGGCTCTGCTTCCATTGCATAAAGTTGGAAGTCTAATATGTTGAGTTAATTGAAGATTTAGGTAAAATCTCTTCCATCATATCATCCGCAATTGGCCTACTGTGTAGTGCAGTTTTTGGAAAAGGATTCGACGCTCATACAGCCCATCATTCATGGCTTGCTGAAGTTTTGGCCAAGGATGCACAGTTCAAAAGAGGTGCGTTCTTGATTTTGATTTTGATATTTGTGTTTTACAGATGATGTTTCTGAGCGAAATCGAAGAAATACTCGACGTCATCGAACCAGCGGACTTCAAACAACTTATGGGTCCACTTTTCACACAACTGGGCAAATGCGTTTCGAGTCCCCATTTTCAGGTCTGTTGATTCGTAAATGTGAAAATACTTACGATGCATTGTTTTAGGTTGCCGAACGGGCATTGTATTACTTCAACAACGAGTACTTGATGAAACTCATTAAAGACAATGCAAAGGAGGTGATGCCGATTATGTATCCAGCTCTTAACAAATATGGTGGCTCACATTGGAACAAGTAAAGTGAAACCCATTTTACTGACTCAAAGATGCTTTTCAGGGGTGTTCATGGGTTGATCTACAATGCTTTAAAGCTGTTCCTTGAAATGGATCCGAAGACATTTGAGGAATGCAAGCAAAGTTATTCGCAGGTTTGAAGCACTTGAGTGTGTCTTATGTAGATTCTTTTCAGAAACATGAACTTGAGAAGCAACTCTATGCGGAGAAGGCACAACAATGGAAAAACGTTGAGATAGCTGCTCGATCAAACCCTGTTGTTTGTTATTTTAAAAGACTAAAAAGAATTAATCATTTAGTGGCCAGAAGTTGCGACGATCTTTGGCATCAATCAAACGGAAGACGAAGCAAAAATGGAGGATGAGGAAGCCGATGAATCGAAGGCGACAGTTGACTTGACGATTGAAGAACTCGCCAACTTGGATGTTTCTGGAGAACCTTCATCGTCAACTCGTCGGACTAGCTTCAATCAGGTAGCGCGGATTTGCAATAATGGAAATGAACAACATGCAGACTATGAATATCACTAGTGGCTTTGAAGAAATTTGCTATTATTTTCTATCTTTAGAAAATGTCCGACCTGCCTCCAGACGACCGAGTTGAACGAGCGCTTGAAGAGCATCAGCAAAGGAACTCGCATCTCAACACGGTCAAAGATTCCGGCTGCTGAATTGATTGCTTGCTTCATTTTGGTTTGATCTCTCCTTTTTGTGCATTTCCGTTTCAACAGTTTGTTTGTTTTATTATATTTTTTTCAACCTTTGTCTTGCTATCATTTACGGTTTGCCTTATTTATCGGGTCGTCCTTCATAGATTCTATGTGTGATTTGCCGGTGTGCTTTTTGTGCGGGACGATTTCTGTTTGTAAATTTATCTGTTCAGTAAATAGATTCACGTTTCATTAGATAGGAATTGCTTTAGGGGTTTAGATGGAATCGAGGATGCACAGTCAACAGATCTACAGCCTTTGTATTTGTCGCAGCCGATTAAGATTGAAGCATAAAACGCTCTTACATATGCAATTTAAATCTCAAATACTAATTGGGTAAATGTTTCTTTAGATGCTTTTTCTTTTTTTAAAGTTTGATCAAGACTTAAACTAAATGTAACTAAATGAACCATAAGGACAAAAAATGAATTTTAAATACAAACAACTCGAATCATAAAAAAATGCAACTAATCAACCAAAATTTTATTTATTCATACAGTTTCTGTCAACTTTTGCATTGAACGTTGGCTTTTAAACATCGTAAAAACGAATCCTTGCATATAGACGGCGAATAACGAAATTTTCAACTATTGATTAGATACAATAGATAACACTTTGGTTAAAAACCGGGACGGCAAGTGCACCTAAAAAAAAAAAAAAAAAAAAAAAAAAAAAACCAAAAAAAAAAAAAAAAAGAAAGGGAAATTGGTCCCGCCCCCCCCCCCCCCCCAAATTTTTTCAACCCTCCCCACCAAATTTTTCGCTCACCCCCGGAGGTAAAAATTAGCTGCCGAATGGCGCGTAATCACCGCCAAACTGGAATAGAAGTTTTGAGTCTCTCCTTAGTTAAGCCGATTTGTTTTCGACACAAACCGTTCATCGGTGGTGCCGAGGGGTTGAGTGCTTGTAGAGGCCCTCTTTTGGAGGGCACGGAAAAGAGCATAACTCAAAATCTAGGAGACCTTATGTAAAATAATTATAAGTTTCAGAAACTACAGTAAATTTGCTACATTTTTGGATATGAGTTCAATAGGTTTTGATAAACCCGGCATCATCTACGAGTCAAAAACCTTGCGTCAAATTTCGTCGGCCACCCATTGTATACATTGACAAGCTATTAAATGTTTAATAAGAATGACAAACTACAAGCGAACAGGAGTAAAGCGTTTATGTGAACCCACAAAGAACACAAAAAAACGTAGAATGAAAAAAAAGCAAAATAAAATGCGACGGGTCGGGTTCGAACTCTTGACCCTCAGCTCGCTACGGCTACAGAACTCTTGACCCTCTACAGCTCCTACAGCTCGCTCTACAAGCACTCAACCCCTCGGCCACCGATGAACGGTTTGTGTCGAAAAAAATCGACTTAAAACGAGAGGCTCAAAACTTCTATACCAGTTTGGCGGTGATTACGCGCCATTCGGCGAGCTAATTTTTACATCACTGGAATGAGCATAAAATTCTGCGTCGAATGGTCTATATATCATCGGAAAAGGTCACGGACACCCAATAATCCTTTCCTTGTAAGAACACGGTTAAAGCTGGTCATAGATTTAAAAAGAATGATTAAATTGGCTAAGCTCCATTTTATCAAATCAATTTGCATTTGCCCAACTAGTATTTGAGATTTCATTTGCATATTTAAGAGTGTTTTATCTTAATAATCACCTACGACATATTGACAAGATCTTCGTATTGGAAATGCCAATCAAACCGGTCATCCAATATTCACCATAGTACAGATTATCAAGAAATCAAGAAGGGCTTAAACACCACTCATTGTGTTTATTGCTTCAAAAATTGAAGCCAACTCGTGAAACTTTATCTCCACGAACAACAAAACACAACAACAATAAAATAAGATAACGATAAAAATATAAATAACAACAATCATTCAGCGTAGATCATTTTCATCAACTCGTCCTCGTCCACCGGTTTGCCCTTCTTGCTCTTCTTTGTCGCCGGCTTTCCGATTGGTTGTCGTTGTTCGATCTCGCGATGATGTTTCTCCCAAAGACCGCCCTTCTTTAGCACCTAAACAGAATTACCTAACTAGGTTTTGCTATTGAAGAACCTTTAAACCTTTAAGTTAACAGTATAAACAAAACAATGCAAACCTTTTCCTCAAGCTTCTTCAAATTTTTCCCTTTCTCAACTTGTTCCGAAAAATGCTCGGCAACTCGTTTCGCGCGAGCGATCTCCATCTTCATTCGTTGCATATTCACCTAAAATCAGCATTCATTCCTAAAATCTATGACTAAAAGCAGTTATCAACCTTTCTCTCATAATCGAGTTGTTCCATTAAATGAATCCATTTGAAGCCAGGTAGATATTTGCATAGCCAAAGCAGGCCCGAAGCTGGGTGTTTGGTGCGAACCTGGACGGGCATTCCGTTGAGTGATCGCTAAAGTTTCAAGTTAGAAAGCTTTATAAACGTACTACCCAAATAGATCTTCCATACAATAATCGATTTAACGAAAACCTACCGCCAAATGTTTGGCGACACTTTTTCTCGTGAATTCGATCCATCCCTCTTTGTATGTCAAATGACGTTTTTTCGTCTTTCTATCGTCCGATTCTCGTGCCGATCCGTTTTTCAATTTCTCACTCGACTTTGTTGGCTAAAGGAAATTTTTAAAGCAACTCTGTTAGACATAATTTAAATAGGGAAATAAATTATCAAAGACTACTTAGAATCCTGAGATTAAGCCACAATTGGTCATAAATTTGCAGTTTTTTGAACGATAAAGGTTCAAAAGTACTAGTTTAACAAATTAAGAACTTACCACCAAGTACACTCGCCCGACGCATCCCTTCGAGTAACGATTCATCTCCATTGTGATTTTATCGACATTGAATCCGGTGGGAATAGCCGAGAAGTAGACGACGCCCGATTTGTGTTGTTTACGCTAAAAACAGACGTTTACTAATCTTTAAAAAAAAGATCCTAAATATTTTTGATGTGTATAGCTTATTCGAAAAAAGCTTAAAGAAAATATTCTAAGCAAAATAAACCTCTGGATCGACGAAATCCTCCTCAATATCTTCAGGTTTTTCTTCCATTTCTTCTTCAATTTCATTTGTTTGATCGTTTTCTTCTTTTCTCACCACATTTTCATCGATTTTCTCAACTTCTTCGGATGTCGAATTTTTTCTGAAAGGTATAAAACATTGAATTGACTTACTGGGAAAAACTGAACCAAAGGTTAATACTTAAAGTATTGAGTTTGCTTAAAGACCAAGACTCAATGGGTACACTTTGTAAAGAAATCAACTTACCTACCTTTTCTTTCCTTTCCGAAGTACCATTTTGTGAAATTTGACTACAATTCAATGGACCTGAACACAAAAAATTTAATATTTCAAAAATTCAAAGATCAAAATCCAGTAGCAATTTTTAGTTATTAAACCAGTATTTTTCGGAATCACCAATCAATCACAATTTATTTTGCGTTTCAAAAAATAATTCTCATTTTAGACTTTGTAAACTCGGTCAAAAACAAATCACAGGCGAAAAATTTTTGGGAGGCAAGATACGGTGGAAAACTTTGGTTGCTGAGAAAGAAGTAATCAATTCATTATGCAAGTAAACAACATGCGAAAAGTGACAATGTAAACTGAACAAAAAATTAGGCAATGTACTGCTTTTCTCGTCGTTGTGAGTTGCGTAGAGCGTCACCGGTGAGCACATCTTGACCCGTCTAAAAGGTTGGAGTTGAAATTTGTGCAGATGTTAAGGTACAAACTTTAAGCAAAAAAACTTACTCGTTTCCGATGAAGATCGCTAAGCACTTGGAGACCTGCTTTTCGAGCCATTCGACCGGCGACCGATCTAAAAGAAAGAAAAATAAAATCAGAAGGCTTTTCTGTTTAAAAGAACTATGAACATTTTTATCTACTCTAGTTTAATCACTAATACAACCATTTAGCACCGTTACCTCGGTCCAAGATCCCACAATTGCACGGCCGCCAAGCTGGTGTGCCCAGTCGCGTGCAAGGCGTGATGAGTTGTTTGAGCTGCCTCGTCTCCGTACCTAAAATGCGTAATATGGCTAAATAGTTCAACGTATCAAGTACAATGCCATCACTTACTTCAGGCGTACATTCTCGACGGTTTCGTTGGCGATCGACTTGCAGAGATTCTTGCTCGCATCTTCCAAAGCAATCCAAACTGTCGACACTCCTGCGATTCCTCCGCCGATAACCGTGATCGTTCCAGTCACCATGCCACCAGTCTAAAATTTAAATTCAAAATCTGTGTCATGTCAACTATTCGTGACTACACTTTAGACTTCAAGTTTGCCCAACCTTTCCCTCTCCAAATGTGTCTTTTGCTCCAGAGGCGATCGTTTTACCCACTGCCACGCCCATGTCGCCAATTTTGTCCACTAAAATATTTTTAGTCTGCGTTTAGCTCAATGAAGTGCTCATAAAAAATAAGTACTAGTTAGGACTAAAAGGGCATACAAATAAAGCACTTACGTAAAAAGCGAGTGCACTTTGCGACGACTTTGCCTCCCTTGTGCATGTAAACAACGCCCGTCTTGATAGCTGGAGAGATATTTACTGGCTGATCGGTGGGCATTCTCGTCGATCGATATCTAAACGCAGAATTTAATTAAGTAAGATTAGCCTCCTTTGTTACTAGAGATTTTTTTCAAACTTGTTTAACAGGTTTTTGAGGAAACTTACTGAACATTTTTCTCTTCAACTTTGCTCGTGACTTTCGCTGTTGTTGAGTGCACTCCCCAGGCGATTTTCTCACCAGCTGAACAGAAGTTTAAAAAGTTTCATCAAAAACACTTACTTGTAACCAAAAGCCGAGCAATTCTTTCGCTTAAACGACTCCTTTCATCCGCTGTTAATAGATCTTTAATCTATAAAAAAAGTTAATTTACGAAATCACTTCAAAGTTACTTCTTCGCTTCGTAGATCGGCGTATTCCCTCAAAACATATTCGAACTCGTCGACGAGTTTGGGCTCGAGGTCGAAAGGAAGCATTATCGCCACCATCATGTCTAGAAACAAAATTAAAAACTGTTAAAGATAATCTCAAAGCGAAGAAGTATATCTTTTCAAAAAAATACTTGGATGTTCCGGTGTTGGATTGGCTAAAACATACGCGCCAAATTCGTTTTTCAGTATCGGCGTCTTCTCTTTCATCAACGGGTATACCCATGGACCAACCTGAAAATAGAATAGGTAAGGCTTTAAAAATATTATCTGCAAATAATTTTAAACCCACTTGAATAAAAGCTTCGGCTCGTTCCTTCACTTCTTTGTTTGTTATCGAAAAATCCTCTTTAAAACGAAGAATTTCGAGAGACGTAGGATAAGTTGGTGCAGCCGTTTCTTCACCCTAAATCAAAAATCAATAGCTTTTTCTTAGAACAGCACGTAAAATATTAGTCGGATTGTCAAACTGAAAATTAACAGTGCCAAACAAACCTCGATTGTGAAAAGTTGAACGCCGCTCGGTAAAAAGTAGACAAGTTCGGCTTCTTGGTCGCCTGCCGAGTCCAAGTTTTGACGAATTTGATCTTTATTTTTATCCTAAAGGAAAAACTAATTAAAATTCTAAATAACTTACAATTAGAGCTTAAAATAGTGATCACTTGCCTGTTCGGTCATTTCTTTGCTTCTTTTCATCTCCACTTCTGCTGGGATACCACTTTCCATTGGTGAGAGACCGTCTTTGGCGAGGTTCTTAGGGCCCATCTTTTGGAGAGCGGTTATTCTAAAAATAAGTAAAATATGTAGATAAAAATTTCAAAAATACCGATTCTCCACACTCTTTTTCGCTTCTTGCATCGTTGACCAGAGCTCCGCTTTCTTCGCATTCTAAATTCGTAGATAGGATAGGGTTATTTTAGAAAGTCACCTTATCTTTCTCCGCTTCGGCAATGAGATTCAATCCGCGTTCATACATCGAAATCGTGTTGTCCTAAATTCTAAGGTAAAATAATCGGAAATAAAGTTATCCTAGGTCGATTTTTCAAAGAAACTCACATAATCTCCGATCTCGTCATAGCACAATCCTTGATCGATACAAGCGAAAGCTTCTGACAGAATTTCGTTCGCGTGCGCCACATCATCTTTTTCTTTTGAAGATTTCCAGAAAGGCATTGTTTAATCTAAAGCAAATGCGCGCATTAAAGGTGGATTTGTTAAAACGTTAACAAGTCATGCAACTAAATTGGTACTATTTTTAAAGAGTCATGAAACTAAATAACCAAATAACCGACTAGAATCTTTTGTGAATAACAAAGTAAGGGAAAAAGAATGGAAAAGAGCCGAGTAGTGCATGTTGTGGATGCACTCTTTTTAACCTTTCTCTTTCTGCAAAATCTCTCCGGGCAACCCGCTATCTCGTATTCGGCGAGCTTCCCGCAAAGCGGAAAAGAAAAAGAAAACAATTTTGAAATGTCCTTTTTCTGGAGTTGTCCTCCATTTGATGACTCATTGTGAGGAAGTTATACGCATGCAACCGTTGTGAATAACGAAATACATGATATGAGAAACAATGTTCCTGAAATTGACCAGCACCGAAACTTTATATGCATTTTCAATGAACGAAATTAAGTCAAAAAGCTTTTATTTTCTCAAATACTCGTTATATAGACATTTGAATATTCTTTCTCTAAAGAACTATGCACACATTAAAACTATGCTACCAGACAAATCTATTGCGCGGCTGGTGGCTGAGATGAATAGAAAGAGTCGTTCACTTGTTTCAATCCATCGCTACTAAAAAGAAAAGTTTAAAAATTTGAATAAGTAGCTAAATTTGAATAAGTAGCTAAACTTGATAGTTTGTTCATTTTAATAACCTAAAAGATTATTAAAATGAACAAACTATCAAGTAAAAAATCGGTAAAAACTCACATATAACGCTTGTTCCACAAAGGAACGTATTGTCCAACGGCTTTCCAATCGCAAATGTAAATCGCCAGCAAAAAGGCCGTCGCACCGTATACGCCATAAGTAGGCCAACTAGAAAACAAAAATATTATAAGCAATGGACGATTCTTTCAACATAAATCTTTAAAAAGTTTATCCTAGGTAGTAACTCGATTATATCAAAAGTAATGTTTTAATTTAGCACAAGCATACTTTGCAACTAACTTGTACAAGAATTTTTGAATAAAAAACATACTACTGTGGTTTTGTGAAGGCTTTCTTGAAAAACGGGCCGCTGCGAAGATAGAGACCACCCAACATCTAAGCAGATTGAAGAACATTATTTTGATACCGCATTTCACTTTTCCGCCCTCAAATAGAATAGGTTCTCCGAAACCAATTAGCTCCATCATTCACTCGAACAATAATTTATTCAAGAAAATAAATAACGTAACCATTAAAGCAACAAACTTCAGAAAAAATAACTTAAGAGATAGATATCACAGTCATTATACAAAGATAAAAACACCCCAAAAGAAAAAAATGAAAGAGAAGAATTATCCGAGGAAATTAGTCACAACAAGATGAAGCAAAACGTGAGCAAAAATAAAATCTCCGAAAGCTCGTTCTGGCGAGATGTGAGCGAACTCGGATTTGTTTTCGTCGTTGACTTGCATGCGGAGACAGGCTAAACGATGAATTTGTAATAAAATTTGAAAATAACTTAACTTTAGATTGCCTAGGTTTTTAGATTAAACTTTTAGAATGCAAAAGACTTTCTTTAATAAACCAAAAAATTAGATTTCTGAATGACAATTAGCGTCGAAAAAATACGTATTCTCTTGACTGCTTAGATTCATTTCTAATTCAAAAGGCCAAATATTTAAAAAAGGCGTACCTAGACGCTACCTGCCTGACAAAAGTGAAAATTTAAATCTCAAAATGGTCAACCATAAGGAGGACAAGGTTAATAAAAACCACAAACCTGCAAGAACGAAGGAAGCGACGGTTGAAATGAATCCCGAGAGAAAAGCGTTGAATGGGAACGTTCCGACGAGAAGACAGTAGGCAAACTAAACAAACTAAGTCAAGTTAATAAATCCAGAAAGTAATTTTTTTAAATTAGAGCAGCTTAAGAGATTTGAATCGTAACAAAACCTTCCCCAATTTATTTTTTAAAAATACACATACCATCGTCGGATAAGCTTATCAAAAATGTTGAACAATAATTTTATTCGGTTATTAAAAGCAACGATATAGTCCGATGAAAATTATAGCAAACCTGAAAGATTCCGGTGAGTAGAATGTAGAACATGTAGGCATCGATGATCTTCAACTTCGATGCAGTCGTCTTCGAGTAGTCGTCAAAAAGTTTGCTCAACACGGTGATCAGCTGCATATCTAAAAGGAAAACGATGAGGTAACGCGAAAAAAGCAACGAAATAAAGCAGAGACAAAAAGCTTCAACGAAGCAAAAGAATAAAAGAATAGGCTAGGCTAATTTCCGCAATTTTTTTTTGCGCAACTCGCCATAACTTTCTTCTAAGTGGGCTAATCTTTATGATGTTGGTTTCATTTTGTAGATCTCAATAAGTGCAACAAAATAACACCAAAAGCATAAAGATTGACCCACTTAGAAGAAAGTTATGGCGAGTTGCGCAAAAAAAAATTGCGGAAATTAGCCTACTTCGAAATAAACAATTGAATGCCTGGTATATATGAGTTTTTCTCTACCTAATAGATATTTAGCTTTTAAACTGAATAGCCTTTAATGTTATTTGAAGGTCTCAAATGGAAATATTTTTGCGTGCAATATTTTATTTCAAAAAGGTTGATTTGTAGGTTTTTGTTCTTTGGTAAGACCCATCATCTTTTTTCTTTACTGTAATACCTCTAATAGTAGCGCCCCCCTATAATGAAGGTCGGAGCGTCGCGTAGTCTAACTTCAAACACATTTTTCTCGCCACCCGTTTATGCTACAGTGAGCGCTTAAGTATCAAATGAAAGCTGAAATTCAGGTCTATTTTTTGATACTAAAAATGTATTTTTAGAAATTATGGGCGCTTAGAAAAAAGTGATTTAGTAAAAAATTTTTGCGGCTACGCGACTATGCGCGGAGAGCGCTACTATTAGAGGTATTACGGTAGTAGATCTAACTTTTTGCATAAAACATCACAAAACGTAGACGAATGACTTGTAAATGTGAATATGATCGTAAGGCAGCGTGACAATTTTTAACTTTTTGAAAGGAAGAATTAGATAGTGTTTTTGACGCTATTTGCACAAAGCTTCAAATTAGTACCCAACCAGCGATTCCTTTTCCCGTTGAAACGACGTTTTCCTATCCAAAACTGTAGTTTGTTGACTCGCATCAGGCGTTTCTTTGCGGGACTTTTCTTTTTCGCATGTAAATGGCGCCAAGGGCAAAATTTGAATTGTATGCTTTTAGGAGCCTTGACTCTAAAAGAATTACTACCACATTTGGACGAATTGTCAAGGAATGCCGCCGAAAAGACGAACCTCGGTAATGTTTTGTGTTGTTTTTTTAATTGCTTTTCTCTGATGTTTTAGATTTTGAAAGTTCCCCAATCGGAGCTCCAAGAGATTCGCTCACAAGATATTGAAAACGAGAATGGGGATAAATTCAGGCGTCGTGTCTCGTTCAGTCGAGAAAAAACTGTCCAGTGAGTTCTTAACCTTTTATAAAAAACTTTATTGATGACGGGGTAGGCATAAGGATTGTTGTGCTTTCATTATTTTTTTTGGTTTCCATTTTTTAGCCTAATTCTAAAACTACTGTTGTTGTCGTTGAATATGCGCTAAGGACTTGCAAACTTTAAGAAAAGATTTCAAAATTATTATGACAAATGTTATTTAGACACTATGATAAGGTTGATCAGCAGATGTTTCACTCTCCGCAAAGAGAATTGATCAATGAAGTCTCGGGGAGCACGGAAGGATCGTAAGCTATTCAAAATAGATAAAGTTTATTGTTTTTTAGAAAAATGTCGATCACAAATTTGTCAACACCGAACAGAAATACCCCGACTCCAGCTTTTAACACAACGTGCGAACTTTTTGGCTCAAATTTTGGAGGTAAGTGCTTGGAATTGTTTGTGCATAATGTTTTTTGTTTAGCTCTTCCATCATCGACCATGCGCCAAGATGTGGACATGGATTTCTCGGCATTGCCTGAACCACAAGGAGCAGACAATCGATTTGGTATATTTTAATGAGGATTAACGTCTATAATTTTGTTTAGAAACAACAACTCGTCTCTTCAGCGGAGGCATGGGTGTAGACGAATCGCTTGATCAGCCGGAAATGCTTCAAAACTTTTTGGGGAATCCATCAACGACGTTTCTCAATGAAAAGACAATGAATCTCTTTTTGCAAGGTAAGAACTTACCACATTTGGAGAAATTATTATTTGCTTCAGCTCCCGACACTACTCCTCGCCTTGATTTTGGTTTGGGCCGACGAGGCGAAGTTGCAAATTCATTGGATCGCACGGTTAGAACGTCTCTCGATATGGACATTTCGACATTCAGAGAATCTCCAGCAGATAGAACTGTTAGTTAAATTTTAATTTCTTCTAATTTTTAGTTTATTAGAGTTATTCAAAGCAAGGAAATTTAATTGGACTGCTCTTATGTTTACAGTTATTATGTTGCTGTTTTAGATGGATCTGTTGGCGCCGGGTTTTTCTAACAAAGTACAAATACCGAATCCGCAAAACGACACATCAGAAATGGATATATCGAGTGCTCAAGAGTCAACGGTAGTAGTGATTTATTCGTCAATAATGGTTTTTTTTAGAAGTGTCTTTTCACAAGGCAAGAAAATCACGTTCTTATAAACGAGTATGAAGAAACAATGCAGCTTTTTGGAAGGGTGTGCACTTTCTATGTCACTTCTTGTAAAGTAAACTTTAGAACAAAAACGCAAATGCGACCAGCAATGTCACTGCTTTTATGGATATTACAGAGTCATTCACACTTGAAGCCACTTTAATGCCTCAACACCATGTATGCTGTGTTAAATAAGTTGTGCTTTACTCAATTTTAGGATCAGAGTGAACATAATGAAACTGCCAAAGAGTTTGCGACGCCTCAACCGGTTTGAGCAACAAATTAAATAGTTTGCATTTGGGTTTAGAAGGCGGACGTGGCTGAGAAGAGTTCTATGATCGTCAGTCCGATCTTGCCCAATGTGAGCACTTCAACAGCGAATGATTCTATGACAACGCTCAAAACTCATCAACAAGGAACTCCAAAAGCTGTCCCGCACAAGAAAAGCAGGAAGTTCACCGATAAGCACGAGGAGTCAACGACTTCTGAAATGGAGAAGATCCGCGATGCGAAAAACGAGTCCGAGGGCATATTGTCAAATGTGTTGCAAAGTACCTTCAATATCTCCCAGGTTTGTTTTTAAAATTGAGTTTTAAAATCCTCATTCTAGTTCGCCGAAACAATCCATAAGGAGGAAAATCAATCCGAGTTCATGTTATCAAACACTCTACAAAATACCTTCAATATTTCAAAGGTTGCTTTTTTTAACTTTATCTTAAGATCCATATTTTAGTCATTTGAACGTAGCACAACAACAAAATCGGCTCAAAAGTTGTCTACGGAGTCATTTACGCTCGGGCAAACCACTTTGATGCCTTATCACGTATGTTGTGTTAGCGAAAGCGTGTTTTAATTAATTTTTAGGAACAGAGCGAACATAATGAAACTACTAAAGAATTTGCGACACCTCAACTGGTTTGAGCAATACATTAGGATGTTCAAATTTGTGTTTAGAATGTGGCTGAGAAGACTTCTATGACCGTCAGTCCAATCTCGCCAAATGTGAGCACTTCAGAATTGAATGGATCTACAGCAACGCTCAAATCTTATCAGCAAGGAGCTTCAAAAGTGTCCCCGGACAATATGATCAACAATGTCGCTGCTATGGATATTACAGAATCATTTACGCTCGAACGCACCGCTTCGATGCCTCAACACCATACATTGGTTCGAACAGCAAATGAACTAATTATATTTGTGTTTAGAAGTCGGATGTGCCTGAGAAGAGCTTTATAATCTCCAGTCCAATCTTATCAAATGTGAACACATCAACATTGAATGAGTCTACAGCAACGCGCAGATCTCGTCTACAAGGAACGCCGAAATCTGTCCCGTACAAGAAAAGCAAGAACGACATGGATCTATCAGCTGCATTAGAGTTAACGGTATTAGTTTTATCTATTTGAGTTTGTTGATAAGTATGCATTTTCATAGGGCTTTCAAACTTTCAAACTAAACTTTAGAACAAAACCATGACCAATAATGTCACTAATACGGATATTACGGAGTCCTTACCTCTCGAGCGAACAACTTTGCTGTCTCAATCTGTATGTTGTTTTAGCGAAATTGTGTTTGAATTAATTTTTAGAAAAATCCTGAAGTGTTCGACAGTGATCCAATAACTCCTAAAAAGGTTTTTGACGCATATAAAACTAATCTTATCTATTTAGAGTGAACACGATGGAATTGCCAAGGAATTTGCGACATCTCAACGGGTTTGAACAACAAAATAGGCTATTTCATCCAGTGTTTAGACAATGAATGATTCTACAGCAACTCTAAAATCCCGCCAACAAGCAACTCCAAAAGCTACCCCACGCAACAACAAAAACAAGAAAGATATGGACATATCAGCTGCATTAGAGTCAACGGTAATAGTTCGAGCTATAAAACTATAACCTCGATTATTTTACCCTCAAATAATCTGACGACTTCAGCGTTTGTTCGAAGAAACCGAATGTGCTCGTTTGCATGAAGAAGTGTTGAGTATACTGGAAAGCGCTCAACGAGAGTATGAATTCGATCAACGGATGGACATGCTTTTGAAAGAAGCGATCATTCAAAAGGAGGCAATCTCCGAGAAAACGAAACACTATAGGGTAACCAGTTGTCCTCGGGAATTGTGCTGTATAATCGAAAACAATCTTTGTTTGATATCTATCATTTTTACGTTGTTATCAAAATGATGATTTTCCAAATTTAGGCCACTACTGCACGTGTCAAGGCTACTGCAAGGGCGATCTGTTTTCGTGAAACGACCAACGAATGAGCATCTCGATATTTGATTTTTGCGTTTCCCCCGAATTCATTCAGTACATTTACTTGTTTCTCTTGAAGTTGCCAAATGTGTTTTTTTATTTTCCGATTCCACATTGACTCTCAAAGCTGTTGCCTCTTTCGTTTTTCTTAAGTATTTTAAACTTGAATTTGCAGAATTGCCTGGGCTAGGATGAAAAAATTTTTATAGGGGACATAAAATCCCGTAAGCGAGTCATTTGCATTTAATAATTAAATTTGCATCAAACAATGGTGGGAAAAGATCTATAAGGATACGGAAGATCTTTTCCCATCATTACACTATAGCCCTTATATGATTCACATCTCATGTACATTATAGATTTCATTTATATGATGTACATCCTACGATTCTTAAGTTAAGAATGAAATTAGCGCCCCGAAAACCTCAGATGCAGTAAACATGATAATTCTAGGAATCAAATTTAAAAGTGTACAGGTATGCTTTTTAGGTACAGTCATACTCAAACGATATGGTTTTTGAAATTAAACAAAAAAGTTTTTCTAAGACTACGTACTCAGCCTCACATTTGGGCGGTAAGAGGTTGGATTGCATTACGCAAAACAAGGGAAGTGCCCGGTCCGCCCCCATAGATTGTTACTTTTTTTGAACTTTTTATGACCCCTGTAAAAACTTTCATCCCAGCCCTGAATTTTCACTCAGATTATGTGATTGGATAATGCCGTTTATTGCATAAAATGTTCAACATTTGTGTTCAATTGCTAAAGTTTGATGAATGAGACCGTTCTGGTGAATGTCTTTGACCTTGAAAAGAGTTTGCATATTAATGGGCGTCTTTTCACAATCTTTTGTCTTTCTGCCAGATGGCTCACGGCTCATATGCCCTTTTGCATTCATTCAGTCACACCTTTTCCCACAATTATAAACGAAGAGACCTGTTGGCTTTGGTGGGGAATTGTTGGGATTTTTGAATGACCGAATACAACAGAAATTTCTCTTTATTTACCGTTGCATAGAGCAGTGCGTTACCTTTATTTTTCTTTGAAAATCAAGTTCTTGACTTATTTACTTGCTTAAATCTGCTCGAACTCGAATTTGGCTCAGCTTTTGATTTGGCTTTATTCCATTTTCCAGATGAACACCGCGCAACGAATGAGCAATGAGCGACGTGATCGACTGAAAGCCCTTTCTGATCGAATCGTTCCACGGCACGTCGATGGGGTTAGTTTTGAGCTAAAATCGTATAGACATGAGTGATTTGGAGTTAAGGCTAAATTGAACTTTACGGTCCAAAAGGTCTATTTTTTGGTTTAAAAATTTCCCCCCTTATTATTTTTGTATTTTTTGTGCATAACTAGGCATTAAAAAATAATATTTGAAAGAAATTAGATAATTTTGGTTCTGGACCGTAACGTTCAATCTTAAGGGGTGAACTTTATGGTCCAAAAAGTCGATTTTTTGGTTTAAAACTTTTCCTCTTCATTATTTTTATATTTTTTGTGCATAACTAGGCATGGTAAAGCATAAAAACTGGTTTTGAATGTATTTTGGCTCTGAACGATAAAGTTCAATTTAGCCAGAGTTAAAAGTACTATTGTACTCTTTTCATCACTTTTTCTAAAAAGTGCAATTAGAAAAAAGCTACCGTACTTTGTCTTAAAGCTGCCGGTACCGTAGTTTTATTAAAATGTAAGCAAGTAGATGAATTAATAACTCGAAAGTTTCCACCGTAGTCCAAGTAGTTTATAAAGAAAAAGACGAGGTTACGGTGGCTTTTTTTGATGCATCTTTTGGATTGTGTACATATCGTAATGCCTGCAATTGAACACCACAAAATAACCGCAGCAGACAAATAGCAGACTGCAGACAGCAGACAGCAGACAATATGATTCGATTGCAGGTATTACGGTAAGGTAAATGCTAAAGGCTAAAAGCAATTTAAACAAATAGCATTTTACAGTTAATTCGATGTCTTCGCTCGACAGGCACCCTCAACGCGATAAGCGCCGAGACGTTGCTGGTGAGGAGGAATTTGAGAAAATATAGTTAAAGAGATATTTAGAACAAGAACTCTTCGAATCTGGCCGATGATCTCGTTCGGATGGTTTCAACTCGCGGAAATGCGGCTTTCGATGCTTTCTTTTTGGCGTTAACAAAATGGTGAGCAAGTCTCTCGAGGATTAATGTTAGCAGTACAGTAATCCGGTCTACTGTACTGCTACAGTAATCTCAACAGAATTGTTGGCTAAGCCGTCTTCTAACACGTGCCTCTTTCTTCAATCTACCGCAATTTTTGGGACCCTGAAGTTTGAGCCGCGAAATTTCAGCCGGCGAACTAAAACGAAGATTGAGCCACAAAATTTGAGTTGGATGATTTTAACTTTGTTTTGCAATGGTTTTATGATACCTGACCAATTTTTTATGATTTTATGATTTTTCCCAATTAGTTGCCTATACTTATTTTTTCTTTCTGAAAAATGGTGGTAGCTTGAAAGAGCCGCAGGGAATCGTTCCAAAAGATTGGTAAGACCTGAAACATCGATTGTTGGCAACTAATTCAAATGGAATTGACTAGAAGCAAATTAAAGTATTTTTCAGCTTCATACGTGTGCCTGTGCTAAATTACGTCATGTCATGTGCCTCAATTCGGAACCCTAAGAGGGCTTTTTCTTGGCAAGAACTAATAAAAACTATAAAATAAGTGGAAAATTAAATAACTTGGTCAAAAATAAGCTGGTAACTGGGCGAAAACTTTTGCGAAATGACTTGAATGCGGCTAAAAAGACGTTTTATTTATGGCAGCTCAAATTTTGCCGGCTCAATCTTCGCTTTTAGCAGGGTAGCTCAAAATTTGTGGCTCAATCTTTATTCTCAATTCGTGGCTCACAAAGGATATCGAAAGATACAAAAAGTGGATAGATTGGATAAAAATGGAGGAAAGATTACAGTAGTTTGAAGAAAAGAGGCACGTTTGTGGAGGAGAAAACTGAGGAGAAAATTTCAGTTGTCTCTTCGATTTGGCCAACGAGTTGCGCCCGTTTGTCGCTGAGGATGTGGTTGAAAGTTTGTAAGTTAAAAAACTAAAACTATTTCAATATTTAGCTAACTATAAGACTCACTAGATTCAAAAAGAGATTCTAGGGAAAATCGTTTTTCCGCTGAAATCGGTGCAGTACAACGGGCATCGGTGATGCATTTCCCCTTGAACGAGCGCTTTCTGCAGAGTGCAAAAATTAGCGATGGTTTGTTTTTGGTGGACTTTGTGCTCACTTTTGTAAACGCACCCCTTCTGGTGCATTGGAATTCTTTATTTTCTTGTGTAAAATAAACTTTTACTTTTCAGAAGTACTCCCACTGGATCACCCGCTCGACTTTTGCGTGGATTTGATCGACGGCGACGCGCCACTGATTCCTCAATGGGACACGTACCAAAAAGCGAAAGATAAGGTGAGCACAGAATCTAAGGAAACTTTTTTTAATGCTTAAATATCCAAATTTATTCATTTTCTATCATTTCTGATTGAAAAGAAGAAACGGATGAATGTTGGGAGTGTCGAGTGAACGAAAATGGCTCTTTAGGGCACACGAATTGGTTGCCTGAATATTTTGAACAAAAATTTTGAACTTTTCAATCAGAAATGATAGAAAATGAATAAATTTGGATATTTAAGCATTAAAAAGTTTCCTTAGATTCTTTAATAAAACAAGTGGTGTAAGACTTGTTGTGTGTTTTGTGCTAAAGGGTAAACGCATCTTTCCTGGCCCATCTAATTCTTCATTTTCATTAGCGTCGCGCGAAAATGAGGAATTCAATGCACCAGAAGGGATGCGTTTACAAATTTGAGCACAAAGTACATTAAAAATTCAAGTAAAACCCTCGAACCTGACACTCCCAGCATGAGCAAGCGATCGTTGTCTTATCACAAAGATTCGTCAGGCAGGACACTTTGGCACAATATGGAAAATCTCGCTGTGTGCATTCCTCATTTCCCCAGCAACCGATTCGATTTTGATCCTGATATTGGTGTATTTTGACTTTCAGAAGATTTCTGAATCAAAACGAAATGCAGCGATGCTTGAGTGGATGTCACAATTCATACGTTGGGCATTCCGATTGATCTTTGCATCGATTGCCGTAACAAAATCCCTAAAGTGTTTGGGTACTTTGTGCTAAATTTGTAAATCCATCCCTTCTAGTGCACTGGATTCTTCACTTTTCTCATAGCAACGCTTTGGTGCCACCGAGAAATATGAGAAATTCAATGCGCTAGAAGAGATGCGTTTACAGAAGTACAAAGTACACAAAATACAAAACCCGCGCAACGAATCCGCTTAGAAATAGGAAAAAGCTTTGCGTTGAAACATATAAAAGAAAATTCTTGTAAAACTGGGAAAAGCCAAAAATGTGCTGACTACAGTGGAACTGAGGAAGTTGAATTTTGCTTAGAAAAGGGATGATGTCATTGTATTCAGAGAGTTCTCGTAAAAAGATATTTTTAGATCTATCCAAATTTCACGAAACCAAAAGGTTTGGCGTTAATCATCAACAATCATCGCTTCTCCTCGATGCCACATAGGACAGGTAAAAAACTTTAACCTTTAAGTTTTTTGTAAAAGCTTTGATAATTTAGGCACTGATGTGGACATGTTGAACCTACAAAATCTCTTCTCGCAACTCGGGTACAGTGTAAAAATTGAGAGGGATCTCACGAGTTTGGTGAGTTTAGAGAAAAATTGAACTTTTGACTGAAATTCGGGTATTTTAAATGAATGACCATGCCTTTCATGGTCTATAACTTTACCCAGAGATAATACTATTGTTAACTTTTTATATCATTGAATAGAGGACATTTCAAGCTTTTGAATGGCACCAAATAGAGCTTGATTTGATTGTCAATTTTTGTGAAAATCATGCAACACGGGATTCGAGTTGAATCGATCTTGTTTGCTCAGAGTTGGCTTTGGTTTTCTTGGACTGGACTAGCCAATCAAACTGTATTTGGTGTCATTCGAAAGCCTTAAATGTCCTCTATTCAATGATATAAAAAGTTAACGATAATATTATCACTGGGTAAAGTTATAGACCATCAAAGCTTGGCCGCCATTCAAAATGCTCGGATTTCAGCCAAGAGCCGAAATCCAGGCAAATAGGCAAAAGCTGAGGATAGGCAAATTTGGAATGTAAATGCAATTCAAAATAAAATTTTCAGGAGATCACCAACGCAGTAGCCAACCTCGCCCAAAGTCGATCGCTTTTGAACACCTCTTCGCTTATTGTAAGCAAAGATTTTCGATGCTTTTTAATGTAATAACATACAGTAATTCAGCTGACGATTCTCACGCACGGTGAGCACAATTGTGTGTTGGGAGTGGATGAAATGCCCGTTGATATAAATCGAGTGAGATTTTTGTTAAAAGTTGATGAAAATGAACCTTTCTCTTTAAGTTGCTCGGCTTACTGAATGCGGAAAATTGCCCATCGATGGCTGGCAAACCGAAGCTCATTTTCGTTCAGGCGTGTCGAGGGGGTAAGTGCTTTGAAAATTCAGATAATTTCAGATAGAATGGTATTAATAACAATATTTTATAAATACTAATTTAGAGCGACGAGACCGGGGCACTGAAGAGCCGGATTGTGCAAGCGGTGAAGCGACAAGTCACAATCAAGCGGACATGTTTCGATTGTTTTCATGCGTTCAGCAACAAGGCGTGCAAGTGAGTTGAGGCTTTAGTTGAGAGAATCTACAGGATTTCCGTTATTTACAGCGATTTCTTTTTGATAGATTAGCGCCAAGTTTAACCCTAATTTGTTAAATGTTATATAAAAAGTTGAAACCCTTAATCTTGGCTACATTTTTCTATTCAAAGTTTCCCGATTGGAGAGATAAAATTAATTTTATAAGCTCTTAAATGAGGACTAGTTGATCCCTCTCCGGCATGTTACCATTTTTGACGATATAACACTTAACATATTAGGGTTGAACTTGACGCTTGGGAGCTAATCTATCAAAAAGAAGTCGGCGTATACACTGAACAAGTACAAGTACAAGTACAAGGACAAGTGCAAGTGCAAGTACAAGTACAAGGAGATGTACAAGGACAAGGACAAGTACAAGTACAAGTACAAGGGCTTTTTCGGAAATCCTTGGCTTGTATCTAAATCAACTCTTAGAGTCATTTCAACCCAGCTGTTATTCTTCGTTAATCAATGAGACAAAAAAAAACAAAAACAGCACGTAGATGGAGATCAGAATTTGTGTCTGATTGAAAAAGATTTAGACAAGACGGAAACGAATCCCGAGCGAGGCGGATTTTCTGATCGCTTACGCCACTCCACCATTGCATGTGAGCTGGAGGAATACGACAAGAGGTGCGAAAATTCGAGATCCCCTTGACTTACTGTACTTTTATAACCAATCCAGATTACCGTACTCCTATAAATGCTTTTGAAACGCACTTTTTTAGGCTCCTGGTTTGTGCAAGCTCTGTGCGAAATTTTTTCCCGTGACGCGAAAACAGATGACATCAGCACGATGCTCACCGCCGTCTGTGATAAGGTGGATTGAATGGTTCTGGTGCTGTTCCTAGAACCAAGACAAAGTCATCATGATTTTGGCTTGACTTTTGGATGTGAACCCCGGCTTGTTCAAGAGTATTGCAATAGAATATTTCTTTGATTAAACGCTTTGCAACGCTTCATCTTTTAGGTTTCCTCAAACGAGACAGGCGATCGATACAAGCAGTGCACTGATACGAATAATCGTTTGCGAAAGAAATTCTACTTTTTTCCCGGCTTATCCAGGAATACAGCTGTTTGAGATTTCATTCTAAAAGCCAAAAGTCGAAAGCCGTCCTTGTCTTTGCATCAGAACATCCTTGTCTTTGGCCCTTATACCCTTGAGTGCTTTTTTCCCTTATACCCTTGAGTGCTTTGATTTTTTTGATCTCAATTTGATTAGCTGATTATCATTGCCATAATTAGCAATAAAATTTTCCAAAAAAAACAAAACATTAAACAAAAAGCATGACATTAAACTAAGGAAGAGCACATAAAGTCGTTCTGCCTTGCAAAAGCCGTTCTATTCTGCATCCAGGCTACCGTATCCATCTTTGTCGTTGATTCGTCTCGGATTTCGTCGGCGTTGCGGCTTGGCCTGAAAAGAAGAGAGAAAGAAAGACGGGAATTGCGAGGGGAATCGGTTGGTTGCCAGAACAACCGATACTTTTGAATGCAAATAAGTTTGTTTCACTTTTTTTAATCCCTTTTCTAATCCCTTTTGCTAAAAGACACCAATTTTCGAAAACTATCGTAATCCATCAATTTTCATTCGATCATTCGATCGATCAACTCAATTTTTTGTATTATTTGTCTAAGCCTTTATGGTTGTAAACAAAAAGTGATTCCTTAACGCAAATCATCCGTCCGTTAGCAAACTTCTGCCTTCTTTTTCTTCAAACTTTTCTTTACCTGGTTTTTTTTTATTTTTATGACTTTTCGTTAAGATAAATGTTTATATTCGTTTCTTTTTAGATATTCAAATCGAATTGCTATGCTTAGCTGAGATTGTGAAGATTTGAAGAACATTTGAAAATGGTTGTTTCAACGATGCCCGGTCATCAACGCAATGCCTCACAGGGACAACATGTAAGGTTTACTTTCGGCTCACTAACGCCTTTCGCCTCATAAACGCTAAACGCATTTTTTCTAGTGCACTGAATTCTTCGTTCTCATAGAAATGCTTTGATGTCACGAGAAAATGAAGAATTCAGTGCATCAGAAGGAGTGCGTTTAAAGATTTAGCAAAAACACATGAAAAAGATCAATAGAAAATCCTACTATTGATCTTTATGGTGTGAAAATTTGTGTAAACGTGTAAACGGACTTCTTCTGGTGCACTGAATTCTTCATTTCAACAAGAATTTTCAGCTGATCGTCGACCGGCACGAGAGTGGCGACGAGGAGGATTTGGAGAGGTTGATTGATTTATTTCTCATTGTCTAATGGATAATTTAAGATTTGTAATAGATATTCAACTAATGTCTGTAAAATGTTGGTAAAATTTCGATTTATAGGCTTAAATTTACATGAAAACAATCTTTTAGACAAGTGCCAGCCCATGCCCCGCCTGAGGTGTCCACCGGTGGCGTTTTCCCCACCTCGCAGCCAAATTTGCCCATCAGTCGACCACATGAAAACAAAATCAAGTGAGTATGGTAGTTATGGATTAGTTTTTTTATTATCTAGATTAGACATGGACACTATAAACTACAAAAATGACGAACAATTGAAAGCTCTTGAGATTCTCGATTTTTTGAGCTATAGATCATGTCAAATCGGCAGATTTGAAGCAATTTAGAAGTGTTTGTAGTTTAGGTTTGTAGCTTGTAGTGCCCATGTCTAATCTAGGTTGATTACAGTGATAATCTTTATCCAATTCCAGAGGCGGTTGTCGAGATCCCCGTCTACGATCAAACTACAAAGTGGTGATCGGCTCGATTCTTCTTACCGCAATTGGATCGAGTAAGGGTTTTTTTTTCCAAAATTAAAAAACAATTTCTTTTTCAGCACTTCTCGTTTATGGGGCGCTTGTCTTCTTCGAGATTAGCACCGATCACGGTGGGTGACATAAAGAAATAGGCTCTTGTAACTTAAAGAAAGCTTTTGAATGAGTAGCCAAGCTTTGAAGGATCAGAAATTTGTTTAGAGATAATATTAGTATAAACTTTCTTATATAATTCTAAAGAAGACACTTCAGGCTTTAGAATGATATAAAATAGAGCTTGATTGGATTATTCAGTCCTGTGAAAATCAACGCCAAAGGTGATCGGCTCTCTTGATTTTCGTGGAATTGAATGATCGATCTATTTAATATCATTCTAAGGCCTAAAGTTTTCTTACATATATAAGAAGGTAACAATAAGATTTTACAAACTATTGGGTTGTCCAGTTATGAATGCGCGTTTTTACTATTTTGTAAATTTCTCAAGATATCGAACAGATGTATATGAGTGTTATATATCATTCGAAAGCTGAAGATCTCCTCTACATTTTGGAATAAAAAGTTTTTGAATTCATTCAACTTTTTGGGGAATTGACTGCACAAAGGGAGAGGTTGTTTTCGAAAAAACCCATTTTTCCTTATCTCTCTAAATTTGGTTCCTTCTCTTTCTAAGTTTGGTTCCTTATCTCTAAATTTTATTCCTCAAGTTTTATGGTGTAAAATAACCTCCCAGAAAAGAAAAGTAAAGATGCTCTGAAATTGTTATATTTAAAAAAAAGTTGTATTGATATATCTATTGACCAAACATCAAACGGTTAACTCAATTTGAGCGGAGCCAAAACTTGATCCAAAGGCACCCTTCCATTTTTTGGCCACCTCTTCTTCTGTGCAGTCAATTTGCCCAAAAGCTGAACAAATTCAAAAACTTTTTATATCAAAATGTAGAGGAGATCTTCAGCTTTCGAATAATACTCATATATATCTTTTTCTTGATTTCGCTATCTTGAGAAATTTACAAAATAGTAAAAACGCGCATTCATAACTGGACAACCCAATACATATATAAGAAGATAACAATAATATTACCTTTAAACAAATTTATGGACCTTAAAAGCTGATTGTGGGACATTTGATACGCGCCTCGGCCTTTTGCCATTGGCAAACTAACTTTGAGCTCAAATTTCTTGGTGCTAGGCTGTCCAATTTCAATAGTTTTTGTACCAATCGACAGAGAAAGACTTGATGCATCTAATGATATCAAGAATATTTAAATTCGACATCCCAACACCAAGATATTTAAGCTCAAAGTTAGATTGTCGATGGCAAATGGGGTGTCTAATCCGGTCCTAGTTTGGCTTTGACTCGAATAAACTTTTTCGATCATTCGACCAGAGCATGGCTTTTAAAAAGCCTGGCCTTGCCTGGCACGGAAAAATGGTTTTCGATCGAACCTGGCCTTAGGCTTAGGCAAGTCGTTTCAAATTTCATCTTTCATCTTTCAGCTGGTGTCCAAGCGTGGATGTTAGTGTTCGCGGGTTTACTGTGTTTCGTGCCCGGCTTCTACCATGTTTATTATATCACATGTACTTTGTGCGGTCGACCCGGATTCTCCCTTGACAAATTGCCCACTTTTTCACGGTAGTTGCCAATTCTCAGCGTGGTTTTTTCTTCATTTCCCCTTTTCCAGTACCCGCAAAATTTAGTCAAACGCACGTGATTCTTGTTTTTTTATTATTTTTTATTTTATTTACTTCTTCAAATGTTCTAAAAGATGTCATTTTCAGGGGAAAGGTTTTGATCAAAAGTAAAAGAAATAAGAGCTGAAAAGCCGCAAGCGGACTCGGGATTCGAGCCACCCGGCTTGGTAACGGCTCCGCTAATCACTCGACAAAAGCCGCGTGGTAGACAGGCCCCCGAAAATGACATCTTATTCTCATCTTATCCTCATCTATCCCAAAGCCTCTCATTATGTACAAATTCTTGAGCATTCTAACCCCATTTTACAGGGTATCAAAATCAAAAAAAACTTTGAGAGATTTGCATAATAATAATTTGCAATTTGCATTTTTTACGCAAAAAAAAGAATGATTTTTGCATAATTTTTGTGAATTTGAAAGAGAGCTTGCCACATTTATGTTTTTTAAGTGAATTACTATTCGCTTTTTCTATGTACTGATACCGTGCTTCAGCTTAGTACTTTATATGCAAACTTTTTCGAATTCGAATTCAAATTCAAATTTTTTTTCCTCTAATTTTGTGTTCTACGGATCAAAAACGATCGCACCGATTCACTTGGCTTTTTTATTTGAGAGAATTTTACCCAAATTTGAGTACGGTAATCATTCGGAGAGAAGAAATTGACGGGAATTGGATTTGGATTGAATTTCGGGCCTTTACTGGCCTCTGGACTCGATCTGACTCTGATTTCATCTGAACTTAGCCCCAATCCGGAATACGGTACCTCTGTAGCTTTTCTAAAGGGGTACTGTAGCTTTTCCAAAGGGTTTCCTTTTTCGTATGCGAGATTACGGCAATTGTCCAAAGGCATACGATAGCTTTTCGCACCTTTTAGAAAACGGAAGCAGCTGATTAGTGTGTCCGTAAAATCTGCTGGGAACATTCCTGGCTATGGTCTTCTCTTAGAATGATTACGGTAATTGCAATTTGGATATTTGACTTGATTTTGATGAAATTTAACGTAATTTTGAAGAAATTTAACTTGTTTTTCATGAAATTTGACTTGTTTTTGATCAAATTTTTAACTTTTAAAATTTCACTATAAAGCGAGCTTTTTCTGGTGTAAGCGAAAATGCAAAAAATTTTCTATCAAAAAAAAGAAAGCTTCTTTTTATGTACAGCCGTTTCCATTTTGTTTGCGTGCTTAATAAAATGTCATACTCCGGGCATTTCGAATGAGCAAATTGAGCAATTTATGGAAATTTTTGGGATGCAAAAAGACTGAAAGACCAGCGTTCACAAAAATGAATGAAAATTTGCGGAAAATTGTAAGAAATTGTTAGAAATTGCTAGAATTATCTAGAATTTAGATAGAAATCTCTATTCTATGACATTTAAATATAATAAATATATAAATATCTATAAATATCTATAAATATCTATAAATAGTTTGATTTTTGAATCTTCTTTTGAATCTTCTTTTGACTCTCTTCTTTTGGCTCTTCTCTTATCTCTTCTCTTATCCCTGCGCCGAGGCGATGATGTCGCGCAGCTCGGCGGTTTTGTAAATTTTGTCGATATCCTGAAAAAATTTGTTTAAAGCCTATAAAGTGTATATTTTAGTTACTGTAGCTAATATAATGCTTAAATAGATGACGAATTAAAGCTCCGAGTACGGTAGTTTACTGTAATTACAGCATTTCTAATCGATCACCCTTTTCACCTCATTTACCTCACTCGAAAATGAGATTTGTTTGTGGTAATTAAAAGAATCGCAAATGTACTTTGTGTTCTCATAAATGACGCACCCTTTCTGGCGCACTGAATTCCCGATTTTTCTCGCGACACCGAGAAAAATGAGGAATTCTGTGCGCTAGAAAGGGTGCGTTTAAAAGAAGAGCTCAAAGTAAGCTCAAAGTACATCATAATGCAGAAGATTTTTGCGCCAACTTTACCGTCAATTCCGATATCCAAATTTTCGTCGGCGCATTTCTTCGCGATTTCTTTTTCGGCGGTGCTTCTTGTGGTTTCACTCGATCGTTTTCTGATGTCATAAAGAGTCGTTCAAAGTTCTAAAAAAAGAAATTTCCACCAATCTACTAATGTATAAAAGAGCTGTGTCTGTCTGTTTGTCTGTCTGTCTGTCTATCTGTTTATCTATCTGTCGTCTGTCTGCCTGCCTGTCTGCCTGTCTATCTGCCTGTCTGTCTATCTGTTTGTCTGTCTGTCTGTGCGCGCTGCTCAGCTCCCAGTGGGCCGTTTCGAATGATTTATTATTAGTTTAGCTTAGAATTTCATGTAGTTGTGCAATATGCTCACACTACGCCATCTACTGGCCGAGTGGTTAACGCGCGTGTCTCTCAAAAAAACGGAAGAGAGGTCGCGGGTTCGACTCCTCTCGTCGCCAATTGTTGCGCTTTTTTTTGCTAGTTCTTTGCTGTTGTTTGTTAGTTGTTTGTTAGTTCTTTGCTAGTTGCTAGTAGTTTATAAACACTTTTCTATTTAGAGTAAACCATAAGCTTTGTTATTTTGGTATTACCGTATTTGTTCGAATAGAAGACCGGGTAAAGAGTATGATCGCGTACTCCTGCGTAGCAGCCCTTCTTTTCTGCATAAAAGCTTTCTGCAAAGCTTTCAATGAAGTGCTATAAAGCTGGAAAATGGCTGTTCTGTTCTGTCAAAAATCTGTTAGCTCATTTGGTATTTTTGAGTCATTTCCCAGCTCTATAGCACTTGATTGAAAGCTTTTTATGCAGAAAAGAAGGGCTGCTACGCAGGAGTACGCGATCATACTCTTTACCCGGTCTTCTATTCGAAGAAATACGGTATATAATGGTTGCTAAAAGATTGTTCACGATTTGACGGACTTTTTATATAAAAATAGTGGAATTTAATTGAATTCAGTACAAAATTTGAATTGAATTCCACAAAATCGAATAGAAATCAATTGAAAAAACTTTGATCATTTTAATCATTTCTAAAAAAGCTCAAAGATTATTTCCGTAAACGATCTTCTAAAAAAGGCTTTTCTTTAGTCAATTTAGTAAGCGCTTTTTCATCATTTTTGCGCGTCTTTTATTAGAATTTATTAGAAAAACGGGTAAAACATTTTTCCCCCTCGTTTACCTCAAATTTATTCGCTTCTTTTTCCCATCCCAAAATCATGTCGATATCACCGGGTTTTCGAATGAAACGATTCGCACGCGAGTAGTCACGACGACGTTTTGGCTGAATATTAAATTTCGTTTTCTAAAAAGTGCCCCTTTCTCTCAAAACTATCGTCTATTTTCTTCTTTATTTTCTTTAATAATGATTTGATCTGTCTTCACACTTAGCGCAGATCACAACCCGCTTCCACATTTACTGAGGCAGAAGTGTAGTTGTCGTAGCCGATGATACTCCGATGGCCGGGCTGGGCTGGGGCGCTCGGAGGGGAGCCCATGGGAGTCGAACCCACGACTAACCCGCGCCGACGTTGCTCAACTTGGCAGATCGGACGGGGTCGACCACAGACCCTTCCCTTTCTGGGCCCCCTTTATTTTCTTCTCCATTTTCTTCTCCATTTTCTTGTCTATTTTTATCTAATCTATCCACCTTTTTCTATTTCTATAACGGTTCAAAAAGGCTATTGCAAAGAAATAAAAAAGCTCATTGGCTAAAAAAAGATCGACAAGATTACGGTAGGTTGAGACAAAAAAGAAATTAAGAAATTAATAAATTAAGAAATTATGAAATTAATAAGTTAACAAATTGGGGTAGACTAGTTTCCGCAATTTTTTTTGCGCAACTCTCCATAACTTTCTTTTAAGTCGGCCAATCTTTATCAATTTGATTTCATTTTGTAGATCTCAACAAGTGCAACAAAATGAAACCAAAAGCATAAAGATTAGCCCACTTAGAAGAAAGCTATGGCTAGTTGCGCAAAGTAGGCTAATTTCCACTAGGTCATTTGCGGAACTCGTCATAACTTTTTTCTAAGTGGGTCAATCTTTATGCTTTTGGTTTCATTTTGTAGATCTCAATAAGTGCAACAAAATGAAACCAAAAGCATAAAGATTGGTCCACTTAGAAGAAAGTTATGGCGAGTTGCGCAAATGACCCAATTGAGCAAAGAAAAATTGCGGAAATTAGCCCACTCCGAAATAAAGAATTGAATGCCTGCTATATAAGAGTTTTTCTCTGCTTAGTAGATATTTAGCTTTTAAAGTGAATAGCCTTTAATGTTATTTGAAGGTAAATTAGCCTACCCCAACAAATTCAAAAAAAATTTCCAAAACGAAATCACCTTTGTGGGTTCTTTTGGCGGTAAAATGATCTCCTCGGTCTTTCTCCTTTGCCCATATTTCCTCGCTTTTCTCGAGGATTCCTCGTTATTTGCCTGTGAAGTGGAAACGGTAATTGGTGTTGTCTAAATGAGAAGAAAAGTCGATTTTTTTGCAAAAACTATAGACATCTTATTCATTTTTTTTAAAAATCTCAAATCTCTCACCTTTAAATCCCCGTCCCGTGGCCTCGCTGACGGTGGATTCGAAGCGACGGCGAGCGCCTGGAAAATGCCACAGAATTCTTCGAATTTTTCGAATTTCTTTGAATCCAACCAAAATTCTCAAGGGAAACTTGCAAACTGAGAAATAAAAATCAGAAAATCTCTTTATTTCGGGGGAAAAACCCACGCTCAAAACTGTGAGAGAAATCGAGTGAAGTTGACTGGAAAAAAAGGTGACTTTTAGCTTGGAGATATTAAAGAAAAATGAGTTTAGTATCGATGGAAAGGAAGATTTTTGAAAAGCTAAGCTCTGTACTGAAATTTGCATATGTAGGCCGGTTATACAGTGATCCGGGGTACGGTATTTGTCTGATTTCTTACAGTTTTTACAGTAATTTTATCATTTACAACTCAGTAGCCGGTCGGTCGGTCGGTTAGCACCAGTTTTTGACCTAAAAAACCTGAAATCGGTACCGAGCGTACCGAGCGAGCCGCTGTACTATAGTACTAGTCTGTACTAGTCTGTACTAGTCTGTACTAGTCTGTACTAGTCTGTACTAGTCTAGTACTATCACTGGATTACTGTAGCTTGCGAGATTATTGTATTTTGTACATCTCCATCCACCAACCATATTTCTAATCCGGGTCGCGGCGGCTCCGTCTCCGGCCGGCCCGCGGGCAGCCACGGACATGTCCGGCCCACAGGAGCGACGATTCTAAATAAATCTACTTTATCAAAAAAACAATGTCTGGCTGCTTGTCCGTCTGTCCGTGTGTGTCTTCTTGTCTGTCTGCTTATCCGTCCGTCCGTCTGTCTATCTGTCTGTCGATCCGTCTGTCGATCTGTCTTACTGCCTATCTGCTTGGGCGTCTGTCCGTCTGTCCGTCTGCTTGTCCGTCCGTCTGTCTGTCTGCCTGTCTGGGTTCGAAACCGGATCCTGCAGGCCGTAGACAAGCGCACTCCTGACTGCACCATGGCGACTACTCGTCCACGACACCGTTAGGCGAGTTTTTTAGCTGATGATGGCAAAACGCAAAGCATTATGAATGAGTTGATCTTACTAGGGATTGTCAAAAAAGTTGTCAAAAATTTGAGTACGTGCTCAAATGCGACCAAAAAACCAAATAAAGAACGCGTCAGTTTCTGTAAATGCGCGCCATCCTGTCGAATCACTTGCTTCTCAACTCGCGAGCATATTGCTCCCTTGCTTTCCCCCGGATCTTGCTTGCTCAAACATACCCGCAACGCGTCCAGCGCGGATCTCTTTTTTGTAGCGACAGCGTGGGCAGTCTCGAGAATGGACAAATTGTCGTCGTTTACTAGAAAAAAAAGATATTTAGTTATTGAATAAGAATTATAAAAATAACTAAACACAGCCATTCATCAACAAAAAAAAAAAAGTTTTGCTAATGAACTAAAAAAAAAATGAATTTTTGCTAAAATGAAATAAAGATATTCAACTGAACAATAGAAAACTGAGGGAAAAAAAGAGACAAATAAAGCTTTCACTCAAATTTCTCAATCAGGATTTGCTCATACTTGAATGTGCTACCTGCCGGCAGCATTCCCATCAAAGACATCGATGAATTTGAGTCTTTTTGTTGAGTCTCTTGAAAATTATAGGGAAAATCGAATTAGAAATTAGAAAACGGTAGAAAACAGTACTTTGATAATAGAATAATAATATTCTATTATTCTATTATTTGATAATATTCTATTATCAAAGTATTGTTATTCACTTGATTTCTAAAAGACAGCCTCAAACTATCGTAGTCCGATTTTCTTGGTTTAGTTCAACCTTTAAAACCTTTCAGAATATTTTCAAATCACTCACCGACAATCTGCGTCTTCGGAAGGCTCGGCTTGGCCAATTTGTCAGCTGGGGAGACGGTGCTTGTCTGGAATATAGAAATATTTTACAAGTTTTCGCTCTAGCTATTTATTTTAGTTCTAGAGTTTCTCCAAGAATTAATAGGCAATTAATTGTAAGCCAGGCTAGAGCCTGGTACACAAAAGTATCTGGATTCGTCAAAATCAAAGGCTTTGATTTGGCTTCTCATCAATTTGTGACTACGAATCCTGGTTTTTAAGAAAGCTGATTCCTGATTGTGAATCCTGTCTGTAAAGAAAGCCGATTCCTGATTGTGAATCTTGACTGTTAACAAAACCCTTGACCCGATTGAAACTGGCCTAGTACTATTTTTGAAATTCATTTTCTAAAACGTCTTTCTAAAACGTCTAAAACGTCTTAAAACATTTCTAAAACGTCCGACAAACTACCGTAATCTTGTCTCCATTTATCTATCATTTATCAAGGAAAATATCTGACATTTTCTAAAACATGCATATTTTTAGCAAAATTGAACGATCACCCGTTCGTTTTGTGCTCAAAAGCTCACCTTTCTCTCTTTCGACCCGTCAGCTGTTGTGGCTTCTGAAAGGTGCAATTTGTACAGTAATCTTTGACTATTTTATATCCTGAATAGCTCATAATCTTTATTTTATATTATTAATACTTATTTTAGATATCTTTAGCTTTTTCTAAACAAACCATCGTCTTGTTTCAGCCGTCGAACGGTTCGTCGCGGCTCGGACTTCTTTGGCTCCTAAAATAACAGTTATTAGGATAGATATAAGATATTTATTATCTAATATCTAACCTCATCCTCCGCATCATCTTTTTGTTGTTTCACTTTTTTCACTTTTCGCGTCTCATTTTTCGCCAATTCTTTCTCAATCTCAGCATCGCGGAGCCCCTTTTGACGCCGCTTTTCCTCGTCGGCTTTTCTGAAAAAAATAGATATTGCTTCTAGTCCAAGATATTTAATGAACTAGTTACAGTGACCCCCATTTGTCTCTAGAACCTTACAGTGACCCCCATTTATCTATAGAACCTTACAGTAACCCCAATTTGTCTATAGAACCTTACAGTGACCGCCATTTGTCTCTAGAACCTTACAGTGACCGCCATTTGTCTCTAGAACCTTACAGTGACCGCCATTTGTCTATAGAACCTTACAGTAACCCAAATTTCTCTACAAAACCGGTTACAGTAAACCGGATCCTATAATTATGCAGTAGTTTACTGTACCTACTTACTGTCGATACTAGATTACTGTAAAAGTTACCGAAGCCCTTTATTCTAGTATACTGTAGCTATGTTTTACAATTTTTATACAATACCCCATCACTTTGGCAGCTTGATCGAGAAGTTTCTTATGATTATCCTCTTGTCCTTTGATTTTCGCCTCTTCAGCTTTCGTCAGCATTCCCTAAAATGTTAATTTTAGAAAATTAACCGTTGAAACTTATCAAAATATTGTACAAATCTTAACCTTTTTCAAATCAGTGAACTCTTTCTGAAAAGCTGTTGTACCGGCTTTCATCTTCTCGCGCAGTTCCTCCATCTGAAAAATATTAAAAATTTCTCTCAATTTTCAAATTTACAGAAAGATTTGTGTTAATTCTGTAAACGAAACCTTTCTGGTGCACTGAATTCTTCGTCACATGAAACCAAAATGAAGAATTCAATGCGCCAGAAGAGGTTCGTTTACAAGAGAGAAAAAGTACATTGGATGATTAGATGAAGAGCTGTAGAAATTTCGGTTTAATTAATAGAATAAATGGTAGATTATTATAATCTATAGCTACCGTACTCTAAGTTTTTTCTTAGAGTACGGTAGCTATAGACTCTTACAGGCTAGTCAGCCTTATTTTTACTTGATCATTCAGTCTAAATAATTTAGATATCTAATAGTTTAGTTTAGTTTAGTTTAGTTTAGTTTATCTTTGAACTTTCACTAAATTATCAAGAAAAGAGTAACGACTACGCGACTGTACACTCAAAATAAGGTCACTAAACAATACCTGTTTATCAAAGCTATCATCAACAACCGGTTGGATGATTGGCGCATATTTTCTTCTTGGTCGTTCCTCCTCTTTGCTTTGCAGAGCTTTCGAGCGTCGATATCTATTAGGTTGTCGGATTATGAATTGCCGTTGTCTTTTTTGCTTTGTATTTTTTTTTCAAATAAATTTTTGTGGTACTTTTTTAACTATATTAAAGAGCGTTTTATGCCGCGTCGATTGATATATTATTCGTCTATATTTGCTTAGATTTTTAATATAAATTTGTCTTAGGAAATGAACGACATCAAAAATAAAATGCGGATTTGTTTGTTGTACGACTTCAAACAAAGAAAATGCGGCAGAATGCATTCGCATTGCATTCGGAGAAGATGTGATCAACGAACGTCAATGTCGCAATTGGTTTCAGCGCTTTCGGGACGGCGACGAGAGCCTTGAAGACAAAGAACATGAGAGGCGACCAAAAACTGTGGACGATGAGGAACTTAAAGCAGCCATCGATTCTGATCCTGCCCAAACGACACGAGAACTTGCTGAGAGGTTCGGTTGTCATCATTCCACCATTGCTGACCACTTGCATGCCATTGGTAAGGTGAATAAATGCGGTAAATGGGTGCCTCATGAACTAAGCGATTTGAGCAAAACAACGCGAATCAATATGGCCGGAATTCTTTTGCGTCAAGCCAAGAACAGTGGTTTTTTGAGTCGATTGTCACGTCTGATGAAAAGTGGATATCCTTTGATAATACCACTAGAAAACGACAATGGTTGGACCCCGGACAAACCTCAAAACCGACTCCAAAACCAGACATCCATGGCAAAAAGGTGATGCTATGTGTTTGGTGGAATAGCAAAGGATTGGTGCATTTTGAAGTGCTAAATTCTGGTCAAACGGTTAATGCGGACCTCTACAAAGAACAATTAAGCCGGTCGATCAATCGCTTCGTCGACAGGGAGTGGAAACAGCGTCAACAAAATTGCTCCATGACAACGCGCATCCACACACCGCAAAAGTAACTCTCAAAAAAATTGAAGAATTGGGCTGGGAACTTCTGCCTCACCCGCCATATAGCCCAGACCTTGCGCCATCTGATTACCCTTTGTTCCGGTCGATGCAGCATTCCTTGGTCGAAAAAAAATTCAAAAACCGCGATGAAGTCCAAATTTGGGTGGCCAATTTCTTTGAGTCACAGCCGGTCGAGTTCTTCAACAAGGGCATTCATTCTTTGCGTGGACGTTAGCGATATGTCATAGATACCGATGGAGAATACCTTTTAGATTAAATTATTTTTGTATTGATTTTATAATAAAATTACTTTTTGATAAAAACGGCAATTCATAATCCGACAACCTAATAGATAATATTAATATATTCTACAGCATAATTAATTATATTGACTAATATATATCATAATGATAAGTGTAGTGGCTTATTATCTATTTTAACTATCTCAATCTCAAAGCTAGTTTTGCACTAAGCACAAAAGGATTTCAAGAATCAACTTTGCAGATTCCGGCTGCAAAGTTGATTGTTGAAATTTGCAAAAGATGGGCCCCGGCTATTTAGTTCCTTTATAGTTCCCATGTAGTTCCTTTATAGTTCCAATGTAGTTCCTTTATAGTTCCCATGTAGTTCCTTTATAGTTCCTTTATAGTTCCTTTATAGTTCCTTTATAGTTCCTTTAAAGTTCCTTTATAGTTCCCATTTAGTTCCTTTAAAGTTCCTTTATAGTTCCTATATAATTCCCATTTAGTTCCTATATAGTTCCTTTATAGTTCCTTTAAAGTTCCTTCATAGTTTCTATTTAGTTCCGGCCCATAAAGCTAATAAAGTCCCACTTTAGTTTCTTTTTCTGAATGGCCCAGCTAAGATCTTAATATTATTCTGATTATTTCCGATGAATTCTTCTGTCTGGTAAATCCTTGAGACAAAAGCCTACTTAAAACTATATACAAATGTTGAAAGTTTGAAGAAAAGTCTTCTGAAAGTCTGGGATGAACTCAATGATGCTTATTTCTTTCTTTCTTTCTTATTCCTCTTTATCTTTCTTTCTTTCCTCCTCTTTATCTTTCCTTCTTTCTCTTGGTAAATTAAGCTTAGTGGCTTATCAGATCGCATAGTAGTTAGAGCAATTGCTCGGCTAGCAGAAGGTCGAGGGTTCAATCCCTTCTCCAATCTTTTCTTGCCAATTTTTTAACTTTTTTTATTACTTTGTCGCCTTTCTGACAGCGTTCTCGGTTAAAAATGATGACTAAATTGAATTTAATTAATAACTTCTTCTTTATTGTTATCAAATAAAGATTTTAAAACAAAAGTTAGCTCTCAAAAGTTCTCTAAATTTTAATTTTATCTACCTACAATGCTTTATGATAATTATAAACCATCTAGATAGCATTATATCATAAAAATCTTATCTATTATCCAAATTCGCATACGTTATTTTCTCCTGTGGCATTTCTGTGGCCTCCTTGAATTTCTCCGCCAACGAGCCGACCAAATTGTATCGTCGAGCGGATTTCTTTGCGGCTTCCTTAAAATTTCAATAATTTTATTTAAAACAAATCGATATCTAGAAAATAAATATCTATTAGAAGTATCGATTAAAAATATTCGAATAAAATTTCCACCTCATTCTCCAATTCTTTCCTTTTCGCCTCATCAGCCGTCATGTTCAGCGCCGATTTTCGCACCGAGCTTTTGTCCTAAAATTTTCAAGATAATTATAATTTACATAATTTTTAATAAATATCTAAACTATTTATTAAAAATTTGCAAATTTATATTTTAAAATCAAATTTCACCTTTGGTCCATCCGATAATTTCCCGGCGGCCATGATTTTTGAGAGAGTTGATCCAAATTGAAGCTCGTCTTGCACTAAAAATTTGAAAAAAGTTAGAACGAAGATTTGGATATTTCATATATTTAGATTCAATTTTTCTATATCTAAATCTTATTTAATATTTAAGCTTTAAAAATCTCACCTTTCCGTTCGACTTTCGTCGACTGAAGCTTTGGTTTTGGTGAGCTAAAATGATTGAGAAATTGATGCTTTAGCAATTGTTTAGCTTTAGCTTTAGGAATTGTTTAGCTTTAGCTTTAACAATTGCTTAGCTTTAGCTTTAACAATTGTTTAGTTTTAGCTTTAACAATTGCTTAGCTTTAGCTTTAGGAATTGTTTAGCTTTAGCTTTAGCACTTGTTTAGCTTTAGCTTTAACAATTGTTTAGTTTTAGCTTTAACAATTGTTTAGCTTTAGCTTTAGGAATTGTTTAGCTTTAGCTTTACCACTTGCTTAGCTTTAGCACTTGTTTAGCTTTAGCTTTAGCATATGTGAATTATGAGCTATAGTATGTATAATATAGATAGCTACATTATAATCTAATAACAAACTCAGCCATTTTCGTTTCCACCGTTGCCACCCGGGCTTTCTCCAATTTTGGCGGTTGAATGACGGCTTTTTTCGCGAAATCAGTGGCCGGCTGCTTTTCCGGAAAGTAACGAGAAGCTGTCACTTCCTAAATATACATTCATTTACGAAATTATTAGATTGGCAACTTGAAAGTTGGTACACTTATTCACTTTTTTGAAATAACCAAACCAATTAATAACCAATAACCAAGCCAATTAATCTACAGCTTTCACCAATAAAAAAGCGCATTTATTCTCTAAAACAGGCTTTAGATTTAGAAAGGCTTCGATTCTGTAGGTTTCTAGGGAGCAAAAAGTTGAGGTACCAAAAATGATGAACACTTGTTGAAGCGATTTGAGCATTTTCTTCCACATAAACTCATTTTGATGTTAATAGAAAAAAGGTAGAGCATGAAAAGTTAGGCATACAACCGAATTCTCAGCTCGATTTGTTTTATTGCTTTAGTTATATGTCTGTTTGAAGAATTTCCAGAAAAACTTGAATTTCTGCTTGCTTTCTGCTTAAATTCGTCTCAAAAGTTGCTCAAATTTGCTGAAGCTTTTCTTAAATTAGATAATATATAATATATAATTTCGAGAAATCTAATTCAATTGGCGTATGAAATATGTTTTATGGAAAATACGTCAATTAAACAAAATTGCTGTCAAAGTTGCCAATTTAATACTATAGTTTACGCATTTTATTTACGAAATTACTAGTTTTTATTTAGCTGGGTTATTTTGTTGTGTACTTATACAAGAAAGCAAAAGGAACGCTTGAAAAACAAAGCTACTCCAAGACTAAGAACAAAGAACAAGCAAACAGAGAACTTAAAGAATTACTATAGCTTTTAAAAGTAAACCTTAACACTTTCTTAACACAGACAACAGTGTAAACGCTTACCTTAACTTTTTCTTCTGATTGTTTCACATATGTTGGCTCCATGTTCACTTCTGTTTCACCCTGGAATTTAAAAATTTTAAAAAAATGAAACGAATCGACTTATTTTCTTACCTTTTCTTCGTTCACTTCTCGAATCTCTGGATTTATTGGATTCTCTTCTTCAGGAAGATCTTCAAGCATTGCTTCTTCGATCTAAAACTTTAATTGCTTGACTTAAAGTTGAAAGATTTGATTAGAATCGATTAGAATCATCGAATTTGATTAGATTAAATCAAATCAAATAACTAAATCAAATCAGATTTGACTAGATTAAATCAAATTTGATTAGATTAAATCAAATTTGATTAGATTAAATCAGATTTGATTAGATTAAAGCAAATCAAACAATGATTACATTAAATCAAATCAAATAATTAATACAAATCAAATAACAAGGTCAAATCAAATAATTAAATCAAATCAAATTAGATTAGATTAAATCAAATCAAATTAGATTAGATTAGATTAAATCAAATCAAATTAGATTAAATCAAATCAAATTAGATTAGATTAGATTAAATCAAATCAAATTAGATTAGATTAAATCAAATCAAATAACTGGGGTAGGCTACTTTCCGCCATTTTATTTGCGCAACAGGGTCATTTGCGCAAGTACGTTTGCGCAACAGGGTCATTTGCGCAACTTTTTTGACGTTTTTAAGGGACGTTTTTTTAAGGGAGTTTTTGGCGTTTTTTTTGTTGTTTAAAATTCTAGTACGGTTTTGTTTATTCTTAAAAACCATTGTTAACTAATTTTCCGCATTTTCCCAAGAATCCGCATCCATCGTATACTGCGGTCAGACTTTACGAAGAAATGACGCAAATAATCAACCGTTTCAAGCTTTCATCGGCTATCAATCTCACTGTTGGACAAAACTACACACGGAAGAAAACTGTATTGGCTCGACAAAAGCAACGTTTTACTGCTATTTCTAATGGTCGCTTGCCCGGTTGCGATTTTGTGCAACATCTTTCTCAGCTTTTGACTTATATTAAAAAAATGATTTTTATTGTTGTCCTAAATTTCATTGCTATTGTTGTCCTAACTTTCATTGTTATCGGTTGCACTTTTTTGTTAAAGCGATAAAATACTTTACTAATGGTTATTAGCTCTTAGAAAGGACTAATTTAGATAAATATTGGAAGATTGTGCAAAAAATTGGAAGATTTCATAAAAAATAGAAGAAAATAAAAAAAAACAATAAAAAAAGCTCAAAAATGAAAATAATGATTAAAAATTCGAGTGCTTAATACAGTGTTAAAGTTGCGCAAATGACCCGGTTGCGCAAATAAAGTTGCGCAAATGACCCTTGTTGCGCAAACGTACTTGCGCAAATGACCCTGTTGCGCAAATAAAATGGCGGAAAGTAGCCTACCCCAAATAACTAAATCAAATCAAATAATTAGGTCAAATCAGGTTTGACTAGATTAAATCAAATGAAATTTGATTAGATTAAATCAAATCAAACAATTAAATCAAAACAAATTTGATTAGATTAAAGCGAATCAAATAATTAGATCAAATCAAATAACTAAATCAAATCAGATTTGACTAGATTAAATCAAATTTGATTAGATTAAATCAAATCAAACAATGATTACATTAAATCAAATCAAATAATTAATACAAATCAAATAACTAGGTCGAATCAAATCAAATAAACTTTTAGATCAAATTTTAGATTAAATAACCATCAAATAACCTTTTGAATCAAATTTTAGTTCAAAATTTAGCTCAAAATTTAGCTCAAGTTAGTTCAAATTCTAAATGAAATAATCCTCCCACCTCTTCATCAATCTCTTTCACAATCGACTGCACCAACATTTTCTCCAGGTCAAACACTTTGGGAAGCTAAAGTTAACAATTTGCGAAATGTTCGCAAAACCCTCACCTCTTCAATAGCAGTTTGTAATTGAGACGGCTCGTCACTTTGCTCGCTCGCCGATTCGAAAGACATCGAAGCGCTTTCGATCTGAAATTTTACAAAATTGGCAATTAAAGGCCTAATTAAAGTTTCCTGAAATTCTGGAGGATTATTTAATTTGTTTTTTTTGGGGTACGTAGTATTTTGATGTTGACCTCACTCTCGAAACTCCCCTCATCAGATTGGGAATCGTACGAATCCGTTGTGAACTCTTCGTCTTCATCGAAATCCGTCTCATCCGAGTACTGAAAAGATAGATTATGAAAATATAGTATTAGATTGTATTAGATTATCTTAAAATCTATTTAGATCTATAGAAATCTATAGAAATCGATAGAAATCGATAGAAACCTCTATAGAAATCTATAGAAATCTATAGAAACATCTATAGAAAACGGTAGGCAAGTTCTTTCGTCAAATTTCTCTTAAGTCAGCTACTGATTACAATAAATACGTCTGTCTTTTAGTCTAAAATCTATAAAGTTTAAAAGACTTTATAAACTGACTATAGTAGACTATAAACTGACTATAGTAGACTATAAACTGATTATAGTAGACTATAAACTATGGTACGGTAGCAAGTAAGCATTAAATAACATCTGATATAGTAGCTCAGCGTAGTAGAAGCTTATCGTACCTTATGGAAAAGTATGATCTCGTCGAAAAAACAACTTGCCTAGGGTAAGCTCAGTAAGATACAGTAAGATAAGGCTCGTTAGTACAATAAGGTATCTAGAAATCATTTATCTAGATTTTTTTATCCTTACCTCATCCGATTCATAGTATTCCGCAGTATCCGAGTCCTCTTCTCCTTCTCCTTTCAGCGCCGCTTTCTGCACAAGAGTCAATGTGGCGCCCACAGTTTGTCCATGGTAATTACTCTCCTAAAATTATAAAAATCTTATCTAGATATAGAATTTAGATATAGAATTTAGATAAAGATATTAGATAAAAGCAGAAGAGACGTCCGTTCGTCCGTCCGTTCGTTCGTCTGTTCGTTCGTTCGTCCGTTCGTTCGTCCGTTCGTCTGTTCGTCCGTTCGTTCGTCCGTTCGTTCGTCCGTCCGTTCGTCTGTTCGTTCGTCCGTTCGTCTGTTCGTTCGTCCGTCCGTTCGTCCGTTCGTCTGTTCGTCCGTTCGTCCGTTCGTCTGTTCGTCCGTTCGTCCGTTCGTCTGTTCGTCCGTTCGTCCGTTCGTCTGTTCGTCCGTTCGTCCGTTCGTCTGTTCGTCCGTTCGTCCGTTCGTCTGTTCGTCCGTTCGTCCGTTCGTCTGTTCGTCCGTTCGTCCGTTCGTCTGTTCGTCCGTTCGTCCGTTCGTCTGTTCGTCCGTCCGTTCGTCTGTTCGTCCGTTCGTCTGTTCGTCCGTTCGTTCGTCCGTCCGTTCGTCTGTTCGTCCGTTCGTCCGTCTGTGCGCAGCCATTGGCAAAAAGGGGCGGGGCTTATATTGCGTGGAATGCGGAGTGTTTCGTAGTTTAGCTTTGAACGCGTTTTTCTTGACACTTGTTTGTGCTGCAATGGGCGCTTAGGTATCAAAAAAAATAGCTGAAAATCAGTTATTTTTGATATCAAAGACACATTTTTGAAGGTAAAAGCGCCTAAAAAAAGAAAAACTAAAAAACTTGCGACTACACGACTGTACGAGGGGGACGAGATCTTACAGTATTTACGGTAGATATATTTGCATATAAACTGTCACCTCATCGCTCGAGCGCCGCTCTGGACCATTCAGCCTTGACATTAACGTTTCCGGACCTGGAAATGTCTATAGATCTGAGAAATTTGCATATAATAGATAAATCATTGAGATTTTATCTAGATTTGATCTAGAGATTCTCTAGATTCTAGATAGTTCTTATTTAAGAATAAATTTTGATAATTAAGTGAGTATACAAGTTTTCACCTCTCTCTTCCTCTTCATCGCCTTCATCGGCGCTGTCCCAAGCGTCCTAAAGATAATGGCTTATAGATAAATCAGATAGATAAGAAGATAGATAAATAAGCTAGATAAATAAGATAGCTAATCTTATAGATAATCTAGATAATCTAGATAATCTAGATAGTTTACCGGCTCTTGTCCAGATAATTGCCCATCATATGTAACAGAGCAGGTGAAAACGGGAAGTGGTGGGGGTTGAGCGAGGAAAGATTCGACTCGACCACGGAGATCATGACTGAAATCGAGTTCTCATGTATTTTGTGCTCATTTATAAACACAATCTTTCTGATGCACTGAATTCCACATTTTTCTAGCGTTGTTATGAGAAAAATGAGGAATTCAACGCTAGAAAGAGAAAAATTCCGTGAGATATTAGGTAGATGCATAAGAAATGCGGATTTCAACATTTCCAACGGATTAGGAACCAAATTTAGAGAGATTCCAACGATAGAAACCTGATAACGATAAACCTGATATCGATAAACTATTTAAAAGTTGTAAATCTCCTCTACAAAATAAGTTAAAGATTGTTGCAATTGATCGAAGCATTGAAGAAATTTCGAGGGCGATAAGCGAGTGACCAAAAGTGACCAAAAAAGGAATCGAGTCACTTTAGGGACAAGTTTAGTGCGGTCAAACCGCCTTAGGTTGTATCGCCGGAAACGATCAGACGACGATTAAATCAAGCTGGATTATATGCAAGAAGGGTTGCCCGTAAACCTCTGATGAATTCTAAGCACCGGAAGCAGCGCCTTGATTTTGCACGGATCTACCGAAGTTGGACAATAAGTGATTGGGCGAAAGTGCTATTTAGCCTATTTTGTAGAGGAGATCTACAACTTTCAAATAGTTTATAAGGTTTATCGATATCAGGCTTATTGATATCAGTTTTCTATCGTTGGAAATTTATAAAAATGTTGAAATCCGCATTTCTTATGCATCATTATGCTAACCTTTGTTCCAAAAATGACAAATCGTTAACAACAGCTGGACCATTTGTCACAATAGCTAAATATTTCAATTATATTTCAATTATATTTAAATTATATTTCAATTCTATTTCAATTATATTTAAATTTAAATTTAAGCACGTGTGGCTGACTGGTTAAGTGTCTTTTATCTTAATCGGAAGGTCGAGGGTTCGAACCCCACATGCGACATGGTCACCCCCTTCGGATTTCCTTTCCCTTTGGGTTGAGAGGTTTTCTGGAGGGCAGTCTGGTGGTTGTGGCCCCAGTTCTTTAAAGTGACAAGCCACTCCTTCATCGTCATCTTCCCTTCACCACCAAAAAAGCTATTTAGTTCCCCATTGAGCTTAGGGTTAGGGAGCCGTCTGTCATGGCGTGGGTTAAGTTAAGATATAGCCTAGTATTGTGTGTGTCGTTGTATTGTGATTGATATATTTCGTGTATGCGATAAATTCACCACTGGTAGCCCCAGTCGGTATTTTTTTAAAATGTTAAATGTAAGTTTTAAGCATGAAAATGAATCTTTTCATGGTCCTAATAACTAATAAAAAAATAACTAACCAATTGGTAAAGCAAAGGAGACTGTTTCCGAGGCGCTGTACTCGAAATCCGACTCGTACACTAAACAATATCATTTAGATTTATGTTGGATTTAGATTTAGAAAGATTTAGAATGATTTAGAAAGATCTAGAAAAGATTTAGAAAGATTTAGAATGATTTAGAAAGACTTAGAATGATTTAGAATGACTTAGAATGATTTAGAATGATTTAGAAAGATTTAGAAAGATCTAGAAAGATTTAGAAAAGATTTAGAAACGATTTAGAATGATTTAGAAAGATTTAGAAGGATTTAGAAAGATTTAGAATGATTTAGAAAGATTTAGAATGATTTAGAAAGACTTAGAATGATTTAGAATGATTTAGAAAGATTTAGAAAGATTTAGAAATGATTTAGAATGATTTAGAAGAATCTAGAAAGATCTAGAAAGATCTAGAAAAGATTTAGAAAGATCTAGAAAAGATTTAGAAAGATCTAGAAAAGATTTAGAAAGATTTAGAAAGATCTAGAAAGATCTAGAAAGATCTAGAAAGATCTAGAAAGATTTAGAATGATTTAGAATGACTTAGAATGATTTAGAATGATTTAGAATGATTTAGAAAGATTTAGAAAGATTTAGAAAAGATTAAAGGCAATTTCTAGCTACTTGAATTCGTTACCATCATCGGATTCATCGCTGAACGACTCGACCTCTTCCGTGCTCTCTCCACTCGACTCTTCCGCGAAAAACTCGACTTTCCCAATTGGAGTATTGGGTTGAGATGGCTAAAGGTATTAAATAAATAATTATAGACTTTAATAGAATACTTTAAAAGATAAATAAAGAATAAATAAAGAAAATAAACGTAAATAAACATAAATAAACATAAATAAACGTAAATACTTTAATAAAACACCGCTTAGTTTAACTTCTTTTTAGAAAATCATCTTTTTCTCAGTCCTTAGATTTTTTTTCCGTTAAAATGGGTATGAAATCTTTAGACAATAAAGCTAAATATTCAATTTTTCATTTCTTTTTGATCAAAAGTTGTCCTGAAAGAGTTAAATGATCAATTTATTCTTGTTTTTAATGAAAAATCGATATGTAAATGAAGAATTTTGATTGAAATGTGCTTGAAATGAACCTGTGTCACCATGACCATTGGTGGGCACATCTCGTGGCCGGGTTGAGGCTAAAAAAAGTCTCATTTTTGAAATTTTCGAAATTTTCGAAAAGTTTAGAAACATTTTCATTAGAGAAACTGAAACTCGATTAACTGAATATTTTAAAAAAAGCATAGAAAAAGAAAAGGCTAACGAAAGAATAGAGAAAGCAATCCAGGAGTGAAAAATTGAGAAAATCTAACTGAGGAAACGGAAATTGTTCAGAAGTACGGTAGGTTTTCGTGAACTTTATGCTCACATGTAAACGCACCCTTCTGGTGCACTGAATTCTTCATTTTTCTTCACAGCAACGAGTCAAAAATGAAGAATCCAGTGCACTAGAAGAGTTTGTTTACGAGAGAGCTCAAAGTACAGCACGGAGACAGTGTTTACTGGCTTCAACAGCTTCAACAGCTGCCTCAACAGCTTCAACAGCTGCTCATAGACTACCGTACTCCTAGATGTTTAGACTAAAGCTTTCTATACCCAAATGAGTATTCGACACCGTTGTTGATTTCCCTCTTCTTCCTCATTTTTCTGAGGAAGAAGGGTTTGTATTGTTGTCCATTCCACTGGGGACATCGAGTCCCCACGCTGAAATCATTTTTATACAAATTTAACAAGGGAATGGCCAGAAGTGAATGTGGCCGTTTCGGATGAGTTTCATAGATTTCATAATGAATATTGATGACCAAAAAAATTAGCTGCTCAGTGTAACTCTACAACGAGAAATGGGAAGATGGCATAAAAAAAACTTTTAGAAAAACTGTTGTTTAGTACAAGAAAAATGGCCGTAACGCCGAGTTATACTTGTAAAAGCGAGCTCGGGTCATTTTGGGGCACCCTGTGTGTGCGCACCCTGTGTGTGCGCACCCTGTGTGTGCACCCTGTGTGTGCGACCCTGTGTGTGCGCACCCTGTGTGTGCGCACCCTGTGTGTGCGCACCCTGTGTGTGCGCACCCTGTGTGTGCGCACCCTGTGTGTGCGCAGCCTGTGTGTGCGCAGCCTGTGTGTGCGCAGCCTGTGTGTGCGCAGCCTGTGTGTGCGCAGCCTGTGTGTGCGCAGCCTGTGTGTGCGCAGCCTGTGTGTGCGAGCCTGTGTGTGGCAGCCTGTGTGTGCGCAGCCTGTGTGTGCGCAGCCTGTGTGTGCGCAGCCTGTGTATGCGCAGCCTGTTCAAAGTAAGTATTAAAGTAGTACGATAAAATCTAACTATAACTGTAGCAAATGAATTTTTGATTTGAAATTACCGTATTCTGTTTCCCGTTCATTGAGATTGTGGCCACCGTGTAGAGATCATCGTTTTCATCATCCTGTCATTTTTTTTATGATTCTTCTAGCTTTTAGCATGATCTTTCTAGCTTCTAGCTTCTAGCTAGATAAGTTTTATATGCTAATTTTTATTCTATCAACAGAAGCTTTGCTGCTTTGTTGCTTTTCAGCAAAAAAAAATGAAACAAAAAGCAAAAGAATTGACGCGGAGCCGAACCCACGACCCTCTCTCTTCCGTTCGTTTGAGAAACGCGTGCGTTAACCACTCTGCCATCCCCTTCCGGGGTAGTGAGAGGGCACTTGTCTCTAGCTCACAGTGGACGGCGCAGTGCGAGCGATCTTGTCTCTAGCCCAGAGGACCCGGGTTCGACTCCCACCAGCGTCGACACTTTTGGTTTTTTAAAATTTTAAAACATATTGCACAACTAGATGGAATTCTAAGGTAAAGTAATAATAAATTATTTAAAATGGTCTACTGGGAGACTATTGGGAGTTACTACTGGGAGACTACTAGGAGCTACTACTAGGAGACTATTGGAAGCTACTACTGGGAGACTACTAGGAGCTACTACTAGGAGACTATTGGAAGCTACTACTGGGAGACTACTAGGAGCTACTACTAGGAGACTATTGGAAGCTACTACTGGGAGACTACTAGGAGACTATTGGAAGCTACTACTGGGAGACTCTTGGGAGCTACTACTGGGAGACTATTGGGAACTACTACTGGGAAACTACTGGGAGACTACTAGGAGCTACTACTGGGAGACTACTGGGAGCTAAAGAGCACGGACAAACAGACAAACACAGCTCTATCACGCACAGCTTTATATAGTAGATATGCTATTTTATTCTATCTTTAAATTCTATTAAATCATTTTTAAAATTTATATAGTTTTAAGTTTCAAAACTCACTATAGTATTCACATCTTTTATACAGCTTACGTAGTCGGCTGAAGTGCTGGGTTGATCCTAGAATGAAAGACTTGAAGTTGAGAGAAATGAGAGAAAGACTTGAAGCTAAAATGAGAAAAGGAAAAGAAAAGGTTTTCTTTTTTGAATAACTGATGTACTTTATGCTTTCATAAAGGCAGCCCGTCTAGCGCAATGAATTCTTCATTTTAAATCAATATGAATCAATGAATAATGAATAAACAGAATCGATTTTTACCTAACTTAATCGTTTCTCGGAGAAAAATGTGGAATTCAGTTAATTCAGTGCTGCAGAAAGGGTACATTTGCAAGTGAGCATTCATCAGAACATCAAGAAGAATCATAAGAATTATAAGAACACTAAGAAAAAGTATGCTAGGAAATGAGGGTTTTTAAGAATAAAGTACGCTCAAAATGAACAAAGTACGTTCAAAATCTTGATCAGAAATCTGACCTCTTCATCAGAAATCGTAATCGAGCTCTCCATTGTGTCACTGATTTTCTTCTGCAAAATCGAATCTTTCAAATTCTCCAAAGTGCGTCCAATTCGTTTTCCTAAAGAAAAAAGAGATAGAAAAGTTTACTCAAAGATTAATGAATTAAATTTTTCTTCAATTCTATCGTTTCTGGACTCTGGACATTATGAATAATGTTCTTTTTTTGATTTTTTGGTTCACAAAATGAATGACTTGAGGTTTTTGAGGCTTAGGCCTTGACTTGAGGCCTTAACTTGAGGTTTTTTGAGGCTTAGGCCTTGGCTTGAGGCCTTGACTTGAGGTTTTTGAGACTTTTTGAACAGCTCTTCTCAAGGATCATGAACTTTTCCTTTCAAAAAAGAAAGAGATCAAGTTACTCGATCAATAAGCATGAAAAAGAACGGGCTTTTTGTAGATTTAAACTGTGTCTGAAAGCTAAATAGAAAGAGCTAAATAGCTAAATAAAGAAAGAAAGAAAGCTAAAATTCAAATTTTTGATTTTCTCTCGATTTTCTCTCGATTTTCCCTCATTCAAACTGTGAATAAAGATTTGTTGTCAGCTTAGAAATACAATAAACTTGTGCTAGCTTCATTTCCTTGTCTTATTATAGCATATCAAAGTACAGTAATCTCTCGGCTAAACCATTTCTAAAAGTCACTCAAAAAAAACTACCGTAATCCGCAGTTTTTCTTCGATAAACCTCAATTTTTGTATCATTTTGATGAAAATTGGATGAAAATTGGATCAAAATAAGCCTTATAATCAAAATTGAATCAAAATGAGCATTATAATCAAAATTGAGCTAATCAAATGAAAACTGGCGGTCAGATTTCGATAGTTTTCGAAAATAGATGAAAAACGAAACAATCAAGAAGCTAAATTTCGCTACATTTTCCAAATTCAAGCCTCAGCTCCATTTTTTCAAAGTCTTTCATGAAATTCAAGCTAATATCATCAAGAATTATTGATAGGATATTAGATTTGATTTTTAAATTGCATATAAGACTTTTAGTTGTTTAAAACTCACTCAACGAGAATCCCTTGCTTTCCCCAGATGATTTCGTTGAGCCTGAAATAGAATAGATAGATTTTGAAAAAAAATGTCAAAAGTTCAAATCAAGCTAGATATTTCTGTTAACAAAATATTCGAAAACAGGGAAAAGGTGTTTGAGGCGGTTGGACAGATCTATCTACCACAATAAAACTGAGAGGATAAAGGGAAAAGAAGAAGAGGAAGAAGAGGAAGAAAAAGAAGAAAAGGAAGAAAAGGAAGAAAAGGAAGAAAAGGAAGAAAAGGAAGAAGAAGAAAAGGAAGAAAAGAAAGAAAAAGGAAGAAAAAGAAAGGAAAAATGAAGAAAAGGAAGAAAAAGGAAGAAAAAGAAAGAAAAAGATAAGAGAAAATAAAAGAAAAAAGTCCACTGAATATCATGAAAAGAAGGGGAAAGGGGTAAAAAAAAGGAGCTTGAGTGTAACAGAAGGAGTGAGGGGGAAAGGGAAGGGTGAGCATGAGATTCGCTGGGGGAATCATCGACCTGGGGGAACCCTCGTGTGGGACTTTGAGATAATTTGAGATCAAGGATTTGATTCGTGAAATAGAAAACAAATATATTGGTTTGGCCGGAAAGTCTTGTCTTGTCTGCCTTTTTGAAATTTTCGTTTATAAATGAATAATTAGCCGATCAACGTGTGGTTTGCTTTCAAATAAAAAAGATTAGCACATTTTTATGCAAATTTAGCTCATCATTTAGCTCATTTTTATGCAAATTTAAACTTTGAAGCAAATCTGAAGATTTAAGAATTCGGTTTAGATTACTCTAGAGTTACTCGCTAACTCTGGATACAATCTAGGAAACAAATCAAAATATTGTTGTTTGTAAAGTCCCCACCTTTCTTTCCTTCATCCAGAGACGAAACAACGATTTTCGGGGGTCTAAATTTTTGTCTATATAGTATTACACACCGTATTCTCTCTAATAGTAGTGCACCCAGAGCGTCGCCTAAATTTCTCGAAATCTCGAGAGCCGCTTATGGGAACCTATCGATGTGGGGTCGGAAAATCTAGCTGACGATGAGAGCTTGACGATGATTAGAGTGTTAAGCTTCTGGGAAAACTTTGGAAGCCGTAAATAGTGACCAACTCGGCCTCGCTTGGGTGCACTACTATTAGAGAGAATCCGGTATGCTACAAGACTCAGTACAAAACTAAAGAAAGTTTTACGTACAGTACCCAACGTCTAGACGCAAGTACGGTATCCCACAACAAGTACTGCCGCTACCAAGCTGCCGCTACCAGCTGCCGCTACCAGCTGCCGCTACCAGCTGCCGCTACCAGCTGCCGCTACCAGCTGCCGCTACCAGCTGCCGCTACCAGCTGCCGCTACCAGCTGCCGCTACCAGCTGCCGCTACCAGCTGCCGCTACCAGCTGCCGCTACCAGCTGCCGCTACCAGCTGCCGCTACCAGCTGCCGCTACCAGCTGCCGCTACCAGCTGCCGCTACCAGCTGCCGCTACCAGCTGCCGCCAAGCTGCCGCTACCAGCTGCCGCACCACGCCGCCACCAGCGCCGCACCGCCGCCGCACCAGCGCCCACCGCTGCCACCAGCTGCCGCCACCAGCTGCCGCCACCCGCACCAGCGCCGCCACCAGCTGCCGCCACCAGCGCCGCCACCAGCTGCCGCCACCAGCCGCCGCCACCAGCGCCGCCACCAGCCCTATCATCTCAAATACCATATTCTCTCTAATAGTAGTGCACCCTGAGCGTCGCCTAAATTCCTCGAAATCTCGAGAACCGCTTATCAGAACCTATCGATGTGGGGTCGGAAAATGTAGCTGACGATGAGATCCTGTGGGGGATTAGAGTGCTGAGCTTCTAGAGCTTTGAAACCGTAAAATAGTCATCAACTCGGCTCGGCGGGGTCCACTACTATTAGAGAGAGTACAGAATGACTCCGACCGTTTGATGATCGTTAGTTTATTTTTGTCTACATACAGTCGAAATTCTCTATAACGGGTTTCTAAATCAAGCTTTTGAAATTCTAAAAGGTGTTCTTAATGCCGCTGCTGGTTTGCTGCCCAATTAGGTACAATCGTTGCCCGCAAAGGGCAGCTACGCAGAAAATTTGAGGCGCATTTTAGAATCGTTATATATTAGGTTGGCAACTTAATAATGACGCGTCACTACTTAACATGTTTTTTGTAATTTCAAGCGCCGTTTCTTCCCTCTTTTTTTTGCATATATACAAAGTAAAAGATGTCTGCATAAATAACATTTAGTGCTCCGAATTTCATCATTCGCTTTTTGGCAAAAAATGGAGGACAAAAAATTCCGGTATTCGAGCTGTATTGTTCTACGATTTTAAACAAGGAAAATCACCAGCTGAATCTCATCGCACGATCATCACTGTTTTTGGAGAGGAAAGTATACACATTCGGCAATGGCAACGATGGCTTCAAAGATTCCAAGGCGGCGATGAAAGCCTCGTAGACGAGCCACACCAAGGACATCCTCCAGAAATGGTCGACGATGACTTGCTCGCCTTAATTGAAGATTGCTCAACACTCACCATTCGTGAGTTGGCAGAAATATTTGAAGTATTCCATACGACAATCGAAAACTATTTACACAAACTTGGGAAAAAGAATCGTGTTGGAAAATGGGTTCCTCACGAACTGACCCAAAGCAACAAAATGGCCCGTGCCCGTGTCAATGTCGCCTCAATTTTGCTACAAAAATGTAAATCAAACGACTTTTTTTCACAGGGTTTTGACTTCTGACGAAACGCGGATCAACTACGAGAACGTTAAACGCAAAAATCAATGGCTATCTACTGGGCAGACCCCGCGAACCACTCCCAAACCGGATATCCATGGGAAAAAGATAATGCTCTGTTGCTGGTGGAACTTCAAGGGATTGTTGCATTATGAAGTGCTGAAACCTGGCCAAACCGTCGATGCTGATCTTTATTCGAAGCAATTAATGAGAGTTAACGAGTCTTTGAAGAAATTGGGGCTCAAATCGGAGAGAGTCAGATTTTTACGCGACAACGCAAAACCTTACACTGCAAAGATCACTTATAAGAAAATCGAGGAACTTGGCTGGAAAGTACTGCTCCACGCACTTTACTCTCCCGACTTGGCTCCTTCAGATTACTTTTTGTTTCGGTCGCTGAAGCACTTTTTGGAGGGAGAAAAGTTCGATGATCATGCTCAGGTCATAAAAGCAGTGAATGACTATTTCGACTCAAAAACTCCCAAGTTCTTCGAGGATGGGATCCGGGATTTGCGCAGAAGATGGGAAGAAGTCATAGATACTAATGGAGAAAACCTTTCGAATTGAAAGCTCTTCTTTTGTGTTTTTTTGAAATAAATGATTTGTTACATAAACGCGTCATTATTAAGTTGCCAACCTAATAGATATCGTTCTAGCGTCCCTTCGATATTGTTCTAGCGAAGTTCGACTGTAGCCTTATGTAGTATTATCTAATTTCTTTTTGTCTACATGATTTGGTTTAAAAACCTAGTCTGAGTCTTGTCTAAGGGTACTGTAGCTTCCTTAGTACCTTCTTTAGTAGCCAGGATAGTCTGGCTAGCGTCTCCCATGAGTTTTTATCTATTTTTTTTCTTTCTTTACTCACGTTGTCGCTTTTTTCATTTCAATCTTGTTGTTTTCTTCTTTCAAATTTGTAGATTGAGCTTTCTAAATTTCAATTTTCTCAAGAATAAATTCAAATTTTAAACCTCTTCCCCTTTGTTTGGTTCTCGTTTTCGTAGAGTGATTTTTCCAAGCGTTCCCAACGGGGTGTCCTTGCTTTTTTGGGATAATGTAGCCTCCTTTTGAGTTAAAGTAGCCTGGCTTGAGGGTACTGTATGATTGTGGGTTAGAATAGGTGACATTAAGGGTACTGTAGCTTCTTTAGTGGCTACGGTAGTCTGGCTAGCGTCTCTCTGGGATACGGTAGTCTGGCTTGAGAGTACGGTTTTAGAATTCAGAGGTACTGTAGCGTCTCTTTGAGATACGGTAGTCTGAGTCTTGTCTAAGGGTACTGTAGCTTCCGTAGTACCTTCTTTAGTAGCCAGGATAGTCTGGCTAGCGTTTCTTTGGGATACGGTAGTCTGGCTTGAGAGTACGGTATTAGAATTCAGGGGTAATGTACCGTCTCTCTGAGATACGGTAGTCTGAGGGTACTGTGGCTCTAAGGGTACTGTAGCTTCTTTGTGGATACTGTAGCTATCAGATGGTTTGCTTTTCTGAGTTTGATTTACGGTAGAGGTATCTCCAGATTGACTAAAGGGTACTGTAGCTCCTTTATCGATTAGGTCCAGGGTTACTGTAGCTTCTTTATCGATTGGGTCCAGGGTTACTGTAGCCTCCTTTTTAGCGACAGTAGTCTCTTTTTGTGGACTCGGTGCCCGTTTTTGTATTGAAATCCGTACTCCACCAGTTTCTTTTATGCAAATTCCATCGATTTTCCCAGCATCGAATTTCGGTGACTCCGATCGTTTGATGAACGTTTTCATCGTCGTTTTCCCGATTTTTCCATTCTCCTCCGTACTTGCTTGACTTGCTTGTACGGCTTTTATCGGCGATTCACTATTTCTCGATTTTATATAAATCTTTCGAGTCTTTGTCCCCATTTCAGTTAGTTCTTTATTGAAGAACTCTTGCGTGGGAGTGGTTGAGCCGGCTCGGTCGGATGGATCCTGAAATGAAAGGGATACGGTAACTTTGTACTTTGAGCTAACTTTGAGCTAACTTTGAGCTAACTTTAAGCTAACTTTGAGCTAAGCTAAACACACCCTCTCTACTGCATTGAATTCTGCACTTTTCTTACAGAAACAGTTGCAAGAAAATGAAGAATTCATTGCGCCAGAAGGGGTGCATTTTGAGCACAAAGTACATCGAGTACTCTGTGCAAGATAGTACCGATTTTTCAGAAGCTGCAACTGTTGCTGATTTCCCGGGGGTGATTGTGAGTTTAGTGATCGGACGCGATGGAGTATTTTGGTCGGGAATCGGCACTGGAATAAAGCTATTGTCTATAAAGCTATAAAGCTACTGGAATAAAGCTATTTCCCATCAGATAATTGCCACTTTCAAATGCTAATTGACTTTATTAAACTTTTGATGAGCTTTTATTACATTAGACGACATTTCTCTCCTTACCAATTCTTCTTTGTGGTGTCGGTGTGGCCAGATCGTCATCGGGTTCAATTTTTCTCTCAACTCTCTCAACTCTCTCGACTCTCGTCGGTTTTCTCTCGAGTCCTCGTTCGGATCGAACTGTGAACAAAGGCTTATTGCCAGAGATTAGTCCAATTTTCAAATCTCTCTTGAAAGTTATCCCCTTTAGTCTCTCATCTCTCGGTTTTTATGACATTCTTTTTCGGGTTTGGGCTGGGAAGACAAAACATTCGACGCTTTTACTATTGGAGCTGGGTCGGCGCCGAAATTCGAACCCGCGACCTGTGCTTATCGGACGAACGCTCTACCAATGAGCTCTACCAATGAGCTAGATCGACCCTTATCCCATTGCCGACAGGTAGGGTCTACATGAAGAAGAGGGTAGTAGGGTAGGTAGGGCCTTATGCCTTAAGACCAGGATAGAGCTTTCTGCCTTAAGGCCAGAGTAGGGCTTTCTGCCTTAAGGCCAGGGTAGAGCTTTATGTCTTAGGGCCAGGATAGGGCCTTAAGACCAGGATAGAGCTTTCTGCCTTATACGAAGAGGAGGGTAGTCAGGCATAAAGCCCTATCCTGTCGGCAATGGGATCCATGTCGGTTTAGCTCATTGGCAAAGTGTTCACCCGGTAAGCGAGAGGTGGCGGGTTCAAATCCCCGGCCAATCTCTGCACCATTTTGTATTCCCAGCCCAGACTGTCCAACTATCTAGTTAGCACTTGGGCAGATCAAAAACCGTCGCCAGAACTCGAGCCCGCGACCTTTCGCTTAGCGGGCAATTGTGATAACCATTACACCACAAGGCACTTGACACTTGATCTCCATTTCTCCAGAGGGAGTTAACTTCATTACGGTAATTCAGAGACTACAGATCTTGTATTCAAGCATTGGAACGGACTTTGCACTTGAGTTAACTCTCATAAAATAGTAGAAAAGTATTCCTGTCAATTCTTTCAAATCTATTTTAAATAACTATCATAATCCTCGTTTTCATTTGATCAGGGATTTATTGATCAATAATTTAAGTTCTAGATCACAGCAAACTCCGTTAGATCTTTTAGGTACTGTATCGATGCTATAGAAGAAAATAGAAACAAACTGCGTCAGGATTCCTATTTTGCGCTATTTCTACCGTCTCGTCAACTTCATAAATTGTAAACTCACAGCTTTTGACGGATTCATTATCACTTGTATCCGAATCTCGCACGTATTTATTGTAAAGTTGCTCGAAGCGGCTCTCCAGCTCAGTATCATCGATTTTCTAATGTAAAAATTTGAATTCTAAAATTCAAAATTCAAATTTCATACCATATCCTTCGATTTGTAAGGCGTATGGCTAAAAATAGTTATTTTTTTAGTTATAGATTTAGTTTTTTTGTTACTTTTCTGTTTTTGGTCGAATATCGTAACTGGCTCGGAAAGAGGTGCTAATTTTTGGCAAAGAAGTCGAATCTAAAATTTGCATTTAAGTTTAAATAAACTTTCATTATCTAGATCTAGATCTAGATAATTAAATATTATACTTACCGTAAATACTGTAATAGTACCCCACCCGCCTCGTACAAATCACGTAGTCGCAAAAATTTTTTGAGTATTTCATTTTTTTCAAAGCGCCCGTACTTTCCGCCCGTACTTCCAAAAAATACGTCTTTGGTATCAAAAAATAGCTGAAATTCAGGGCTATTTTTTGATATCTAAACGAGCATTGTAGCATAAACCAGTGTCGAGAAAAACGCGTTCAAAGCTAGACTACGCGATGCTCCGGCCGTCATTATAAACTGATGACGAGAAAAATGCATTTAAAGTTAGACTACGTGATGCTCCGTCTTTTGATATCAAAAAATAGCGCTGAATTTCAACTATTTTATGATACCTAAACGAGCATTGTAGCATAAACCAGTGTCGAGAAAAACTCGTTCAAAGCTAGACTACGAAACACTCCGCACCGTCATTATGGGGGTAGGCAGTATTTACGGTGATAATTAGATAAACCTGAAGAATTTCTGGATGATGAGGCGGATGAATAGCTGGGACGATAGCTGAAAAAACGATTATTTAAATAGACTTTCTTGGACTTGGGATTACTGACTTGTTAGACAAATAAAACTGGTTATTTCGACTACTGTAATCCTACCGTAACCATACCGTAACCCTACCGTAACCCTGCCGTAATCCTAGAGTCTCTCTATTTTGTTATTTACTAGTTAAAACAACTCTAATCCTACTAAAGTTAGCGAATTTTCTTTTTATTTTAAACATTGTATCTAATTTCAAAGCTACAGTAAATCTAGAAAGATAAAGCTACAGTAAAGCTATAGTAAAGCTATAGTAAAGCTATAGTAAAGCTATAGTAAAGCTACAGTAAAGCTATAGTAAAGCTACAGTAAAGCTACAGTAAAGCTATAGTAAAGCTATAGTAAAGCTACAGTAATACAATTACATTTCTTACTGAATAAACTACCGTAATTCCCCACCTTGAGACATGGTTTTCAATTCGATACTTGTCCAGGGCTTTTGTTGAGGAATTTCGCTCACTGAAATCAATTTTGGTAAGAAAATTTGAGTAAATTTAGATACACAGTGCTTGATCTGGCTCTCGTATAGTCTCTAAGTGGTGAAGAAGCTCGTTCACTAGAGTTTCTTTTTGCTTAAAATATGAAAAGTGTAATACTTGGTAGATCGAGACATCACAGTGTCCCTTGATGGACTTGTGGCGCGTTCTCTAAAAGATTTTCTAAATCTAAACGCTATTACGGTATTTGGTATGGTATAAAGTACATAAAGTAGTTTAAATAAAGAGTTTGTATCAAGATATAGAAAGGTTGTATCAAGTTTTAGCTACTAGCTTAGGCTTAGGCTTAGGCTTAGGTTCGATAGCTTCGATTCACTGTCGACAAAGCTACCGTAATCCCTTTTCATAGATCATGATCTTCTAGTGACTCAAGTCTTCTAGTGATTCAAGTCTATCAAACCATACTTGATCCAGAGCTTCTTCCAGTTGAGCTTAACGGATTACGGATTATGGTAGCTTTGTTCACCAGCTTTGTCCACCTCTTACAAGAATTACCGTAATGACAAAGTACTCTTTGTCGGTGTCCCTTCTTTGTCTCGATACGATCGATCTCTGAAATTTTTTAAATACATCAGCTTTGGTTTTTTCAATGTACGGTGGCTTGTAGCGTTCGTAGTCTCTTGACGGAGAACTGGCACGGTCACGGAGGGAACTGATTGAGAAATCTGAAAGAATGGAGAATAAATGGCTTCTAAATGAATCTAAATCGCTTCTAGCTGGACTGAATCTGCAGCAAAGTACTGAACTTCTCTTTTGTTCTAAGGAAAACTTCCCGATTAAGCCAGGCAACACCCAGAAGTCGGATCCTGGCCTAGATTTTGGCCACAAAAAGTTCTCTAGCCCCACCTTCTGGCCAAATCTAGGCTTAGGCTTAGACTCAGGCTTAGGCCTAGGCTCAGGCTCGGACTCAGATCCTGGCCTGTCATGACCTTGCCTGGCTGCCTGGCTTTACTCTAGGTTTGACCTAGAACCCAGTCCAGGCTCCAGAACCTAAATCTAACCGAAACCCAAATAGACTTAGTGCGAGGTGCTAGCCGCTAGCCTAGCGTCCAAGCCAGAGCCAGGCATGGACCTGGCCCTGGCTTAGCCTGGCTTACAAGCTGATTCAGATTCAGGAACTGAACCATGGGTAAAAAGGAAAAGTGAGCATGAGAGCGCGCACAGCGCACTACACTACCATTCGGTCATACTTGAATGGAAGGGAAAAGCCGTTATAAACCGTTATAACTCGGTCAAATTTATCCAAATTTACCCAAATTTGCAACGCGTTTTTCTCAAAAACCAGGGGATTTAGGCAAAAACTAAATACGGCATCGGATTCTCATGCTCGAAGTACCTTTTCTATCACTATACCGATCTAATTCTTCACCTAAATTTTGAACGATTCCCTTGTGAAGCCTGGCTTAATTCGATCAAACCGTACTTGATCCAGAGAGACTCGAGCTTCTTCCAACCGAGCTTAATCCCGTTGATCGATATGTGGGTGCTGGGGGTCGATAGTTGGAGAGAGAGTCGTTGCTTGAATATCTAGAAAGGTTTTGTTTTAGATTAAGTACAGTACAAAATACTGTGAGATAAAGAATTCCACAAATTTCACAAATTTCACAAATTTCTCAAACCTACCGCTCACTCTTTGCAGCATACGGGCTTACATTGGAATTTCCAGTGGATGAACTGTTGTAAGAGCGAGTGAGAGTGGAAGAACTGGAAAAAAAGAACTAGAAAAAGATGAAAATGTAAGTTGTTAAAGTAAAAAATTAATTAGATACTTAAAATTCGCTCTCGTGTAGGTCATCGAATCACGATTCGTCGGCTCAACACTGACAGCTCGAGCCGAGACACGATTTGGACGGCTAGAGGTAAAACTCTAAAATATTCTAAACTCTAAAATGTTCTAAACTCTAAAATCTTCTATTATAAAACCCTAGCAGAATATGAGAATTGAAAAACTTCTTGCGCTTAATCCAAAAGTTCTAGCATTTGATTAAATCTGAAGTTCATTTGATAGATTCAAGTGTTTTTTAAGCCTGAGTTTTCAGTTTTTAGCTAATAAAATCACTAACAAATAGATTAGTGGCTTATAAAAAGTCGTTAATTCAAATTATTTAGATAAAATAAGTGTCTACCGGTGTATTTGTGGGCCTGGTCGAGCTGTAGTCGGTGGTTGCAGTTCCTCTGGCTGTTGAACTGCTTCGGTATCGGTATAAAGATGACATTTTGAAAGCTGCAAATAGGAAAGTTGAAATTTTAGGCATAAAAAAGAGAATCTAGATATATAGAGTATCGTATGGAACTGGAAATCTCAGAATTCCAGGAGAAACCTATTCACAAAGTTGCTCTTGTTGCTGTTGTTGTTAAAGTTGTTAAAGAGTGTTGTTAAAGTTGTTAAAGAATGAGAAAACATAGATAAATAAAGTAGTGAAAAGTCTAACAAAGCCTTAATCAAGTAATTCAAGTTTAACAAGGCCTTAATCAAATAATTCAAGTCTAATAAAGCCTTAATCAAATAATTCAAGTCTAACAAAGCCTCATCAAATAATTCAAGTCTAACAAAGCCTCATCAAATAATTCAAGTCTAACAAAGCGTTAATCAAGTAATTCAAGTCTAACAAAGCCTTAATCAAGTGAAAGTCAAATGTTACTTTGTAGACTGATGCTGAAAAAAGATCGGAAAAACGAGACGAACGGGTGTTTCTCATTTGAAGAAAAGGAAAGGGGAAAAGAGATAAATTGGTCGTTTTGAAGAAAAAGAGAAGCTGAGTGACCAAGGCGTAGATTGGATAAAAAGGGGAAAAGAGACTAAGAAATGTTACAACCACAACTGTCCACTAGAGCTCACCTCTTTTCCCCAGTGAACACGAGCTTTTTACTCATGATAGTATGAGGAAATTTTTGGAGTGAAATGCTCTTCAAAAATGTGTTAATTTTCTGAAAACTACCGTAGACTTGCTAGAGACGAGATTACGGGAATCTTACTAGAAACGAGATTACGGTAATCGGCAATCTAGATTACGGTAATCTAGATTGATCTTGTTAGAGACGAGATTACGGTAATCTAGATTGATCTTGTTAGAGACGAGATTACGGTAGTCGAGCAAGTTGGCACGTTTTATAAAACTCCGGATTGACAAATGGAAAATTGAAATCGTATTATGGGCTGCTGTAGATCACCTAAGCGGCTGAAAGATATTCAGCAGCTTAAGTGTTTTGGTGATAATTTCCCTTCAAATGTAAAGATATTCAATTTATTCGAGGTGATTACTTGATTACTTGATACTAGCGACGACCTAAAGTTGAAGTGGGTAAGCTAAAGTTGAATAAATGGGCCAAAGTTGAAGTTGGAATGACTGTTCGTCTCCCAATCGATGTTGTTGATCCCAATCGATGTTGTTGAAATCGGCCACTTGTCTCTTTTTGGTGTCGTGTTGTCTTCGGAGGACGATTTATATCAAATTGGTATCAAGAATGGAGTTTTACAGCAAAGGTTAGTTATATTAAATTTTATTCATTAATTTTTAAGATTTAGGCTCACCCGAAATCAGTTAGAACCGGCCAAAAAGAATTTTCTCTTGACGAATTTTCTCCGATGGTCAAAAAGAATTTTCTCCGATGACGTCCCTTCTCAAGAGGCATCGTTTCTTTTCCGTTTTAATAATTTGAATAATTTGAAATCAAAAACACGGTAAATTCAATTGAATAGAGCTATTCAATTGAATAGAGCTTGCAGAAGCATAGCATAGAAAAAATTGGAATCCAGATGAAATACGCATTTAAACATTTCATTCGTAAACGTCTACGACATATAAACTTTTATTTTGCTTTAGCTGCGATGACGATATTATCGACGACGGATTCGTCATGTGGAAAGGAGCGAAAATGATGGGAAAAATCGCCTACATCTCAACATCAGTGAGGTCTTGATTTAGTAACAGTTAAGACTAAATTTTGGATATTTAGGCATCTTCTTCGTTTATGACTTGCATAGATGGAAAGGCGGTGTTCATGAGTTTGACGATCGATTGTGGTGGAATCCACACGATGACCTCCTACATATAATACGCCCAATCACAACGCTTTTCGGGTGAATTTTTGGCTGTAAAGCTCTGCTGCAGATTGTGGAACAATAGTGGAACCACAACAACACTTTCACAACAAAGTGGAACAATGGAACAATAATTTTGCTTCGTAAATTCTTAATTTAGAATCGAATTCTTAATTTAAATTCTTAATTTAGAATTGATGGTGATCGCCGATGGATCTTTTCAATTGTTGGAGGGACCGCTGTTTCCCGACGCCTCAAAGACTGAAAAACTGATTCTCAGTAGATGACGGTGGGTTTATAGTTGATTAAAAAGTGGGATCTTTTGTCAAGCTTCAACTCAAGTAGATTTGGCGGTTTAGAATTTAGCAAAACCTAAAAGAATGGAGCTTTTGAAAGCTTGCTATCGAATCAGAGTTATGATATCAAATTTCTTTTGATTACATTTTATTTCATGTTTTTAGTTGACACGATGTCGGTGATCTCGGATTTGACCGCTTCTCATTCCTTTGAACGCTTTGGCCTTGAACAACACGAATGCAATGCAATCCTCCACAGCGCCAACTTCAGCATTCTTCCATCAACTTCAGCTCATTCTGAAGATCTCGTGGTCAAACAAGTTTCTACTCGTTAGAGTAAAATCTGTCTGTCTGTTTTTCACCTCTATTTCCTCTCACTTGTTCTTTTTATTGATTGCGCGCTCAATTTTTCTTTTCTGGTTTTTCGCTTTTTTACTCGTTCTAAAAATTTTCGAATAAAGAGTTTTGCCGAATAAAATGGAATTTTAAAGATTTAGAAAATAACTTTTTTGAAATGGAACCCATTTCTTTTGATCGTTGTCTTTTTTTGCTTCTAGATCGGCCCACCTCTCTTTGAGGTATTCCCCAAGAAATTCTCTTTCTCCTTTATCTCCCCTTTGTTTTTCCATTTTGCATTTTCGGCTATTGAAAGTCGGCTAAAGTCTATTGAAATGTAGTCTCCTTCAGTTCAAACAAACGTATGGGTCTTCTTATTGAGTGGATCCGCTACCGTACCCGTTTCTCTTTCTCTCATTAGTCCTCTGCCTCTTGCGTTTTTTGTTCAAACACGCACACCAAAACTAGAGCGGCTTTATTAAGCATTTTTGAATTTACCGTGTTGTTTTATTTTTTGTTTTCAATTTTTACTTGCGACGTTTTTCCGAGAAAATCCTCGGTTAGTGCTTTAAAGCATGGTAAAACTACCGTACCCTTCCTAGCTTGCAAGTATAAAACAAAGCGCGCAATTCCATCCTTTCATTTTTGTTCTTCATTCATTCTTTTTGCGTATTTCTGATGTGGTTTTCTTTGTATTCTTTATGACTGATGATGACACAACTTTGTGGAAGGGATTTGTAGAAGGAATCGGTACATTCAAAACGGAGGAACTTCTTTGCAAATGGGACATTGTTCACACATGGGAGCGCAATTTTAATCGTCTTACAAAAGTAGTTCCACAAACTAACATCTATATCTTTATTTTTGCTCGAAAATCCTTCGAAATTTAATTAATTCGACTCTGCAAGATGGTTTTATGCAAGAAAAAAAATAAAACTTGGCGAATTCTTTGCAGAAAATGAAGACACATCTTTCCTTTCAAACCTGGAGGTTGTTGATTCAGTTCAGTTAAAAAATCATGCTTGTTTCGGAATAATTACTAGAAAACAGAATCAGAATGGGCAGTGCGAGGACGCTTAAGTGCAGTAATACGCAAAAAGAATGAAATTGCGCGCTTTGTTTTTTTTGAAACTTAGGACAATAGTTTTAGCACTCTTTAAAGCGCCAACCCAGGATTTTCTCGGAAAAAGACAACAAGTCAATTTTTGTGCAATCGTGCTCATTTTTGGATTGCACAAAATTGTTCGTGGCACGTTTAGTTTTCTTGAAATTTTTGCAAAAACGTAATTCTGAAAGGCGATCTTCAAATCCTATGTTGGCTTTAAAGTTTTTTGTGAAATCAAATGATAGATCCTTACAGGTCCAATTTTTAAAGTGTGCCATGAAAGCAATTTCGCTCAACTTTTACTTTACGCAATCTTCCTTTTCTTTGTGCAATTTACTCAATCCTTTTTTTTCAGGTAGTGATCGCTTGCCCCGAGAGAAGCGATGCTTTCTCGCTTGGCTTCAGTGCGTCCAATCGGCTGTCTTCGAAAACTTTCGTCAAAGGGACAAGAAAAAACGAGCAACATCGCCGAGTACAAAGTGGTCGATCATGCCTACGGTTGGATAAAATAGATAAAATTTTTTAGTTTATTTATAAAATAAAGGTACTGATAAAGCTTGGGGGGGGGGCACTTTGATCTGATTTGGTCAGATCGTATTTTTCGACCGTTTTATCAATGTTATTTCATTTTTTTGAGGTAATCAAACATGCTGATATTGGTGATATTTTTAGAAAGTTTTGAACAATCTTTGTTAATGTTTTGTTGAGTTAGTTGAAGTATAACTGTTGCAGTTCCGCAACGCTAGAAAATAAGGCCAGAGGTGAAATACAAAATGAAAACTATTCAAAACACTAAAAATATCATCAATACAGGGTGTTGAATAAAAAACTCCTTTTTCAACTCGAATTTCCAGGAAAATTTAAGTGGTTTTTGATGGTGGCCATGGTGTGAAAAGTATTTTTTTGGTTTGGCAAATTTTTCATTTTTTGAGCTACCATCGCCGCCACCACCATCTTCAAACTGCAGCCTTGTTTTGTCGTTCATTTAAAGTGCATTTTTGAAGACTCTGACATTTTTTGGTAAATATTTTCTCTGGGCAATTTGACCTCTACAATGCCTATAAAAGCTAGTTTTCTTTGTCAGTGTAAACATCTCCTAGAAGAAAACCTTCCATTCTTTTACTACACAAAATGCATAAATGGAGCGAAAATGACAAGCTAGAAGCTACTGCCCTAGGTCTAGGATGGCGGTGAAATTTTTTGGTCATGAAATCGGAAAAAGCTCAAAAAACGAAAAATTTGTCAGGTCAAAAAAATACTTTCCACACCATGTCCACCAAAAGCCACTTAAACTTTTTTGGAAATTCGAGTTGGAGTTTTTTAGTTTTTAGTTTAAAAGGAGTTTTTTATTGAACACCCTGTAGATTAAGCGTATTACCCCAGAAAATGCAAAACCAGACTAGAAAAAACACACGTAAAATAGGTTCTAGCCGGGTCAAGTCAAAGTGCCCCCTCTCCTCCCGAACTTTATTAGTGGTACCAAAATAAATATCTAATTGAGCTTTGTTTTTGGTAAATTTCAATAGATCATAGCTTAAGCTAACCGCTCAAAGATGCGTCTATTTTAATCTTTCTATAAAGAAGCTAAAGTCTTAATGTTTCTATTTTAGACGCGGTTGTTGTTGGAGCCGGTGGAGCGGGCTTGCGAGCGGCCATGGGCTTGGCTGAAGGTGGATTAAAGACGGCTGTCATCACGAAACTCTTCCCAACTCGATCACACACAGTCGCTGCTCAAGGAGGAATCAATGCCGCGCTTGGAAACATGAATCCTGATGATTGGAGGTGGCACTTCTACGACACTGTCAAGGGATCCGATTGGTTGGGTGATCAGGATGCGATTCATTACATGACACGCGAGGCTGCGAAAGCTGTGATTGAGCTGGAGAACTATGGAATGCCATTTTCGAGAACTACCGACGGCAAAATCTATCAACGAGCTTTTGGTGGTCAGAGCAATGACTTTGGACGAGGTGGACAGGCTCATCGAACCTGCTGTGTGGCTGATCGAACTGGACACTCGTTGTTGCATACACTTTATGGAGCATCACTTCAATACGATTGCCGGTATTTTGTTGAGTACTTTGCTCTGGACCTGATCATGGACAAGGGAGCTTGTGTTGGAGTTGTGGCTTTGTCGTTGGAAGATGGATCGATTCATCGCTTCCGCGCAAAGAACACCGTTTTGGCTACTGGCGGCTATGGGAGAGCGTATTTCAGTTGCACCTCGGCTCACACATGCACTGGAGATGGAACGTGAGTTACATATAACATGTGTTAGGGATATTATTAATCATTAAGCGTTTGTTTCTTTAATATTTACTAACAAAAAAATTTCAGGGCGTTGACGGCTCGAGCTGGAATCAACAATTCGGACATGGAATTTGTGCAATTCCATCCAACTGGAATTTATGGAGCCGGTTGCTTGATCACTGAAGGATCACGTGGAGAAGGAGGCTTTCTCGTGAATTCTCAAGGAGAGCGTTTCATGGAAAGGTGGGAGAAGTTTATGATAGCATAAAATAAATCTTAATGAAAGAAGAATGAAAATCTTAAGTTAAAAGTCAAAGATTTTTCTTCATGATTTTTATTTTAGATACGCTCCGGTGGCCAAGGATCTTGCTTCACGAGATGTCGTCTCTAGATCGATGACTTTGGAGATTATGGAGGGACGTGGAGTTGGACCCGAAAAGGATCACATCTACCTTCAACTACACCACTTGCCAGCTGAACAACTCGCCCAACGCTTGCCGGGAATCTCCGAAACGGCCATGATCTTTGCTGGTGTCGATGTGACAAAGGAGCCAATTCCCGTTCTTCCAACCGTTCACTACAACATGGGTGGAGTGCCGACGAACTGGAGAGGTCAAGTCTTGCAGTACACAAAGGAGAAAGGCGACCAAATCGTTCAAGGACTCTATGCGGCCGGAGAATGTGGCGCTCATTCGGTTCACGGTGCGAACAGACTCGGAGCCAACTCTCTTCTGGATCTTGTCATCTTTGGAAGGAGTTGCGCGAACACCATTTTGCAAGAAACCAAGCCCGGTGTTGGAGTACCTGATTTGCCAAGTGGAGCTGGTGAAGCGTCTGTGTCAAACATTGACTCAATTCGTCACAGCAATGGAGACATTCGCACGGCGGACCTTCGTCTCCAGATGCAAAAATCTATGCAAAAGCACGCAGCCGTCTTCCGTCGAGGTGACGTCTTGAAAGAGGGAATTGAGCTCTTGAAGGGCTACTACAAAGATCAAAAACGATTACACGTGAAGGACAAGGGTCTCATCTGGAACTCCGATCTTGTGGAGACGCTTGAGCTGCAAAACTTGTTGATCAACGCCTCGCAAACGATAGTCGCCGCCGAGAATCGCAAGGAGTCACGTGGTGCGCACGCGCGTGACGATTTCCCGAACCGGCTCGACGAATTGGACTACTCGAAACCACTTGATGGGCAAGTGAAGAAGGAATTCGACGATCACTGGCGAAAACATACGATTATCAATCAGGACACGGAGACTGGTGAGGTAAAACTCACGTATCGCCCTGTCATCGACGTCACTCTCGACAAATCCGAAACTGACTGGGTACCGCCAAAAGTTCGCTCATATTAAATTGCCTATCTTTTTTGTTTCTTTGTGTCAGAATGTCAACCCTTATAATACGTAGTCTTAGAATGTTGCTTGTAGTCAAAAGTTTTGCCCGCCCCTATCTTCCCATGTGATTTGTATATCTACGAATAGGCGAAATGTTTTACTTTCTTTTTAATGTTTTGCTCTTTAGATTCTTCGTTTATTTGAGGTAGAAAAATAAAATGAAAAATTTCAGGTAAATGGCGCCAAAGCGTTCGTCGACATCAAGGGCGGCAGATGAGAGCCGACAACCGGTCTACTCGGAGGCGGCGATGAGAAATAATGCAGCCGTTTTGGAGTACTCGAGGACGTGTCAAGCGGCTGCGGCTGGGATAGCTTCAGGTAGAGTTTAAGCTGTTTTAAAATTTTGCTAAATGCAAAATAAAGAGCTGAGAATCGGTTGAAATGTCCATTTGAGGGTAATCAAATTTTGAGAAGGCTCAAAACTAATGTGAGGGCACTGACTGCAGTTTACAACACACCCGATGGATGGATTGGAGACCCAGAGAAAAGAGGAATTCCTACTGTAGAATAGGAAGCTTAACCGAGGGTTTCTATAAGCTCCGCCCATTCCACATAAAAGCCCGGAGAAACGGATAGGGGTAACACAGCACAGGCACAGATGGCGGGGGAAGGGACTGTCTTCTAGTCATTCTGGTCATGATCATTCTCTACCTTTAGAAGATTTAGAGAACTAGGATACTTTGCCAGATGTGGTCGCTATTATTTCCACATTAATTTCCCTTTCGAATGTCTCTTTTTAGGCATTCTCGGTCTCACCTCGTTGCCTGGATTCGTCTTCTATTTTGCCACATTACTGATTCAAGCAATTGTCTGGGAAGCGAAATCCGGATTCAAATGGAACAATTATTTCCTTGATCGCTCTTCTTCCGTCACTCATTCACTTGTTTCCGGTCTATTCACTTATGTTCTTTTTTGGGTCTTTTTCTATGGCATGGTCCATGTGTACTGACTGATCTCTTTAGCATATATCTTTTAAGCTTTTCAAGAATTTAGTTTAGTACTTCTTAGCTAAGAATACTTATTTTAATGTAAGCCGTTTGTTGTTTGTACATTCCATTTTCATTGATGATTATTTTGGTTTTGGTTTTCCTGTGATATTTCCTTTTGAATTTAATAAAATGATTGATTTAGAGGGCGATGCCGAAGAAAGTCGCCTACTACTATGATGGTGACTGTGGCAATTATTATTACGGGCAAGGCCATCCAATGAAACCTCATCGCATACGCATGACACACAACTTGCTTCTCAATTATGGACTTTATAGGAAAATGGAGGTTTACGTAAGTTTTGATAAAAATAACTACAAAGATTAAAGGTTGAGAGCAAGGATTTCTTAACCAGCACATATTTTTTCCTTTTAGAGACCAATCCCAGCGTCTTTCGAGGAAATGACCAAATACCATTCGGACGAGTACATGCTCTTCTTGAAGAATATCCGACCGGATAACATGTCTGAAAGCAGCAAACAGGTTAAAAATAATTTTGAGCCTAAATGTATTTTTATATTTAGATGGCTCGCTTCAACGTTGGTGAAGACTGTCCTGTATTTGTAAGTTTTCCTTCCAACTGTTCATGAATTATATTAAAGATACATGCACATGTGTTTTTGATTCCAGTCTTTGCATGCAAGCGAGAATAGATGTGCATGTGTTTTTTCTTATTTTCATTTATAGTAAAAATTTTTAGGACGGTGTTTACGAGTTCTGCCAACTGAGCTGTGGAGGATCGTTGGGTAGTTGCCAAAAGTTTGGCTCTATAAAAGCAAATGTTTTTAGCGGCCGCCTGTAAACTCAATCAAAAGCAAGCGGATATCACGATCAATTGGATGGGCGGACTTCATCATGCAAAGAAAAGCGAGGTATATATTGTTATAGCAATTTAAATCTTTTTATATTTATAGGCATTCTATGTATTTATTTATAGGCAAGCGGCTTCTGTTATGCCAACGACATTGTGCTGGCTATTCTCGAACTTTTGAAGCACCATCAGGTATAATCTTTAGCAAGTCATGTATGCCATGATTTATTCTTTGTGAGTGTTTTGACAATCTTGTTTTTAGCGTGTGCTCTACGTGGACATTGACATTCATCACGGTGACGGTGTCGAGGTTGAAAGTTTTTCTTATTTGTTGATAAATAAAAATTACAGGAGGCATTCTACACTACCGACCGGGTGATGACTTGCTCTTTCCACAAATATGGAGAGTATTTCCCGGGAACTGGAGATCTCAAGGTCCGTTTACGTTTTTTGCAAAATTTGGTGCTGCTTAAGTTAACTGACTTTGTTTTGTGGGGTATATATCAGGAAAATTGATGTTTTTATGGCACCTTTGAACCTCGAATAATAAATGTAATTTTTAGGACGTTGGTGCTGACAAGGGACGATACTACTCACTAAACTTCCCGTTACGCGATGGGATCGATGATGAATCCTATGAAGTAAATAGCACCAGAGTGACACTGATTAAATATAATGTTTAGCGAATTTTCGTGCCGGTTATGCAGCGTGTGATGGAATCATATCAAGTTAGTTGACTTATGCATTCATATACAGTTTGCTTTTAGCCTGGCGCCGTTGTGCTTCAATGTGGTGCTGACTCGTTGACCGGCGACCGACTTGGGTGCTTCAATTTGACTCTGCGAGGTAAGATGACCGAGATTTTCAAGAAATATTAAAAACGTTTTACTGGAAAATCTAGGCTTTAAATTTTGGGCTTTGTATTCATTATCATCACAAGTACCAAAATTTTTATGATTGTTTGCTAATGTTCTGAGAACAAAATTATATTTTAGGACACGGACGCTGTGTGGAGTTCTTGAAGAAATTTGGCGTACCATTGATGCTTCTCGGCGGTGGTGGCTACACGATTCGCAACGTTAGTCGGTAAATCACAAATCTGATTTGCAACATGATTTTTTATTTTTAGATGTTGGACTTACGAGACTGCTGTTGCGCTGGACACGGATATTGCGAATGGTAAGGAAAATTTTTGTACTCTTTAGCAATTTCATTTGCAGAGCTGCCTTACAACGACTATTTTGAGTATTTCGGACCCGATTTCAAGCTTCACATCTCACCAGCCAGCATGATCAATCAGAACACACGGGAGTATTTGGAGAAAACACAAGTTTGTAAATAGATTTACTTAAGAAAACTAGCTAAATTCGAACTTTCTTTTTACACTTTTGATTTCAGATTCGAATCTTCGAACACTTGCGCGAATTGCCCGCTGCTCCTGGTGTGCAAATGCAGCCAATTGGTTTGTTTTTGATGACTAACGTCTAATTTACTCTTTTCTTAGGCGATGAAGGCATTTTCCAACCAGACAAAACCCTGCTTGAAGATCACGCAGATCCCGATAAGCGGCTACCATCGGTCGTTAAAGACAAATTGGTAATGTTTGCGAAAATTGATTTTCTTTAATCTTTAATCTGCAGGTCGAACATCCGGGCGAGTTCTATGATGGTGGAAAAGAAGGAGAGAAAGACGCGCAATCGCATAAACGAACCGCAGACGAAGCTGACAATGAAGCCAAGAAGTCAAAGGTTGGAATTGATTTTTGGGTATTTTAGGGTTGTTTATCAGACCAGGGCTTTATAAAAGAAGTTACTAGAAAATAAAGATTTTAATAAGCTTTTGCATTGAAAAGTTAGGTTTGTGGGGGTTTAGAAGTGAAAGTATTGCAATGATTCATCAAAATTGTATTAAAAAGTGCATTTAGGTTGAGAGCGAGGAGATGGAAGCATAAAAGCGACAAATCAATCAAAAATTATCTTGAAAATTTTGTTTTTCTTAAAAATTTGTGAGTATTTATCATTTTTTTCTGTACTTTGAGAAGTCATTATTTGAAAAGTTGTCAATTTTTACCTGTGTGACTTCTCGTTTTAATGGTCTCCAAAAAAACGGATCTTTTAATTTATTACGTTGTAATCTCTAACAAATTGTTTTTTACTTTGTTGTGTTTTATTTTCATTCATTCTTAACTTTAATTTAATCGAAGTTTTTCACTTTTTATGTTTGAAATTGTTCAGTATTCTCACTCGTTTTTCTTTTGGTAAATAAAGTGAAGACAAAATTGGATTTTTGGCGAAACTGACTACTTGAACTCAACGCGGACACAGAATTTTTAGTCTGGAAACTTTGGACACAAGTCACAAAGTGATGTGCTTCAGAAATCACTTTTGAAAGTGTTCAGATCTGAATGAAATGACTATTTCAATGATTTCAATGATTTTGACAAAATCGAATTTTTGCGGCAAAATTGAAATGGCGTTTTTTGATCTCAAAAGCGCCAAATTTGGGGTTATTTTAGAGATTTTTATGCGTAAATTTCGTGAATAATTGCTTTTTACGGGTGATTTTTGGAGGAGGAACGGGGAAAGGCAACGAAAGGGAATGAAAGAAAAAAGGAACCGATTGATGTTGCGCTTTGAATTTTTTTTTCGTTCTCGGGTATTTTAAGAAAGCGGCAAATGGAAAGCATTTGCCATTTGCGATGGTCAGTTGGTGTCCAAATCTACAAACACAACCTCTCTGGCGTATTCAATTCGACATTTCTTTTTGAATTAAAGCTAATATACTAAAGAGAATGAATTTCTTGGGGAGGTGACAGCGCGAAAAATTTCAACGTCATGCATTTGAGCGCCGCGTCAAAAATGACTGGAAACAGCTGATGGTCCAAAGTAATCGATGGCTTTCCAAGGCATTCCAAGGCATTCCAAGGCATTCCAAGGCATTCCAAGGCATTCCAAGGCTTTCCAAGGCTTTCCAAGGCTTTCAAGGCTTTCCAAGGCATTCCAAGGCTTTCCAAGGCATTCCAAGGCATTCCAAGGCTTTCCAAGGCATTCCAAGGCTTTCCAAGGCTTTCCAAGGCTTTCAAGCTTTCCAAGGCTTTCCAAGGCTTTCCAAGCTTTCCAAGGCTTTCCAAGCTTTCCAAGGCTTTCCAAGGCATTCCAAGGCATTCCAAGGCATTCCAAGGCATTCCAAGGCATTCCAAGGCATTCCAAGGCTTTCCAAGGCATTCCAAGGCTTTCCAAGGCATTCCAAGGCTTTCCAAGGCATTCCAAGGCATTCCAAGGCATTCCAAGGCTTTCCAAGCTTTCCAAGGCTTTCCAAGGCTTTCCAAGCTTTCCAAGGCTTTCCAAGTGGCTTTCCAAGGCTTTCCAAGCTTTTCAAGGCTTTCCAAGCTTTTCAAGGCTTTGCAAGCTTTCCAAGCATCTTCCAATGACTCGTTTCCCGTTTTGATATTTCATTGTCCATGTGTTGAAGGTTCAAGAAAAGTACGAGAAGATGTTTGCTCTTGCTGCACAGAGGCAATTGACTCTTCCCCAACTCTAGAGTCGTTACGAATTCTGTTTGATCATCGAAAAGCTTTGAATCAGTTTTGAATCAGCTTTGAATCAGTTTTGGATTTCATGAACACAGAAAGGACTGATTCAGTGCTGAAATGAACGTTCTCAAGGTATTTTTGGCACGGCGCTGACAAGAATGTTTTCTAATCATTTTTGGCGCTCATATAACTATCACCCGTTTCTTGGATTTCTTGTTACGTAGGTGTTAATCGTTTCTCAATTCCTAGCCCTCCTTTCCACCCCATTTTCCGACGAGAATTGTTTCCGTTATCCTCCATTTGTCTCCATTTACCCGTTTCACCATCTCCATTTCAATGATAGACATGTTTTTTTTTGAAAGATTCATTTGAGAAAGCGATTCATCTATTTAAAGCCACCAAAAAATCGTACAAATTTAAATTCCTAGACAAGATCGCTTGTTAGTTTCAAAATTCAAAAGCCAATTGCCCTTCTAACTTTAAACTCACCAACATATTTCTTGTGAGAGGTCACCAAAATGTTTTCCCTTTTCTTTTTCCATATGATGGGCTCTCCTCACCCCAAATTGGCCTCATAGTGACCTAATAAAGGTGGAGAAGTTGGACAAGATCTCACTTTGGATATTGGGAAGATCTTTTTTTTGAAAAGTGTTTCTCAGAAAAGAACTTTTTCTCACTTGTTTACTTTACTTGTAAAGTCCGAGTGATTCACGAGTTTCGGCTGTGTTTTCAGCGTGTACTTTGCGCTTGATTTTCACGCACCTTTTCACACTGAATTCTTCATTTTCGCATTTTCGCAACAACCAGGGGCGTAGCAAGGATGCCAGGATTGAGCGACTTTCATTGTAACGACCCAAACTTCTCGAGGCTCCCCCAATACGGTTCTTTTTTTGATCTAATACGGTTCCAATACGGTTCTTTTTTGATCTAATACGGTTCCAATACGATTCCAATACGGTTCCAATACGGCTCCAATACGGTTCTTTTTTTTGATCTATGACGGTTCCAATACGATTCCAATACGGTTTTTTTTGATCTAATACGGTTTCAATTTTCCGATCAAGAAATTCGATTTTTAGATTTAAAGCTACAAAACTGTCTGCCACAAACTACAAAAACTGTTTAGTTTTTTGAAAAAATTCAAGGAGGTCGAGATTTTAGCTTTAGCTGATCTAGCATTGTTACGTTATTTAGCGCTCTGATCGTCCTTAGATTTAATTCTTGGCTTAGCTTAGCCTTAGCTTAGCCTTAGCTTAGCCTTAGCTTAGCCTTAGCTTAGCCTTAGCTTAGCCTTAGCTTAGCCTTAGCTTAGCCTTAGCTTAGCCTTAGCTTAGCCTTAGCTTAGCCTTAGCTTAGCCTTAGCTTAGCCTTAGCTTAGCCTTAGCTTAGCCTTAGCTTAGCCTTAGCTTAGCCTTAGCTTAGCCTTAGCTTAGCCTTAGCTTAGCCTTAGCTTAGCCTTAGCTTAGCCTTAGCTTAGCCTTAGCTTAGCCTTCTGACAGACAGACAATGGGCAAAATCTTCTAACAGTCAAAGAAATCCTCCACTCCTTTTCCCCTTTTTTTCATCGCTTTATTTGTCCACATTTTTTGTTATCCGACCTTTTCCATGTCATCATCGGGATTTGTTGTAATTCGAGAGAAATTTTGAAATTCTCTCGATTCTTTTATCGTCCGCCCAAACGCGGGAAATCCCCAATTTCCGTATCGTGTAAATTCTTAAGTCAACGCGGAAAAAATCAAGGAAATTCGGGTTTTTGGAATTGAAATCATTTCCTGCTACAATGAAAATGATTGAAGAAAGCTTTCCAACAAATTTGTTAAGTTTTCGGTTCGAAAGAGTTTAATAGACTAGAGTTATTACTGTTATTACTGTTAGAGAAGTTATTACTGTTATTACTGTTAGAGAAGTTATTACTGTATCAATTGCAAAGTTGTAAAGAAAGGGTTGACCTTCACATTGCTCATTTAATATCAAAAAGGCTTAACTTGACTTGATACAACTGTAGAATTATTAGAGTAAGATCAGTAAAGTTGTTAAACTCTGTAGTCAAAAATTTAACTTGGATTTACTTGAAATTATTTGTTTGAAATTGGATTTTTTCGAAAATTTATTTGATTTTTCTTTTAATCTTTTTACAAAACTAATAGTTTCATTGTGCCAATCGCTTTTGAAATTTTTTTTTGGTATTTTAAAATCTCAGAAACTTGAAACTCAGAGTTGACGATATCGTAAAACTATTATAGTTGACGAACTAAACTATTATAGTTTTTTAAATCTTCAATTTTGGGAAGCTAACTCTATTTTGACCACACTAAACTTGTCCCTAAGGTGACTCGATTCCTTTTTTGGCGGTTGGTCAGTCGTTGGCCAGCCGCCGAATAAGATGGTTTCTGTCCGCGTGAAATAAATTGATTTTTGTCTCATCGGTAAATAGCACTTTCGCCCAATCACTTATTGTCCAACTTCGGTAGATCCGTGCAAAATCAAGGCGCTGCTTCCGGTGCTTAGAATTCATCAGAGGTTTACGGGCAGCCCTTCTTGCATATAATCCAGCTTGATTTAATCGTCATCTGATCGTTTCCGGCGATACAACCTAAGGCGGTTCGACCACACTAAACTTGTCCCTAAAGTGACTCGATTCCTTTTTTTGGTCACTCGCCCTCGAATTTCGTCACATTTCGCCCTCGAAATTTCTTAAAATCTCAGAAACTTGAAACTCAGAGTTGACGATATCGTAAAGCTAAACTAAACAATTATAGTCATTTGATAGCTCTGAGTCTTTAGATAAATCCCCCGGAAAAAGATATAAAGTGAAAGTTTATATATTTTGTGTGAAATTTTTTAGAATCGTGAGTTTTTAGGACTTCTAGACGCTAAATGCTGAAGTAAAGTGAGTGAGAAGAGGAGAATCGGCAATTTGATACTCTGTCCTAGACAAGATCACTTGTTAGTGGATCGTTTCAAAAGAATTTCAAAATTCAAAAGCCAATTGCCCTTCCAACTTTAAACTCACCCACATATTTCTTGTGAGAGGTCACCAAAATGTTTTCCCTTTTCCTTTTTCCATATAGGCTCTCCTCACCCCAAATTGGCCCCCCTCCTCACCCCTAAACTATTATAGTCATTTGATAGCTCTGAATCTTGAGATAAATCCCCCGGAAAAAGATATAAAGTGAAAGTTTATATATTTTGTGTGAAATTTTGTGAATCTTTAGGACTTCTAGACGCTAAATGCTGAAGCAAAGTTGAGTGAGAAGAGGAGAGTCGGCAATTTGATACCCTGTCCAGCCCCCTTTTTAGTCTCTATAAGGTTCATTCCCTTTCCTAAAGAAAAGATTTACCCAATTTTTATGTCAACTTTCGAAGAATCTTTATTACTATTTCTGAATTCTTTACGAAGCTTTTCGGTGTTGCAA